GTGTGAGGTTTGTGTGTGGTGGGAGGTTTGGGTGTGGTGGGAGGTTTGTGTGGTGGGAGGTTTGTGTGGGGTGAGGTTTGTGTGTGGTGGGAGGTTTGTGTGTGGTGTGTGGTTTGTGTGGTGGGAGGTTTGTATGGTGTGAGGTTTGTGTGTGGTGGGAGGTTTGTGTGGTGTGAGGTTCGTGTGGTGTGAGGTTTGAATGGTGTGAGGTTTGTGTGTGGTGTGAGGTTTGTGTGGTGGGAGGTTTGTGTGGTGTGGGAGGTTTGGGTGGTGTGAGGTTAGTGTGATGGGAGGTTTGTGTGTGATGGGAGGTTTTTGTGGTGTGAGGTTTGTGTGTGGTTGGAGGTTTGTGTGTGGTGGGAGGTTTGTGTGGTGTGAGGTTTGTGTGTGGTGGGAGGTTTGTGTGTGGTGGGAGGTTTGTGTGGTGGGAGGTTTGTGTGTGGTGGGAGGCTTGTGTGATGGGAGGTTTGTGTGTGGTGGGAGGTTTGGGTGTGGTGGGAGGTTTGTGTGGTGGGAGGTTTGTGTGGTGGGGGGGTTTGTGTGGTGTGAGGTTTGTGTGTGGTGGGAGGTTTGTGTGTGCTCTGAGGTTTGTGTGGTGGGAGGTTTGTGTGGTGTGAGGTTTGTGAGGTTTCTGTGGTGGGAGGTTTGTGTGATGGGAGGTTTGTGTGTGATGGGAGGTTTGTCTGATGGGAGGTTTGTGAGGTTTGGATGGGAGGTTTTTGTGGTGTGAGGTTTGTGTGTGGTGGGAGGTTTGTGTGGTGTGAGGTTTGTCTGATGGGAGGTTTGTGAGGTTTGGATGGGAGGTTTTTGTGGTGTGAGGTTTGTGTGTGGTGGGAGGTTTGTGTGTGGTGGGAGGTTTGTGTGGTGTGAGGTTTGTGTGTGGTGGGAGGCTTGTGTGATGGGAGGTTTGTGTGTGATGGGAGGTTTGTGTGGTGGGAGGTTTGTGTGTGATGGGAGGTTTGTGTGGTGGGAGGTTTGTGTGTGGTGGGAGGTTTGTGTGATGGGAGGTTTGTGTGTGATGGGAGGTTTGTGTGGTGTGAGGTTTGTGTGTGGTGGGAGGTTTGTGTGTGGTGGGAGGTTTGTGTGGTGTGAGGTTTGTGTGTGGTGGGAGGCTTGTGTGATGGGAGGTTTGTGTGTGATGGGAGGTTTGTGTGGTGGGAGGTTTGTGTGTGATGGGAGGTTTGTGTGGTGGGAGGTTTGTGTGTGGTGGGAGGTTTGTGTGATGGGAGGTTTGTGTGTGATGGGAGGTTTGTGTGGTGTGAGGTTTGTGTGTGGTGGGAGGTTTGTGTGTGGTGGGAGGTTTGTGTGGTGTGAGGTTTGTGTGTGGTGGGAGGTTTGTGTGTGGTGGGAGGTTTGTGTGGTGGGAGGTTTGTGTGTGGTGGGAGGTTTGTGTGGTGGGAGGTTTGTGTGTGGTGGGAGGTTTGGGTGTGGTGGGAGGTTTGTGTGGTGTGAGGTTTGTGTGTGATGGGAGGTTTGTGTGGTGTGAGGTTTGTGTGGTGTGAGGTTTGAATGGTGTGAGGTTTGTGTGTGGTGTGAGGTTTGTGTGGTGGGAGGTTTGTGTGGTGTGAGGTTTGTGAGGTTTGGGTGGGAGGTTTTTGCGGTTTGAGGTTTGTGTGTGGTGGGAGGTTTGTGTGTGGTGGGAGGTTTGTGTGGTGTGAGGTTTGTGTGTGGTCGGAGGTTTATGTGTGGTGGGAGGTTTGTGTGGTGGGAGGTTTGTGTGTGGTGGGAGGTTTGTGTGGTGGGAGGTTTGTGTGTGGTGGGAGGCTTGTGTGATGGGAGGTTTGTGTGTGATGGGAGGTTTGTGTGGTGTGAGGTTTGTGTGTGGTGTGAGGTTTGTGTGTGGTGGGAGGTTTGGGTGTGGTGGGAGGTTTGTGTGGTGGGAGGTTTGTGTGGTGTGAGGATTGTGTGTGGTGGGAGGTTTGTGTGGTGGGAGGTTTGTGTGGTGTGAGGTTTGTGTGTGATGGAAGGGTTGTGTGTGGTAGTAGGTTTGTGTGTAGGGCAGGTTTGTGAGGTTTGTGTGGTGGGAGGTTTGTGTGGTGTGAGGTTTGTGTGCAGTGGGAGGTTTGTGTGTGGTGGGAGCTTTGTGTGGTGTGAGTTTTGTGTGGTGTGAGGTTTGTGTGTGATGGGAGGTTTGTGTGGTGGGGGGGTTTGTGTGTTGTGAGGTTTGTGTGTGGTGGGAGGTTTGTATGGTGTGAGGTTTGTGTGTTGTGGGAGGTTTGTGTGCTGTGAGGTTTGTGTGCTGTGAGGTTTGTATGGTGTGAGGTTTGTGTGTGGTGTGAGGTTTGTGTGGTGGGAGGTTTGTGTGGTGTGAGGTTTGTGTGATGGGAGGTTTGTGAGGTTTGGGTGGGAGGTTTTTGTGGTTTGAGGTTTGTGTGTGGTGGGAGGTTTGTGTGTGGTGGGAGGTTTGTGTGGTGTGAGGTTTGTGTGTGGTCGGAGGTTTATGTGTGGTGGGAGGTTTGTGTGGTGGGAGGTTTGTGTGTGGTTGGAGGTTTGTGTGGTGGGAGGTTTGTGTGTGGTGGGAGGCTTGTGTGATGGGAGGTTTGTGTGTGATGGGAGGTTTGTGTGGTGTGAGGTTTGTGTGTGGTGTGAGGTTTGTGTGTGGTGGGAGGTTTGGGTGTGGTGGGAGGTTTGTGTGATGGGAGGTTTGTGTGGTGTGGGAGGTTTGGGTGGTGTGAGGTTAGTGTGATGGGAGGTTTGTGTGTGATGGGAGGTTTTTGTGGTGTGAGGTTTGTGTGTGGTTGGAGGTTTGTGTGTGGTGGGAGGTTTGTGTGGTGTGAGGTTTGTGTGTGGTGAGAGGTTTGTGTGTGGTGGGAGGTTTGTGTGGTGGGAGGTTTGTGTGTGGTGGGAGGCTTGTGTGATGGGAGGTTTGTGTGTGGTGGGAGGTTTGGGTGTGGTGGGAGGTTTGTGTGGTGGGAGGTTTGTGTGGTGGGGGGGTTTGTGTGGTGTGAGGTTTGTGTGTGGTGGGAGGTTTGTGTGTGCTCTGAGGTTTGTGTGGTGGGAGGTTTGTGTGGTGTGAGGTTTGTGAGGTTTCTGTGGTGGGAGGTTTGTGTGATGGGAGGTTTGTGTGTGATGGGAGGTTTGTCTGATGGGAGGTTTGTGAGGTTTGGATGGGAGGTTTTTGTGGTGTGAGGTTTGTGTGTGGTGGGAGGTTTGTGTGGTGTGAGGTTTGTCTGATGGGAGGTTTGTGAGGTTTGGATGGGAGGTTTTTGTGGTGTGAGGTTTGTGTGTGGTGTGAGGTTTGTGTGTGGTGGGAGGTTTGTGTGTGGTGGGAGGTTTGTGTGGTGGGAGGTTTAGTGTGTGGTGAGAGGCTTGTGTGATGGGAGGTTTGTGTGTGATTGGAGGTTTGTGTGGTGTGAGGTTTGTGTGTGGTGTGAGGTTTGTGTGTGGTGGGAGGTTTGGGTGTGGTGGGAGGTTTGTGTGGTGGGAGGTTTGTGTGGTGTGAGGTTTGTGTGTGGTGGGAGGTTTGTGTGTGGTGTGTGGTTTGTGTGGTGGGAGGTTTGTGTGGTGTGAGGTTTGTGAGGTTTGTGTGGTGTTATGTGTGTGTCTGGTGGGAGGTTTATGTGTGATGGGAGGTTTGTGTGGTGGGAGGTTTGTGTGTGGTGGGAGGTTTGTGTGGTGTGAGGTTTGTGTGATGGGAGGTTCGTGAGGTTTGGGTGGGAGGTTTTTGTGGTGTGAGGTTTGTGTGTGGTGGGAGGTTTGTGTGTGGTGGGAGGTTTGTGTGGTGTGAGGTTTGTGTGTGGTGGGAGGCTTGTGTGATGGGAGGTTTGTGTGTGATGGGAGGTTTGTGTGGTGGGAGGTTTGTGTGTGGTGGGAGGTTTGTGTGATGGGAGGTTTGTGTGTGATGGGAGGTTTGTGTGGTGTGAGGTTTGTGTGTGATGGGAGGTTTGTGTGTGGTGGGAGGTTTGTGTGGTGTGAGGTTTGTGTGTGGTGGGAGGTTTGTGTGTGGTGGGAGGTTTGTGTGGTGGGAGGTTTGTGTGTGGTGGGAGGTTTGTGTGGTGGGAGGTTTGTGTGTGGTGGGAGGTTTGTGTGTGATGGGAGGTTTGTGTGGTGTGAGGTTTGTGTGTGGTGGGAGGTTTGTGTGTGGTGGGAGGTTTGTGTGGTGTGAGGTTTGTGTGTGGTGGGAGGTTTGTGTGTGGTGGGAGGTTTGTGTGGTGGGAGGTTTGTGTGTGGTGGGAGGTTTGTGTGGTGGGAGGTTTGTGTGTGGTGGGAGGTTTGGGTGTGGTGGGAGGTTTGTGTGGTGTGAGGTTTGTGTGTGGTGGGAGGTTTGTGTGTGCTGTGATGTTTTTGTGGTGGGAGGTTTGTGTGGTGTGAGGTTTGTGAGGTGGGAGGCTTGTGGGATGGGAGGTTTGTGTGGTGTGAGGTTTGTCTGATGGGAGGTTTATGCGGTGTGAGGTTTGTGTGTGGTGGGAGGTTTGTGTGTGGTGGGAGGTTTGTGTGGTGTGAGGTTTGTGTGTGGTGGGAGGTTTGTGTGTGGTGGGAGGTTTGGGTGTGGTAGGAAGTTTGTGTGGTGGGAGGTTTGTGTGTGGTGGGAGGTTTGGTTGTGGTGGGAGGTTTGTGTGTGGTGGGAGGTTTGTGTGGTGTGAGGTTTGTGTGTGGTGGGAGGTTTGTGTGTGGTGGGAGGTTTGTGTGTGGTGGGAGGTTTGTGTGGTGTGAGGTTTGTGAGGTTTGTGTTATGTTATGTGTGTGTCTGGTGGGAGGTTTATGTGTGGTGTGAGGTTTGTGTGTGATTGGAGGTTTGTGAGGTTTGGGGGGGGACGTATTTGTGGTGTGAGGTTTGTGTGTGGTGTGAGGTTTGTGTGTGGTGGGAGGTTTGTATGGTGGGAGGTTTGTGTGTGGTGGGAGGTTTGTGTGTGGTGGGAGGTTTGTGTGTGGTGGGAGGTTTGTGTGTGGTGGGAGGTTTGTGTGGTGGGAGGTTTGTGTGGTGGGAGGTTTGTGTGTGGTGGGAGGTTTGTGTGTGGTAACCAGCTGTGTGTAGTGTTAGATCAGGCCCATGCACGTACCGGCAACCAGCCGTCCCCGCCCTTCTCCCGGTACTCCAGCACGTAGCCGCTGACAGGTGCTCCGTTCTCTTTCTCTGGTGGAGTCCACTGGATCTCGGCGTAGTCCTTGTCGTAGTCAATGACCTGAGGCTCCCCTGGTGGGCTGGTGGGATCTGATGGCCAGATAAGTACACACATCAGATACAAGAGTTGACCAGATACAAGAGTTGACCAGATACAAGAACTGACCAGATACAAGAACTGACCAGATACAAGAAATGACCAGATACAAGAACTGACCAGATACAAGAACTGGCCAGATACAAGAACTGACCAGATACAAGAACTGACCAGATACAAGAACTGACCAGATACAAGAACTGACCAGATACAAGAACTGACCAGATACAAGAACTGACCAGATACAAGAACTGACCAGATACAAGAACTGACCAGATACAAGAACTGACCAGATACAAGAACTGGCCAGATACAAGAACTGACCAGATACAAGAACTGACCAGATACAAGAACTGACCAGATACAAGAACTGACCAGATACAAGAACTGACCAGATACAAGAACTGACCAGATACAAGAACTGACCAGATACAAGAACTGACCAGATACAAGTCAGACACAAGAACTGACCAGATACAAGAACTGACCAGATACAAGAACTGACCAGATACAAGAACTGACCAGATACAAGAACTGACCAGCTACAAGAACTGGCCAGATACAAGAACTGACCAGATACAAGAACTGGCCAGATACAAGAACTGACCAGATACAAGAACTGACCAGATACAAGAACTGACCAGATACAAGAACTGACCAGATACAAGAACTGACCAGATACAAGAACTGACCAGATACAAGAACTGACCAGATACAAGAACCGACCAGCTACAAGAACTGGCCAGATACAAGTCAGACACAAGAACTGACCAGATACAAGAACTGACCAGATACAAGAACTGACCAGATACAAGAACTGACAAGATACAAGAACTGACCAGATACAAGAACTGACCAGATACAAGCACTGACCAGATACAAGAACTGACCAGATACAAGTCAGACACAAGAACTGACCAGATACAAGAACTGACCAGATACAAGAACTGACAAGATACAAGAACTGACCAGATACAAGAACTGACCAGATACAAGAACTGACCAGATACAAGAACTGACCAGCTACAAGAACTGGCCAGATACAAGAACTGACCAGATACAAGAACTGTCCAGATACAAGAGCTGACCAGATACAAGAACTGGCCAGATACAAGAACTGACCAGATACAAGTCAGACACAAGAACTGACCAGATACAAGAACTGACCAGATACAAGAACTGACCAGATACAAGAACTGACCAGATACAAGAACTGGTCATATACAAGAACTGACCAGATACAAGTCAGACACAAGAACTGACCAGATACAAGAACTGACCAGATACAAGAACTGACCAGATACAAGAACTGACCAGATACAAGAACTGACCAGATACAAGAGCTGACCAGATACAAGAACTGACCAGATACAAGAACTGACCAGATACAAGAACTGACCAGATACAAGAACTGACCAGATACAAGAACTGGCCAGATACAAGAACTGACCAGATACAAGAACTGACCAGATACAAGAACTGGCCAGATACAAGAACTGACCAGATACAAGAACTGACCAGATACAAGAACTGACCAAATACAAGAACTGACCAGATACAAGAACTGACCAGATACAAGAAATGACCAGATACAAGAACTGACCAGATACAAGAACTGACCAGATACAAGTCAGACACAAGAACTGACCAGATACAAGAACTGACCAGATACAAGAACTGACCAGATACAAGTCAGACACAAGAACTGACCAGATACAAGAACTGACCAGATACAAGAACTGACCAGATACAAGAACTGGCCAGATACAAGAACTGACCAGATACAAGTCAGACACAAGAACTGACCAGATACAAGAACTGACCAGATACAAGAACTGACCAGATACAAGAACTGACCAGATACAAGAACTGGCCAGATACAAGAACTGACCAGATACAAGTCAGACACAAGAACTGACCAGATACAAGAACCGACCAGCTACAAGAACTGGCCAGCTACAAGAACTGACCAGATACAAGAACTGACCAGATACAAGAACTGACCAGATACAAGTCAGACACAAGAACTGACCAGATACAAGAACTGACCAGATACAAGAACTGACCAGATACAAGAACTGACCAGATACAAGAACTGACCAGATACAAGAACTGACCAGATACAAGAGCTGACCAGATACAAGAACTGACCAGATACAAGAACTGACCAGATACAAGAACTGACCAGATACAAGAACTGACCAGATACAAGAACTGACCAGATACAAGAACTGACCACATACAAGAACTGACCAGATACAAGAACTGACCAGATACAAGAACTGACCAGACACAAGAACTGACCAGATACAAGAACTGACCAGATACAAGAACTGACCAGATACAAGAACTGGCCAGATACAAGAACTGACCAGATACAAGTCAGACACAAGAACTGACCAGATACAAGAACTGACCAGATACAAGAACTGACCAGATACAAGAACTGACCAGATACAAGAACTAATCAGATACAAGAACTGACCAGACACAAGAACTGACCAGATACAAGAACTGGCCAGATACAAGAACTGACCAGATACAAGAACCGACCAGATACAAGAACTGACCAGATACAAGAACTGGCCAGATACAAGAACTGACCAGATACAAGTCAGACACAAGAACTGACCAGATACAAGAACTGACCAGATACAAGAACTGACCAGATACAAGAACTGACCAGATACAAGAACTGACCAGATACAAGAACTGACCAGATACAAGAGCTGACCAGATACAAGAACTGACCAGATACAAGAACTGACCAGATACAAGAACTGACCAGATACAAGAACTGACCAGATACAAGAACTGACCAGATACAAGAACTGACCAGATACAAGAACTGACCAGATACAAGAAATGACCAGATACAAGAACTGACCAGATACAAGAACTGACCAGATACAAGTCAGATACAAGAACCGACCAGCTACAAGAACTGACCAGATACAAGAACTGACCAGATACAAGTCAGACACAAGAACTGACCAGATACAAGAACTGACCAGATACAAGTCAGACACAAGAACTGACCAGATACAAGAACTGACCAGATACAAGAACTGACCAGATACAAGAACTGACCAGATACAAGAAATGACCAGATACAAGAACTGACCAGATACAAGAACTGACCAGATACAAGTCAGATACAAGAACCGACCAGCTAAAAGAACTGACCAGATACAAGAACTGACCAGATACAAGTCAGACACAAGAACTGACCAGATACAAGAACTGACCAGATACAAGTCAGACACAAGAACTGACCAGATACAAGAACTGACCAGATACAAGAACTGACCAGATACAAGAACTGACCAGATACAAGAACTGACCAGATACAAGAACTGACCAGATACAAGAACTGACCAGATACAAGAACTGACCAGCTACAAGAACTGACCAGATACAAGAACTGACCAGATACAAGAACTGACCAGATACAAGAACTGACCAGATACAAGAACTGACCAGATACAAGAAATGACCAGATACAAGAACCGACCAGCTACAAGAACTGACCAGATACAAGAACTGACCAGATACAAGTCAGACACAAGAACTGACCAGATACAAGAACTGACCAGATACAAGTCAGACACAAGAACTGACCAGATACAAGAACTGACCAGATACAAGAACTGACCAGATACAAGAACTGACCAGATACAAGAACTGACCAGATACAAGAACTGACCAGATACAAGAACTGACCAGATACAAGAACTGACCAGATACAAGAACTGACCAGATACAAGAACTGACCAGATACAAGAACTGACCAGATACAAGAACTGACCAGATACAAGAACTAACCAGATACAAGAACTGACCAGATACAAGAACTGACCAGATACAAGAACTGACCAGATACAAGAACTGACCAGATACAAGAACTGACCAGCTACAAGAACTGGCCAGATACAAGAACTGACCAGATACAAGAACTGACCAGATACAAGAACTGACCAGATACAAGAACTGGCCAGATACAAGAACTGACCAGATACAAGAACTGACCAGATACAAGAACTGACCAGATACAAGAACTGACCAGATACAAGAACTGACCAGATACAAGAACTGACCAGATACAAGAACTGGCCAGATACAAGAACTGTCCAGATACAAGAGCTGACCAGATACAAGAACTGGCCAGATACAAGAACTGACCAGATACAAGAACTGACCAGATACAAGAACTGGCCAGATACAAGAACTGACCAGATACAAGTCAGACACAAGAACTGACCAGATACAAGAACTGACCAGATACAAGAACTGGCCAGATACAAGAACTGACCAGATACAAGAACTGACCAGATACAAGAACTGACCAGATACAAGTCAGACACAAGAACTGACCAGATACAAGAACTGACCAGATACAAGAACTGACCAGATACAAGAACTGACCAGATACAAGAACTGGCCAGATACAAGAACTGACCAGATACAAGTCAGACACAAGAACTGACCAGATACAAGAACTGACCAGATACAAGAACTGGCCAGATACAAGAACTGACCAGATACAAGAACTGACCAGATGCAAGAACTGACCAGATACAAGAACTGACCAGCTACAAGAACTGGCCAGATACAAGAACTGACCAGATACAAGAACTGACCAGATACAAGAACTGACCAGATACAAGAACTGACCAGATACAAGAACTGACCAGATACAAGTCAGACACAAGAACTGACCAGATACAAGAACTGACCAGATACAAGAACTGGCCAGATACAAGAACTGACCAGATACAAGAACTGACCAGATACAAGAACTGACCAGATACAAGAACTGACCAGATACAAGAACTGACCAGATACAAGAACTGACCAGATACAAGAACTGACCAGATACAAGAACTGACCAGATACAAGAACTGACCAGATACAAGTCAGACACAAGAACTGACCAGATACAAGAACTGACCAGATACAAGAACTGACCAGATACAAGAACTGGCCAGATACAAGAACTGACCAGATACAAGTCAGACACAAGAACTGACCAGATACAAGAACTGACCAGATACAAGAACTGGCCAGATACAAGAACTGACCAGATACAAGAACTGACCAGATACAAGAACTGACCAGATACAAGTCAGACACAAGAACTGACCAGATACAAGAACTGACCAGATACAAGAACTGACCAGATACAAGAACTGACCAGATACAAGAACTGGCCAGATACAAGAACTGACCAGATACAAGTCAGACACAAGAACTGACCAGATACAAGAACTGACCAGATACAAGAACTGGCCAGATACAAGAACTGACCAGATACAAGAACTGACCAGATACAAGAACTGACCAGATACAAGAACTGACCAGCTACAAGAACTGGCCAGATACAAGAACTGACCAGATACAAGAACTGACCAGATACAAGAACTGACCAGATACAAGAACTGACCAGATACAAGAACTGACCAGATACAAGTCAGACACAAGAACTGACCAGATACAAGAACTGACCAGATACAAGAACTGGCCAGATACAAGAACTGACCAGATACAAGAACTGACCAGATACAAGAACTGACCAGATACAAGAACTGACGAGATACAAGAACTGACCAGATACAAGAACTGACCAGATACAAGAACTGACCAGATACAAGAACTGACCAGATACAAGAACTGGCCAGATACAAGAACTGACCAGATACAAGAACTGACCAGATACAAGAACTGACCAGATACAAGTCAGACACAAGAACTGACCAGATACAAGAACTGACCAGATACAAGAACTGACCAGATACAAGAACTGACCAGATACAAGAACTGGCCAGATACAAGAACTGACCAGATACAAGTCAGACACAAGAAATGACCAGATACAAGAACTGACCAGATACAAGAACTGGCCAGATACAAGAACTGACCAGATACAAGTCAGACACAAGAAATGACCAGATACAAGAACTGACCAGATACAAGAACTGGCCAGATACAAGAACTGGCCAGATACAAGAACTGACCAGATACAAGAACTGACCAGATACAAGAACTGACTAAAAACAAGAACTGACCAGCCAGTGATTAAAGAATGGACTCACCCCATGGATCTTTAGCCAGTATTGTCCCGTCAGTGGGCAGTGGCTGACTCTCCCCTTGACTGTTGACCGCTGACACACGGAATTGGTAGTGGCGCCCGGGTGTCAGGTCGCACACATCAACCTCCACGTCATCCGTTTCACACACCTGCATCACATTTACAAGTCATCAGTCATCTCATGACATTCTATATCAGTCATATCACTAATTTTAGGGTGTATCATCAGTCATATCACTACATTCAAGCTGTATCATCGAATTCGACTTGCTTTAAAGTTGGGAAACAACAAAATGTACCTGTCACTTTTTTTACCATTAAAAGTTTACTTTCATGTAAAGATCTAAGCGATAGTTTTACTTTCATGTAAAGATCTAAGCGATAGTTTTACTTTCATGTAAAGATCTAAGCGATAGTTTTACTTTCATGTAAAGATCTAAGCGATAGTTTTACTTTCATGTAAAGATCTAAGCGATAGTTTTACTTTCATGTAAAGATCTAAGCGATAGTTTTACTTTCATGTAAAGATCTAAGCGATAGTTTTACTTTCATGTAAAGATCTAAGCGATAGTTTTACTTTCATGTAAAGATCTAAGCGATAGTTTTACTTTCATGTAAAGATCTAAGCGATAGTTTTACTTTCATGTAAAGATCTAAGCGATAGTTTTACTTTCATGTAAAGATCTAAGCGATAGTTTTACTTTCATGTAAAGATCTAAGCGATAGTTTTACTTTTTCGTTTAGTGATCCAAATGATCACAAGTGATCCAAATGATCACACGTGATCCAAATTATCACACGTGACCTACTTGTGTCACCTTGTGTCACCTTGACCCTGTGATTTTTTGCCCAACCTTCCACAACTGTGTTATGGCACCAGCATTAATTTCTTTTATCTTTATTTAGTGCTAGTTTGTACATATTTTCACAATCTTAAACATTTTAAAGTACAAAAAAAAAAGTTTTATAACAAGCTTTTAAGTTCTAATGCACTAAATAAGAGAAAATAATAATACACTAAACAAGAGAACATAAATGATTTTCTTTAAATATTTAATAGTACCAGAGGCGTCGCATGGTGGGTGCGGTGTGGTGGGGGGGGGGGGGGGGGGGGTGCGGACCACAACAATGCGACAGGGGGGGGGGGTTGACACACTGCCGAAAAATTGTATAGAGGAAATATGCTTTTGCCAGTTCAATTAATGATTAGAGTTAATCCAACTGTATTAATAACTGACTATTGATAGAAGTCAATACTATGAACTGTGCACAGTTAAATACTATCAATATATATATATATATATATATATATATATATATATATATATATATATATATATATATATATATATATATATATATCATTTTTTAGGGGGTGGGGGAGAGGTGACACCATGAAATGTCGCATCGAGTGACACCCAACCCAGACTCGTTACTGAACAATACACCACTATTTAAATAAAATATTAGTAAAAGTAGCCAATAAATAGTGATAGTGACCCACGCTTTCTTAATATGTATTTTTTTTCTACTAAAAGTAGTAAACGAAACGTTTCCAACAATTAGCTCTATAACCAAACATTTCAAACAATTAGCTCTGTAACGAAACATTTCACACAATTAGCTCTATAACGAAACATTTCACACAATTAGCTCTATAACGAAACATTTCACACAATTAGCTCTATAACGAAACATTTCACACAATTAGCTCTATAACGAAGCATTTCACACAATTAGCTCTATAACGAAACATTTCACACAATTAGCTCTATAACGAAACATTTCCCACAATTAGCTCTATAACGAAGCATTTCACACAATAAGCTCTATAACGAAACATTTCACACAATTAGCTCTATAACGAAACATTTCCCACAATTAGCTCTATAACGAAGCATTTCACACAATTAGCTCTATAACGAAACATTTCCCACAATTAGCTCTATAACGAAACATTTCACACAATTAGCTCTATAACGAAACATTTCCCACAATTAGCTCTATAACGAAGCATTTCACACAATTAGCTCTATAACGAAACATTTCACACAATTAGCTCTATAACGAAACATTTCCCACAATTAGCTCTATAACGAAGCATTTCACACAATTAGCTCTATAACGAAACATTTCCCACAATTAGCTCTATAACGAAGCATTTCACACAATTAGCTCTATAACGAAACATTTCACACAATTAGCTCTATAACGAAGCATTTCACACAATTAGCTCTATAACGAAACATTTCCCACAATTAGCTCTATAACGAAGCATTTCACACAATTAGCTCTATAACGAAACATTTCACACAATTAGCTCTATAACGAAACATTTCACACAATTAGCTCTATAACGAAACATTTCACACAATTAGCTCTATAACGAAACATTTCCCACAATTAGCTCTATAACGAAACATTTCCCACCTTTTCCCACTCTCCTTTCCCGGCGTCCATCTTCTCTACAACATAGTGGGTAATGGGGGAACCGCCGTCATCTTTTGGTTTGTCCCAGAGTAGAGCACAGCGGTTGGAGAAGATGTCTACAACCTCCAGGGGGCCTTCAGGGGCTCCAGGTGCATCTAAACAAATAGACAGGTGTATCTAAACAAACAGACAGGTGCATCTAAACAAACAGACAGGTGCATCTAAACAAACAGACAGGTGCATCTAAACAAACAGACAGGTGCATCTAAACAAACAGACAAGTGCATCTAAACAAACAGACAGGTGCATCTAAACAAACAGACAGGTGCATCTAAACAAATAGACAGGTGCATCTAAACAAACAGACAGGTGCATCTAAACAAACAGACAGGTGCATCTAAACAAACAGACAGGTGCATCTAAACAAACAGACAGGTGCATCTAAACAAATAGACAGGTGCATCTAAACAAACAGACAGGTGCATCTAAACAAACAGACAGGTGCATCTAAACAAACAGACAGGTGCATCTAAACAAACGACAGGTGCATCTAAACAAACAGACAGGTGCATCTAAACAAACAGATAGACAGGTGCATCTAAACAAACAGACAGGTGCATCTAAACAAACAGACACGTGCATCTAAACAAACAGACAGGTGCATCTAAACAAACAGACAGGTGCATCTAAACAAACAGACAGGTGCATCTAAACAAACAGACAGGTGCATCTAAACAAACAGACAGGTGCATCTAAATAAACAGAGAGGTGCATCTAAACAAACAGACAGACAGGTGCATCTAAACAAACAGACAGGTGCATCTAAACAAACAGATAGACAGGTGCATCTAAACAAACAGACAGGTGCATCTAAACAAACAGATAGACAGGTGCATCTAAACAAACAGATAGACAGGTGCATCTAAAGAAACAGATAGACAGTTGCATCTAAACAAACAGACAGGTGCATCTAAACAAACAGATAGACAGGTGCATCTAAACAAACAGACAGGTGCATCTAAACAAACAGACAGGTGCATCTAAACAAACAGACAGGTGCATCTAAACAAACAGACAGGTGCATCTAAACAAACAAACAGGTGCATCTAAACAAACAGACAGGTGCATCTAAACAAACAGATAGACAGGTGCATCTAAACAAACAGATAGACAGGTGCATCTAAACAAACAGACAGGTGCATCTAAACAAACAGACGGAAGTTATGAAGTACACAGCAGTTTGAAACACCTAATCAATCAATCTAGCAACAGATGACTCATCTAACGAATCTAATGGATTAAAATATGACTTGCCCATGACTGTAATTTTGACTGGGACTTTATCTTCCCCAGCATCATTGGTCAGTGTCAGCTCATACTGGCCAGTGTCTGACCTCTGTGCAGCAGGGATCCTCAGCTTTGTGTTCTTGGGTTCAGTCAATGTGTCCAAGTTGCCTTCATCAATATGTTTCCCGTCTTTAGACCACAGAGCACGTGGAACAGGGGCACCTACATACATAAGCTAACAGTAGCATACATAAGCTAACAGTAGCATACATAAGCTAACTGTAGCATACATAGGCTAACAGTAGCATACATAAGCTAACGTAGCATACATAAGCTAACAGTAGCATACATAAGCTAACAGTAGCATACATAAGCTAACAGTAGCATACATAAGCTAACAGTAGCATACATAAGCTAACGTAGCATACATAAGCTAACAGTAGCATACATAAGCTAACAGTAGCATACATAAGCTAACAGTAGCATACATAAGCTAACAGTAGCATACATAAGCTAACAGTAGCATACATAAGCTAACAGTAGCATACACAAGCTAACGGTAGCATACATAAGCTAACAGTAGCATACATAAGCTAACAGTAGCATACATAAGCTAACAGTAGCATACATAAGCTAACAGTAGCATAATAAGCTAACAGTAGCATACATAAGCTAACAGTAGCATACATAAGCTAACAGTAGCATACATAAGCTAACAGTAGCATACATAAGCTAACAGTAGCATACATAAGCTAACAGTAGCATACATAAGCTAACAGTAGCATACATAAGCTAACAGTAGCATACATAAGCTAACAGTAGCATACATAAAGGCGAGAATTTCCTGTCAACATTGTGGAACTACATGCATGAAAATATTTGTCAAAGTATCCAATCCAAAGGTATAAAATACTCGAACAAAAGAAGCTCACTATCTGTCAAAGTATCCAATCCAAAGGTATAAAATACTCGAACAAAAGAAACTCACCATCTGTCAAAGTATCCAATCCAAAGGTATAAAATACTCGATCAAAAGAAACTCACCATCTGTCAAAGTATCCAATCCAAAGGTATAAAATACTCGAACAAAAGAAACTCACCATCTGTCAAAGTATCCAATCCAAAGGTATAAAATACTCGAACAAAAGAAACTCACCATCTGTCAAAGTATCCAATCCAAAGGTATAAAATACTCGAACAAAAGAAACTCACCATCTGTCAAAGTATCCAATCCAAAGGTATAAAATACTCGAACAAAAGAAACTCACCATCTGTCAAAGTATCCAATCCAAAGGTATAAAATACTCGAACAAAAGAAACTCACCATCAAAAGGAATATTGACTTCAATATTCTCTCCTTTCTTGACGAAAATATCCTTGATCTTGGACGCATCAATCTTTGGTGGTCTTGGTACTATCAGGTTGAAGAGGTTGAGTGTTGGTTTAACAAATTGTTAAACAAATAATCGAACAAACGATTAAGGGGATATGCATCGTTAAAAATCATCAAAGTTCTGGTTTTTCGTCATGATGGGTTTCCTGCACTTTTGGATACTTTGTCCGTTTTTACAAGAAAATAATAACTTTAATGAGAATTTTTTTATGTTTTTGAAGTCACTTTTCTAAGACCCTAATAATTAAAAAATAATCATATTGTATTTGGCATCAGTAGAAAGTTGGATTTCTCATTATTAGATAATCTTAATGTCCACCATCTCGGAAACAACATCCAAAGCTTACAATCGGCTTTGCAGTTTACACAGGTATGGTATTTTCGTGACCTATTTTTGTTACTTTTTTTCTCAGTTCGCAGGTTTCTAACACTAAAAATTCTACTACTTTTTTATTTATTTAATATTGCCTACCATATTTTCAGTAATTGTTCTTCATGCAAAAATAAAACTTTTGTCACGAGGGAATTGTGATGGCTTACATAGAGAAAAGGATTTATTAAAAATTATGCAATTTTGCAACTTTTGAATACTAAAAATTGTACGATTTTTTGGACCTTGTAAAATTCTTACTATTAGCTATTTCAAAACTTTGTCGTGACAAAAGTTTGAATATACCCTGAAATATAATCCGTTTAAATTTGATTGATATAAGTGCATAAATTAAAAAAAAGCCTTAGCATTTTTAAAAGTATCGAAAAATTCAAAATGGCGGAGGTTTTTTTTGGTTTCCATGACAACCGAAATTGTTTCAAACCTTTTTTTGCTGTTTAATACTCACTTTTATGTGCCAAACACGGTAAAAGTATTCAAAAGGCTTTAGATCTTAAATTGTAAAAAATATTTTTAAAGGAGCATATCCCCTTAAACAAATTATTAAACAAGCGGTTAAACAAATGATTGAGCAAATAATTAAACAAATAATTTAACAGCTGGTTAAACGAATAAGTGAACAAATGGTTAAACCAATGGTTAAACAAATGGTTGAAACAGAGAAAAAAAAGTCCACAGAGGTTTTGAATGTGCTTATGTTGGTCAATGGAGCAGGCGACTCACGTGGCTCGACATGGACCTTGCACCGGTTGGGGCGGTCACCTATCTGGATGGTGTATTCCCCCGTGTCGCCCATGTCCACATCCTTGACTGTCAGTTTGTAGATCTCCCCTTTGTTGGAGCTTTCATACCTGGTACAGCAATACAGGCATTAGACGCATCACCGGGTGGGTGGACAGGTGGGTGGGTGGACAGGTGGGTGGACAGGTGGGTGGACAGGTGGGTGGACAGGTGGGTAGACAGGTGTGTGGACAGGTGGGTGGACAGGTGGGTGGACAGGTGGGTGGACAGGTAGGTGGACAGGTGGGTGGACAGGTGGGTGAACTGGTGGGTGGACAGGTGGGTGGAGAGGTGGGTGAACTGGTGGGTGGACAGGTGAGTGGACAGGAGGATAGACAGGTGGGTGGACAGGTGGGTGGACAGGTGGGTGGACAGGTGGGTGGACAGGTGGGTGGACAGGTGGGTGGACAGGTAGGTGGGTGGACAGGTGGGTGGACAGGTGGGTGGACAGGTGGGTGGACAGGTTGGTGGACAGGTGGGTGGACAGGTGGGTGGACAGGTGGGTGGACAGGTGGGTGGACAGGTGGGTGGACAGGTGGGTGGACAGGTGGGTGGACAGGTGGGTGGACAGGTACGTGGGTGGACAGGTGGGTGGACAGGTGGGTGGACAGGTGGGTGGACAGGTGGGAGGGTGGACAGGTGGGTGGACAGGAGGGTGGACAGGTGGGTAGACAGGTGGGTGGAGAGGTGGGTGGACAGGTGGGTGGACAGGTGGTTGGAGAGGTGGGTGGACAGGAGGGTGGACAGGAGGGTGGGTAGACAGGTGGGTGGATAGGTGGGTGGACAAGTGGGTGGACAGGAGGGTGGAAAGGTGGGTGGGTAGACAGGTGGGTGGAGAGGTGGGTGGACAGGTGGGTGGACAGGTGGGTGGACAGGTGGGTGGACAGGTGGGTGGACAGGTGGGTGGACAGGAGGGTGGGTAGACAGGTGGGTGGAGAGGTGGGTGGACAGGTGGGTAGACAGGTGGGTGGACAGGAGGGTGGGTAGACAGGTGGGTGGAGAGGTGGGTAGACAGGTGGGTAGACAGGTAGGTGGGTGGACAGGTGGGTGGACAGGTGGGTGGACAGGTGGGTGGACAGGTGGGTGGGTGGACAGGTGGGTGGACAGGTGGGTAGACAGGTGGGTGGACAGGTGGGTGGACAGGTGGGTGGACAGGTGGGTAGACAGGTGGGTGGACAGGTGAGTGGACAGGTGGGTGGAGAGGTGGGTGGACAGGTGGGTGGACAGGTGGGTAGACAGGTAGGTAGACAGGTGGGTAGACAGGTGGGTAGACAGGTGGGTAGACAGGTGGGTAGACAGGTGGGTGGAGAGGTGGGTGGACAGGTGGGTAGACAGGTGGGTGGACAGGTAGGTGGGTGGACAGGTGGGTGGTCAGATGGATGGAGAGGTGGGTGGACAGGTGGCTGGACAGGTGGGTGGGTAGACAGGTGGGTGGACAGGTGGGTAGACAGGTGGGTGGACAGGTAGGTGGGTGGACAGGTGGGTGGACAGGTGGGTGGAGAGGTGGGTGGACAGGTGGGTGGACAGGTGGGTAGACAGGTGGGTAGACAGGTGGGTAGACAGGTGGGTGGAGAGGTGGGTGGACAGGTGGGTGGACAGGTGGGTAGACAGGTGGGTGGACAGGTAGGTGGGTGGACAGGTGGGTGGACAGGTGGGTGGACAGGTGGGTGGACAGGTGGGTGGACAGGTGGGTAGACAGGTGGGTGGAGAGGTGGGTGGACAGGTGGGTAGACAGGTGGGTGGACAGGTGGTTGGACACGTGGGTGGACAGGTGGGTGGACAGGTGGGTGGGTGGTCAGATGGATTGACAGGTGGGTGGACAGGTGGGTGGACAGGTGGGTGGGTGGTCAGATGGATGGAGAGGTGGGTGGACAGGTGGCTGGACAGGTGGGTGGGTAGACAGGTGTGTGGACAGGTGGGTAGACAGGTGGGTGGACAGGTGGGTGGACAGTTGGGTGGGTGGACAGGTGGGTGGTTGGACAGGTGGGTGGACAGGTGGGTGGACAGGTGGGTGGACAGGTGGGTGAGTGGTCAGATGGGTGGACAAGTGGGTGGACAGGTGGGTGGGTGGTCAGATGGATTGACAGGTGGGTGGACAGGTGGGTGAGTGGTCAGGTGGGTGGACAGATGGGTGGACAGGTGGGTGGACAGGTGGGTGGGTAGACAGGTGGGTGAACAGGTGGGTGGACAGGTGCTGGGTAGACTGGTGTGTTGACAGGTGGGTAGGTAGACAGGTGGGTGGACAGATGGGTGGACAGGTGGGTGGACAGGTGGGTGGGTGGTCAGATGGGTGGACAGGTGGGTGGGTGGTCAGATGGGTGGACAGGTGGGTGGAAAGTTGGGTGGACAGGTGGGTGGACAGGTGGGTGGACATGTGGGTGGACAGGTGGGTGGACAGGTGGGTGGACAGGTGGGTGGACAGATGGGTGGACAGGTGGGTGGGTGGTCAGATGGGTGGACAGGTGGGTGGAAAGTTGGGTAGACAAGTTGGTAGACATGTGAGTAGACAGGTGGGTAGACAGGTGGGTGGACAGGTGGATGGGTGGACAGGTGGGTGGACAAGTGGGTGGTCAGGTGGGTTGACAGGTGGGTGGACAGGTGGGTGGGTAGACAGGTGGGTGGAGAGGTGGGTGGACAGGTGGGTAGACAGGTGGGTGGGTAGACAGGTGTATGGACAGGTGGGTAGACAGGTGGGTGGACAGGTGGGTGGACAGGTGGGTGGACAGGTGCTGGGTAGACAGGTGTGTTGACAGGTGGGTAGGTAGACAGGTGGGTGGTCAGATGGATGGACGAATGTGTGGACAGGTGGGTGGACAGGTGGGTAGACAGGTGGGTGGACAGGTGGGTGGACAGGTGGGTGGACAGGTGGGTGGACAGGTAGGTGGGTGGACAGGTGGTTGGGTGGTCAGGTGGGTAGACAGGTGGGTGGACAGGTGGGTGGACAGGTGGGTGGGTAGACAGGTGGGTGAACAAGTGGGTGAACAGGTGGGTAGACAGGTGGGTGGGTAGACAGGTGTATGGACAGGTGGGTAGACAGGTGGGTGGACAGGTGGGTGGACAGGTGGGTGGACAGGTGGGTGGGTAGACAGGTGGGTGAACAGGTGGGTGGACAGGTGGGTAGACAGGTGGGTGGGTAGACAGGTGTATGGACAGGTGGGTAGACAGGTGGGTGGACAGTTGGGTGGGTGGACAGGTGGGTGAATGGTCAGGTGGGTGGGTAGACAGGTGGGTGAATAGTTAGATGGATGTAAAAATGATTATCTGGCATAACTATCAAACCCAGAGGGAATCGGAGGAAATGAGACATTTTTAGAGCTATTCTTGAATATTTTGGTAGACGGTAATGATAATTAGTGAGGGGTTGACTTACTTGGGCAAATCTGTGTTGAGTGGTTCTCCATCTTTGAGCCACTTGAAGGGGTGTTTGTGTGGGTTGGTGGCCTTGCACTCTAGTGAGATGGTCTCCTTTTCTTTACAGTTTCTGTCAGTTAATTTCTTCATGAATTTGACATCAGCTGTAGACAAGTTCTTAAGGTTATTACAAGATGTAAGACAAGATGACCAGTGTAAGTGTAAGACAAGATGACCAGTGTAAGTGTAAGACAAGATGACCAGTGTAAGTGTAAGACAAGATGACCAGTGTAAGACAAGATGACCCGTGTAAGTGTAAGACAAGATGACCAGTGTAAGACAAGATGACCAATGTAAGACAAGATGACCAATGTAAGACAAGATGACCAATGTAAGTGTAAGACAAGATGACCAGTGTAAGACAAGATGACCCGTGTAAGTGTAAGACAAGATGACCCGTGTAAGACAAGATGAGCAGTGTAAGACAAGATGACCAGTGTAAGTGTAAGACAAGATGAGCAGTGTAAGACAAGATGACCAATGTAAGTGTAAGACAAGATGACCAATGTAAGTGTAAGACAAGATGACCAGTGTAAGACAAGATGACCAGTGTAAGTGTAAGACAAGATGACCCGTGTAAGTGTAAGACAAGATGACCAGTGTAAGACAAGATGACAAGTGTAAGACAAGATGACCAGTGTAAGACAAGATGACCCGTGTAAGTGTAAGACAAGATGACCAGTGTAAGACAAGATGACCAGTGTAAGACAAGATGACCAGTGTAAGACAAGATGACCCGTGTAAGTGTAAGACAAGATGACCCGTGTAAGTGTAAGACAAGATGACCAGTGTAAGTGTAAGACAAGATGACCAGTGTAAGACAAGATGACCCGTGTAAGTGTAAGACAAGATGACCAGTGTAAGACAAGATGACCAGTGTAAGACAAGATGACCAGTGTAAGACAAGATGACCCGTGTAAGTGTAAGACAAGATGACCAGTGTAAGACAAGATGACCAGTGTAAGACAAGATGACCAGTGTAAGACAAGATGACCCGTGTAAGTGTAAGACAAGATGACCAGTGTAAGACAAGATGACCAGTGTAAGTGTAAGACAAGATGACCAGTGTAAGACAAGATGACCAATGTAAGTGTAAGACAAGATGACCAATGTAAGTGTAAGACAAGATGACCAGTGTAAGACAAGATGACCAGTGTAAGTGTAAGACAAGATGACCAGTGTAAGACAAGATGACCAATGTAAGTGTAAGACAAGATGACCAATGTAAGTGTAAGACAAGATGACCAGTGTAAGTGTAAGACAAGATGACCAGTGTAAGTGTAAGACAAGATGACCAGTGTAACACAAGATGACCAGTTTAAGTGTAAGACACGATGACCAGTGTAAGACAAGATGAGCAGTGTAAGTGTAAGACAAGATGACCAGTGTAAGACAAGATGACCAGTGTAAGACAAGATGACCAGTGTAAGTGTAAGACAAGATGACCAGTGTAAGACAAGATGAGCAGTGTAAGTGTAAGACAAGATGAGCAGTGTAAGACAAGATGACCAGTGTAAGTGTAAGACAAGATGACCAGTGTAAGTGTAAGACAAGATGACCAGTGTAAGTGAAAGACAAGATGACCCGTGTAAGTGTAAGACAAGATGACCCGTGTAAGTGTAAGACGACTTACGCGAGACAAAAAGCTCTGCTGTTGTAGTCTGGTTTAGGAGCTGACAAGTGTACTTCCCGTCATCTTTGATGCTGCAGTTTTTAATCACCAGCCTTCGTTTGTGGCCGTCCTTGATAAACTCGTATTTACCTCCCGGCTTTAGCTCCTTAACACACATATTCATATCATTTGTTTTTACATATTCACATAATTTGTTTTTACATATTCACATCATTTTTTACATATTCACATACAAAGTAGGCCTAAATCAAATTAGGCAGTGGGTGGGTGAACATTTGATTTTGTTATGTGAGTTGAGGGGAGAAATGCTAACTGTTACTGTCGTTTAAGAATGAATAAATTTGAAATAACCTTGTTGCATCTTGTTCTATCTAAAACAGTCAAGAATTTAAGCAACATTTTATGATCTAATAAACAATTTTCTATCGGACGTGGTTTCAAAAGCACAATCAAAATTGTCAGGGTACTTTGTTTAACTAATGTAGGTCAGGGTACTTTGTTTAACTAAACTAATCTCGTATGTAGGTCAGGGTACTTTGTTTAACTAAACTAATCTCGTATGTAGGTCAGGGTACTTTGTTTAACTAAACTAATCTCGTATGTAGGTCAGGGTACTTTGTTTAACTAAACTAATCTCGTATATAGGTCAGGGTACTTTGTTTAACTAAACTAATCTCGTATGTAGGTCAGGGTACTTTGTTTAACTAAACTAATCTCATATGTAGGTCAGGGTACTTTGTTTAACTAAACTAATCTCGTATGTAGGTCAGGGTACTTTGTTTAACTAAACTAATCTCGTATGTAGGTCAGGGTACTTTGTTTAACTAAACTAATCTCGTATGTAGGTCAGGGTACTTTGTTTAACTAAACTAATCTCGTATGTAGGTCAGGGTACTTTGTTTAACTAAACTAATCTCGTATGTAGGTCAGGGTACTTTGTTTAACTAAACTAATCTCGTATGTAGGTCAGGGTACTTTGTTTAACTAAACTAATCTCGTATGTAGGTCAGGGTACTTTGCTTAACTAAACTAATCTCGTATGTAGGTCAGGGTACTTTGTTTAACTAAACTAATCTCGTATGTAGGTCAGGGTACTTTGTTTAACTAAACTGATCTCGTATGTAGGTCAGGGTACTTTGTTTAACTAAACTTATCTCGTATGTAGGTCAGGGTAATTTGTTTAACTAAACTAATCTCGTATGTAGGTCAGGGTACTTTGTTTAACTAAACTAATCTCGTATGTAGGTCAGGGTACTTTGTTTAACTAAACTAATCTCGTATGTAGGTCAGGGTACTTTGTTTAACTAAACTAATCTCGTATGTAGGTCAGGGTACTTTGTTTAACTAAACTAATCTCGTATGTAGGTCAGGGTACTTTGTTTAACCAAACTAATCTCGTATGTAGGTCAGGGTACTTTGTTTAACTAAACTAATCTCGTATGTAGGTCAGGGTACTTTGTTTAACTAAACTGATCTCGTATGTAGGTCAGGGTACTTTGTTTAACTAAACTAATCTCGTATGTAGGTCAGGGTACTTTGTTTAACTAAACTAATCTCGTATGTAAGTCAGGGTACTTTGTTTAACTAAACTAATCTCGTATGTAGGTCAGGGTACTTTGTTTAACTAAACTAATCTCGTATGTAGGTCAGGGTACTTTGTTTAACTAAACTAATCTCGTATGTAGGTCAGGGTACTTTGTTTAACTAAACTAATCTCGTATGTAGGTCAGGGTACTTTGTTTAACCAAACTAATCTCGAATGTAGGTCAGGGTACTTTGTTTAACTAATGTAGATCAGGGTACTTTGTTTATCTAAACTAATCTCGTATGTAGGTCAGGGTACTTTGTTTAACTAAACTAATCTCGTATGTAGGTCAGGGTACTTTGTTTAACTAAACTAATCTGGAAGTAGAGAAAATGAAGAGTGCAGCCAGTGCAGGGCACATGCCACTCCTTGAGGTGGGTTACATGCTGTGTTCTCTGGGAGGTTCGCTTTTACAACAGGTCATACAACATTGGGTTACAGCACGCAATCATAGAATTGTTGTATAGCTACATCATCAGAATTGTTGTGTAGCTACATCACATAATGGTAAGCCTAAACATATGGGTGATATTAATTTAGGATATAAATGTGCATGTGTGACGTAAATATGTGAGATATACATGTGTATGAAACATACAGGTGTATACAGAAAAGAGTGTATGAAACATGCAGATGTATACAGAGAAGTGTATGAAACATACAGGTGTATACAGAGAAAAGTGTATGAAACATACAGGTGTATACAGAGAAAAGTGTATGAAACATACAGGTGTATACAGAGAAAAGTGTATGAAACATACAGGTGTATACAGAAAAGAGTGTATGAAACATACAGGTGTATACAGAAAAGAGTGTATGAAACGTACAGATGTATACAGAAAAGAGTGTATGAAACATACAGGTGTATACAGAAAAGAGTGTATGAAACATACAGGTGTATACAGAGAAAAGTGTATGAAACATACAGGTGTATACAGAAAAGAGTGTATGAAACATACAGGTGTATACAGAAAAGAGTGTATGAAACGTACAGATGTATACAGAAAAGAGTGTATGAAACGTACAGATGTATACAGAAAAGAGTGTATGAAACATACAGGTGTATACAGAAAAGAGTGTATGAAACATACAGGTGTATACAGAAAAGAGTGTATGAAACATACAGGTGTATACAGAAAAGAGTGTATGAAACATACAGGTGTATACAGAAAAGAGTGTATGAAACATACAGGTGTATACAGAAAAGAGTGTATGAAACATACAGGTGTATACAGAAAAGAGTGTATGAAACATACAGGTGTATACAGAAAAGATAGACAGAGCATTGTTGACAAATGTGTAGTTACAAAAAAAAGAACAACGTTTAGTATGCCCGACTGAAATTCTTTGAGATGCAGTGTGGGGTGCTGTAGGAAGGCAAGTCTAACCATAAAAGTTCTAACTAAAACTAGAAAAGTTGTGCTGTAGGAAGGCAAGTCTAACCATAAAAGTTCTAACTAAAACTAGAAAAGTTGTGCTGTAGGAGGGCAAGTCTAACCATAAAAGTTCTAACTAAAACTAGAAAAGTTGTGCTATAGGAAGGCAAGTCTAACCATAAAAGTTCTAACTAAAACTAGAAAAGTTGTGCTGTAGGAGGGCAAGTCTAACCATAAAAGTTCTAACTAAAACTAGAAAAGTTGTGCTGTAGGAAGGCAAGTCTAACCATAAAAGTTCTAACTAAAACTAGAAAAGTTGTGCTATAGGAAGGCAAGTCTAACCATAAAAGTTCTAACTAAAACTAGAAAAGTTGTGCTGTAGGAAGGCAAGTCTAACCATAAAAGTTCTAACTAAAACTAGAAAAGTTGTGCTGTAGGAAGGCAAGTCTAACCATAAAAGTTCTAACTAAAACTAGAAAAGTTGTGCTGTAGGAGGGCAAGTCTAACCATAAAAGTTCTAACTAAAACTAGAAAAGTTGTGCTGTAGGAAGGCAAGTCTAACCATAAAAGTTCTAACTAAAACTAGAAAAGTTGTGCTGTAGGAAGGCAAGTCTAACCATAAAAGTTCTAACTAAAACTAGAAAAGTTGTGCTGTAGGAAGGCAAGTCTAACCATAAAAGTTCTAACTAAAACTAGAAAAGTTGTGCTGTAGGAAGGCAAGTCTAACCATAAAAGTTCTAACTAAAACTAGAAAAGTTGTGCTGTAGGAAGGCAAGTCTAACCATAAAAGTTCTAACTAAAACTAGAAAAGTTGTGCTGTAGGAAGGCAAGTCTAACCATAAAAGTTCTAACTAAAACTAGAAAAGTTGTGCTGTAGGAAGGCAAGTCTAACCATAAAAGTTCTAACTAAAACTAGAAAAGTTGTGCTATAGGAAGGCAAGTCTAACCATAAAAGTTCTAACTAAAACTAGAAAAGTTGTGCTGTAGGAAGGCAAGTCTAACCATAAAAGTTCTAACTAAAACTAGAAAAGTTGTGCTGTAGGAAGGCAAGTCTAACCATAAAAGTTCTAACTAAAACTAGAAAAGTTGTGCTGTAGGAAGGCAAGTCTAACCATAAAAGTTCTAACTAAAACTAGAAAAGTTGTGCTGTAGGAAGGCAAGTCTAACCATAAAAGTTCTAACTAAAACTAGAAAAGTTGTGCTATAGGAAGGCAAGTCTAACCATAAAAGTTCTAACTAAAACTAGAAAAGTTGTGCTCTAGGAGGGCAAGTCTAACCATAAAAGTTCTAACTAAAACTAGAAAGGCTACGGCAGCAAAGGTCTAAAGCCTTTCAAAATAAACTACCTCAATTACTCCAGGGGTATCCTGAAAATGATTTTCGTCAGTTAATCCAACAGATTCAGTTAATTAACAATGTTTGTTTAAAATTGCTATATGTAATAACATAATAAGTTTATACGTTAAAATAAATGTTTAATATCGAATAGTTTAGTTGATTCATTAGACATGTACAGTTCGTTTATCAAGTATCTTTGTTTTATTGTTTTCGTAAACGTGTGCAGTTTGTTTATAAATGAAGTATTCATGGGGCATGGTAGTTCACATTGATGTTTGCAATGTTTGATAGTTCACACTGATGTTTGCAATGTTTGATAGTTCACACTGATGTTTGCTTCAAGATGTTACAAAATTGAAACATAAATTAGAAAAAATAAAACCACCTACAAGTAAAAAACGTACAATGAATGTAAGATGTAAGATGTAATGCCTCTTGTATTCATTAGTTTACCTTTCCTTCTCTCAGCCAAATGACGTCAGCTTCATGGTCACTGACGTCACACTCGAGCGTGGCCTTCTCCCTCTCCACCGCCTCCACATCCTCCAGCTTCTTCATGAACTCCCACTCGGGCTCTGGGGAGGGCAGAGAAAACTTCACTCGTGGCGTGGAGTGGATACATGTTCAGATACTTTATGTGATTGAATGGATACATGTTCAGATACTCATTTCATGTGATTGAATGGATAAATGTTCATATACTTTATGTGATTGAGTAGATAAATGTTCAGATACTTTATGTGCACAGACCTCATTCCAGATCAGCTTGTAGATACTGAGGTATACTGACTAAATACCCATACACTTACTGACTAAAGATGCATATACTGACTAAATGTGCATGTACTGACTGGCTAAATTCTGCAGCTACTGACCAACGACATTGACCCTGGTTTCTGTCTTGATCTCGGCACACCTACAGCTGTAGACATCCTCGTCCTCCTTGGCCGCGTTGACCAGCTTAAAGATGCACCTGTTTTCTCGACGCTGGATCTCGTATTTACCGGGGGTGTACTGCAGGAAAGGTTTAAACACACTTTCAAATACATGCTGTGTAAACACACTGTCAAAATTATGCTGTGTAAACACACTTTCAAATACATGCTGTGTAAATAGTTATAAATAGGCCTACATGTTTTCTTTACCTTTGTTGAGATGTTTATATATTTATAACATGTTTGTTACACGTGTAAGGGTGGAGAGTTATTTAATTATTATTTTATTACAAAAATGCGGATGTCACTTTTTGTGTCCTGCTTAGGATTGTCGTAATTAAGCAGTCCGCTATTATGGCGCGGGTTTAATTTTGATTTTAAAATTGTTATTGGTTGTTTTGTGTGTCTTGTTTATATTTTGATGTTATTATTTATTCAAACTTTGTTTTAGTGTGTGGTCCCATTTTATGTTTAATGTTGTGTTGTTAGTTATTGTTGTATTGGGGACTATTTTCTTGTGTGCAGTAAGTGGTGTGTTGTACTTTAGTTTAGTTCAAAATTTTAAATTTCTTTTTGTTCGTGGCGTGTGTGTCAGCGAGGGACCTTCTGTGCGCGGGGCCTGTGTGGTCAAGTGTTTCTGTGTTGTATTTCTGTGGTAACGTAGATCTTTTTCTTATGGTGTTTTATTATGTTTCCCTTTAAGGGGATATGCGCGGAAAAAACCCACAAAATTTCTTGTTTTCCGTCATGATGGGTTTCTTGCACTTTTGGATACTTTGTCCATTTTTGTATAAAGAAAATAATAACTTAAAAGAGAAAAAAATATTTTATGTGTTTGAATTACGATTTTTATGACCCTATTAATTAAAAAATAATCAATTTTTCCCTATCTTACAAGCTTCTCTATGAAAAGTTTTATATACGTCATTATATTGTATTTGACATCATCGGAAAGCTGGATTTCTCATGTATTTAATAAACTTAATTTCCTACATCTCGGAAACACCCAACGCTTACAATCGGCTTTACAGTTTACACAGATATGGTACTTTCCTGACCTAGTTTTCGTTACTTTTGGCGGTTTTTCTCAGTTCACAGGTTTTTAACACTAAAAAGCCTACTACTTTTTTATTTATTAAACAATGGCAACCATATTTTCAGTAAATGTTCTTGATTCAAAAATACAACTTTTGTCACGAGGGAATTGTGATTGCTTTCATAGAAAAAAAGTATTTGGTAATTAATATGCACATTTTGAAACTTTTGAATACTAAAAAGGGTTAGATTTTTTAGACATCGTAAAATTTTTACTAGTAATTATTTCAAATAGTTGTCGTGACAAAAGTTTTAATATATACTGAAATATAAGCAGTTTAAATTTGATTGCTATAGGTGCATAAATAAAAAAGCCTTAGTATTTTTAAAAGTACCGAAAAATTCAAAATGGCGGAGGTTTTTTGGGTTTCCATGACAACCAAAATTGTTTTCGAACCGTTTTTTTGCTGTTTAATACTTACTTTTATATGCCAAATATGATAAAAGTATTCAAAAGGCTCTAGATCTTAAACTCAAAAAAATAGAAAAAAACATAGCATATCCCCTTAATAGTTTGCTTATTTTATTTGTCTACGAAGTGGCTACGTATTATTTAGTATTTAGACTGAGAAGTCTCAATGGTTGTAGTTTCAGGCCACGTGATGGTATGATGGTCTGGATTGAGACAGTTGTAATACTAGTTTGTATTTTATTTTACGAGAGCCTCATGTTGAGGCTGATAATTAATTGTATCCATTGAGCTAGTAGTTTGCTGCTCAGTGACCTGAGATTTACAGGTTTTTACAGTGTTCTGTGTGAACTACTTGTGGATTGTTAATTAACATTTAATCTTGTCACCCTTCATTTGAAGGTTCAGTTTGTACAATATCCATTTTATTTTGTGTCATCATGCCTTGTATACAACCATTTTACTGTTATAAGATTTTCATGTAGGTCTATATATTCTCTTTTCAGGTTTATAGTTCGAATGGGTGTTTTGTTGTGTTTAGTTTTGTCGTCTTCAGTTTTTTTTATTTTTTAGTAAGTTTAGTACCTTTTATTTTGTTTAATACATTTTATAAACTGCTAGCGTACCCGTCCCCGTGCGTTGCCGCGGGGATATAATAAAGTCCGACGAAATATATAAGAAGGGTTTCATCAATGCGTTACCAATCCTATGTTCTAAGACGCGTGATCTTGTTTTCTAAAAGTGAGTTATTTAAATGTAAACAATGCCTGCTCTTGGATCATAAATATCGGGACACGGGTTTACCTACACTACCGCATGAAAACATTGAGTGTACATTAATTAATCACCGAAATAATGTGGTAGAACACACTTCGGTGACCGCCCATGTGTCAGGGACGTAGAGGGTCGCTCTCGGGAGCGTTAAACATCAATGTGACTGATGCAATATGTTAGTGATACTAATGGTCTATTATTAGATGCTTGATGTCAATTTCTGATGGGATTGTCTAAAACTAGATGCTAAATGCATCATTCGCATAGTGACGAAACTGTTTGGATTTTTATGGACAAAAAGAAACATCCCAGTTAATAATCTAAACTTGGTTATTTTTTCTTATCATTACAATAGAACGTATTACATGTGTTCTAATAAACTCACCAAAGTTTGGTGGCAATCGGGTGAACGGCGTGAAACCGCAATCGACTTTTATTTTTATTTACCGTATATTCTCAACAACTTCCCAAAGTTTCATGGCGATGTGATGAGGAGTGTAGTAATGCATTAAAGACAAACACACACACACACACACATTGCTTTATATAAAATATATATAGACAGACAGAAAGACAGACAGATAGACGGATGGACGGACGGACGGACGGGCGGATGGATGGACGGATGGATGGATGGATGGATGGATAGATGGATGGATGGATGGATGGATGGACGGACGGATGGATGGATGGATGTCGTCTTAGCTCGAAACAGGCGAGCGAAATTTCAAGAACTTGTAACAGACGGATTCGTTTCAAACTTGTAACGTGGATAAAGACTTAGAGACAATATAATATGATTTCTAATTGAACTTAGATGGATGACGAATTAATTTTTTAAAAATTAATTAAAATTTTCTTTTAAAAATGCACAGTTTAACAAGCTTTTATTAAATGATGCACTAAAAGGAGAAAATTAATGATTTTCTTTAAATATATAATAGTCCACTACTATTTAAATAACTATAAAGAAAAGAGTGAGTCACTATATTATCTATTGGATACGTTTACTAATATTTAGGAAGAGACCCACGTATTTCTGTATAGTTATTTAAATACAAGTGTAATACTATATATTTAAAGAAAATCATTTATTTTCTCATTTTTAGTGCATTACTAGACTACCCGTTATCTAGTTAGATAACTGTGGGTTTCGGGGGGTCATCCATAAATGACATCACGACTGCCAGCACTTATCATCCCAAAATACCAGACCCCACATTGAAAAAGACGTTTTTTATATTTTAAAAACTCTACTAAACTCTACTTCACCTGCTCAGTGCCCCGCCAAGTCTCAGACATGTTTGTATTTTAAAATTAAATTTAATATTTTTAATATTACTAAAGTCATTGTTCTAAACTTTTATAATTCATGTGGTTAATCTAGCAATGAATAAATAAATAAATAAATTAACGGCTTTAAATTAGTTTGTAATTAACACTGTGTTTAAGAAAGAACAATATTTACCACCCAAAATTCTATCTTACAGCACTACACATAATGCAGATTCTCCCCAATAACAAATAAAAAAAACAAACAAACAAAAAAATGAGTTATCAAACGTCACTATTCAGTCAAAGTTAAGCCATTGTTCTAAAACTTTAAAATTAATGTGGTTAATCTACCTATGAATAAATCAATAAATTAATTAACGTCTTAAAATAAATGTGTGATTAACAGTCTATCTGAAATCAAAAATTGTTCTCTACCTACATACTATTTTACAGCCACCCCCCCCCCCCCCCATATAGAACAGTTTCCTTACAGTACCAAATCAGACAAACAAATAAATATTCAAACATGTAAACAAACTTGAGTTTTAGTAGTATATAGATTACATAAAAGCTTGTTATTAAAAGGTTTTTATGCATTTTTAAGTTAATATTTAAATAAAAGCTAGTTATTAAAGTGTTGCTCTTTATACATGCATTAAACATTTAACAAACTTTTATGTAATAATGCATTAAAAGTAGAAAATAAATTATTTCCTTTAAATATAAAATAATACACTTCTACTTAAATTACTATAAATAAAATTGTGAGTCGCTTTATTATATATTGGATACTTTTACTAATATTCTGGCCTGTGGGTATACGGAGGATAACTATAAATCTCTAAATCTACATATAAACAGGGAGGGGGGGGGGGGTGCGGACCGCACTGCGTGACACTAAGACGAAATAAATTGCAAGATGTATAGAATAAATATGTATTTTGCCAGTTCTATGGTTAATTAGAATTTAGTTTAGTACATAGTGGTGATCCCGACAAGGGGTGGGTGATTATACCATGATTTAAACACGCAAACTCTAGAGAAAACAATGCTTTACCCAGCTGTATTAACATAATAACAACCGACTGTAGGCAAACATTATTAGTATTAAATGTGATACTTAAAAGCTTTTTACCAACTGAAAAATTTACAAAGACGAAAAAAGAGGCAAGGAGGGGAGTGGGTTAACGGGAGTGGGTTAACGGGAGTGGGTTAACACCATACGGTGCAGCACCAGGTGACACTCGACCTAGCGACGCCACTGCATATATATATATATATATATATATATATATATATATATATATATATATATATATATATATATATATATATATATATATATATATATATATATATATATATATATATATATATATATATATATATATAAAGTGACTGGATTTGACAGGACCACACCGACCAGTGATTAGACCACCATTTACTGTGGACATAGCTTTCAATTTTTTCACCTTCCCTTACGCCAGTAGACAACGAAGAAAAATCACCCAGAGAGATTCGTCAACAATTCTACACCTTCACACCTGGGGTATGTGTGTAGTCCACCCCCCCCCCCCCCCCACACACACACACTCAGCGGTGAAGCGATATGAAATAGTAGGTCACGCCACGGCTCGCTGAGACAGACGGCTGTAGATCAATAACTGAATCAAAGAAAGTCTTGAAAAATCGATCGTGTCAACTATCTACACATAGAGAAAGTTGGATGACGTCAGTCCGGGTCGTGCCACTGGAAGGTAGGTTTCTTTTTTTTAAATTTGATTTTTCTTCTAGAATGTCGACATGATACATAGCTGAAAGTTGTCCCTAACTTGCCTAGCTTGAAATGAAACCAAACTGTTTTCATAACAAGATTTGAAATGTACAAACAATCTGACATAGTTGACGCGGACGTGTAGGGAGTCGCGTACATACAGGACAACCAGGCTTAGAGGGACTCTCAACAAAAGATTGTGTGTTTTTGTCTTGACATTTTCAAAATATCAAACTTTTTAAATACAACTTTTTATACTTTTTGGTACGTTCTAAATGTAAAAATATGATAGGTCCACTAAGCTGATATTTAACTTTTGAAAGTAAGTAGAAATAAGCACCAAGTTTATTCTTTCCATTCTGGATGATGGTAAATTTCTACATATGTGTGTATGTATTTATGTATGTATGTATGTATGTATGTATGTATGTATGTATGTATGTATGTATATATGTATATATGTATATATGTATATATATATATATATATATATGAGTATGTGTTTAGTTTTTATTTTTGAACAGTATTAATGTGAGTAGACCCAATAAAAACGGACAGGTCCAACGTATACAAAAACATTTTCCATTTTCTTTTAAGGAACCGAAATGTTTCACTGAAACTTGTAGGCTACGTCATCTGATGTCAACCAGCGTGTCAGTCATGTGTTGATGGTGTGTTGATGGTGTGCTGATGGTGTGTTGATGGTGTGCTGATGGTGTGTTGGTCGTGTACTGAAGACGACATGGGGACATTTCTACAGCAGGATCAGGTGCTGGGGTGGGGTGTAGGACACCAGGGCGAGAGGCTGTTTAATACTGCATCGGTAAGGCGTCCAAACAAGCTAGACACAATAGTCGGACAAACAAGCTAGACACAATAGTCGGACAAACAAGCTAGACACAATAGTCGTCCAAATAAGCTAGACACAATAGTCGGACAAACAAGCTAGACACAATAGTCGGACAAACAAGCTAGACACAATAGTCGTCCAAATAAGCTAGACACAATAGTCGGACAAACAAGCTAGACACAATAGTCGGACAAACAAGCTAGACACAATAGTCGTCCAAATAAGCTAGACACAATAGTCGGACAAACAAGCTAGACACAATAGTCGGACAAACAAGCTAGACACAATAGTCGTCCAAATAAGCTAGACACAATAGTCGGACAAACAAGCTAGACACAATAGTCGGACAAACAAGCTAGACACAATAGTCGGACAAACAAGCTAGACACAATAGTTGGACAAACAAGCTAGACACAATAGTCGGACAAACAAGCTAGACACAATAGTCGGACAAACAAGCTAGACACAATAGTCGGACAAACAAGCTAGACACAATAGTCGGACAAACAAGCTAGACACAATAGTCGGACAAACAAGCTAGACACAATAGTCGGACAAACAAGCTAGACACAATAGTTGGACAAACAAGCTAGACACAATAGTCGGACAAACAAGCTAGACACAATAGTCGGACAAACAAGCTAGACACAATAGTTGGACAAACAAGCTAGACACAATAGTCGGACAAACAAGCTAGACACAATAGTCGGACAAACAAGCTAGACACAATAGTCGGACAAACAAGCTAGACACAATAGTCGGACACAAACTTTGAGCGACAACTAGTAGCCACAGTATTTTATTATATCACGACGTTATTGCCAGGGTCTACAGCCGACCTACAGGGAGAGTGCCGATTCTTTTCTTGACGAGTCTGACGTGGACCCCTATGACGCCATCTATGGCGAGCTGGACCTGGGGCGAGTGTACGGCCAACAGCTCGCAGTCTGGAGCCACCGCTCGCCTGAGATGGTCTCGCTCTTCACCCCAGTAGAGGGCGACACCTTCGTCAACATTGTGGCGTTCGCCAGGTCGACCCTAGAGTTCAACACGGCGGTAGACAAGGTCAGATCTTTTACTTATATGGGGCATTTCGTTTATCTATCTCAAACAGTACTCAAGTTATCGGCTGTTGAAAAACAAAATAAGTCCCACTTCCGTTTATCGGAAATCGCTGAAAAGTTGTTAAAGAACTACAAATTTGATATAATACTTGTATATAAAATTTCATCTACCTATCTGTAACGGTACTCACGTTATCGTGTTTACAGACACGCACACACACACACAGACACGGACAGAATTGCAAAGCCCAGTTTTTCCGACTCGAATACGCATAAAACGCCGAAATTTTTATGTCTGGGTTTATAATTTTTGCCCGATTAAAGTAAGTCCCCTATACTCCGTATGTGATGAAGTAGGCCTACTGGGGTGTAAAACGGCGAAAACTGTCAAAATTTCACGTGAATATAGTGCACGATTACAATATTTCCTCTCTACTCTGGATACGAGAAAGTAATGACACAGGAATCCAGTGTAGCTGGAAGATTTAACTGATGACATCTGCCTACTATCTCACAAGCAACAACAAGCTCAACCTAAACTGAATCCACTATCTAAAGAAGCCTCCAAAGTTGGACTAAAAATCAATAGAAATAAAATAGAGGTTATCAGAATCAATAACAAACAGGACCTGCAAATACAACTAAAACGAGAAGAAATACCAGAAACGTGTAATCAGCAAGGATGGGGGAGCAGACGAGGACATAAATAGCCGTATCAACAAGGCCAGCTATGCCTTCTACTCACCGTGTCCAATATTTACAGCCTTGTCCCCCCAGAAAAAAATAGGAATTGTTCAATACAAATTTTAACGCGGTATTACTTTATGGCTCTGAGACCTTGATGGTTACCTAGGCAATTACAGATAGGCTACAGCCATCCACAAACAGATGTTTACGACAGATACAAAAGCTAAGATGGCCCGACCAAATGCCCAATAGAGACTGTGGCAATACACCAAACAATAGTCAATAGACAGGGGTAGAGGATAACATCGCGAGGCAAGCCGTAGACTGGAATCTCCAGGGAAGAAGAAGATAGCCCGGCTAAGGGACTCCTAGAGAAGGACGGTTAGCACAAGAAGAGAGCTGCCCAAAACAGAGGCTGGTGGAATATGGAAAGGTTTGGCTATACCTAGCACAAGAAGAGAGCTGCCCAAAACAGAGGCTGACGGAATGTGGAAAGGTTTTGCTCTTTCATCCCCAGTGGCCGCAATGGAATAAAAAAAAAAGAAAAAGAAAAGCGCATGTGGATATAGTAGTGAGGGGATAAGGCCGTTTATTTTGTGCGCATATTGTTGGGAGCTTAGTGGTGCTCAATTATAGTTTTTGCCTCCATTCTGTACAGCCTCAGTTTAGATTGACACCCCCCTTTAGCCTCAATATAGCTTGATATATTCCCCCTCCACCCCCAGCTTCAGTAGTGCAGTCTGGTAAATCTGAGCAAAGTTTGAAATTTAGAAAATCTTTAAACGTCTGGAAAGTCACTAACTTTTGGTTTGGATTTTTAAAAAGTCTGGAATATAGTTTTCAAAACAAAACGTTTCCACGCAGTTTCCAACTAACGATGAATTGATAATTCTCTGTGCGATCACCTTCTGTTAGACGGTTTTTAAAAAAAATTCGTTGCAAATGAAGATGAATAGGGGTAAACTAACCTGCCCCTCCTAGTAACTGCATTCACTGATATCTAAACTTGTGCGAACTCACAGTGACCCCAAGTACGTACTTGGCACGTGTTATACAGGCCTACTGATGTCTAGACTACGGTGAACTCATAGTGACCCCTCCACCGTGTCTTTGGGGTGTTGGATACTTGCGATTAATAATTGCAGAGAAAGATACTGAGCTATAACCACAAATAATTCTGTGGATACGGCGCGCATCAAATACCGAGCTCATATTTTTTCTTGTCAAGTAGCCATTTTTTCCCTAGTTACTAGATCTGGGACCTTGGATAAAGGATACTCAGCAAGAGCTGACCCAAATAAATGACTTTATTGTTTTAAAGAAATTAATTCTCACAAGTGTGCTTAATTCTGGACTACCATTTGGTAATAATTCAATTGAAAACAAAGCAATTAGATCAAGAACATATTAAGTTTAATAATGTTGGAAACAAACTAGTTTCGTCATGCTCATCAATTATATTAATTATTTAAAATTTGGGTGGAGTGGGAAGGGGGTGGAGTGGGGAAGGCAACCGTAGCTGTTTCTGTTACTTTGGTTAAAGAATATTCAATATAAACATAAGCTCAATTGCCTAAACTAAATATCATTATTTTAATTGTAATTTTAAAAATTGCACCATTTAGTAACTTAATCTCTAAAACATCTAATCGTCTAATATATAAAGATAACCCATACTATCTGTCTCTGTGATCGCTGTTGTGTAATATTCTTAAGTGTTCAGTTTGTACTAAAATCTAATTTGATGATTTAAAAACTCAATATTAATTATTTTCAAACTAAATTTTCCATTAACAACTTATCATTTTGATTGACGTAATGTGCAGAATAAAGAATTAAGCTGAATTAATTACTTTACAGAAATCCTGATTTTGTTTGAAAAAGTATACACATTACGTCTCTTTATATCAGTTACTTTCCTAGAGATAATATAAGTTACATTAAAAAAATTACGATTTTAAAGTTTGTTTTAATGTTGAGAAAAATGTTAAAATTAGCATAAGGGACAACGTTACAGGTAAAAACTGGTATTTAAATACTACCTCAATTTTTTTATACGCTGAATATAGTTTACTAATTATTATTTTTTATTAATAGCAGGTTGGATGGAAGGCGTCATTCTTAAATGTCCTTTATGTTTATGTTTCCATTCGCCTTATTCTTTCCGGTTATGTTTGCGTTTGTTCTTGTGTTTTAGATTGTGTTTTGTTTATGTTTGTGTTTATGTTAGCGTTGCGTTTGTTTTTGTGTATTGTTTGTTTTTTTTTTGTTTGCGTTTGTGTTTACGTTTGTGTTTTGGTTGTGGTTGGTTGTGGTTAGGGTTATGTTCAGATTTAGAGTTAGGTTTAGGGTTATGTGTTATTTTTTCAAATGGTCATATTTGCACATAGACATTTAATTGGAAAAGTAAACTAAAAGGCCTATATTTCCTAAACCCGGTCCTTTACAGATAGATTTTTCACATAGGCCAATGCAAGGCCTGGCCGGGACGGCTAGTATCTGTATAAGTCTGGAAATTTTCCCAAAAGGTCTGGATTATGTCTCGAATTTTAGTTGTGTGAACCCTGTGCTTGATGATTCCCCCGGCTTCCCTCCCCTGTCCCCCAAGCCTCGGTAGTGCTTCATTTACCCCCTCCCCCAACCTGTGTTATGGGACGGAGTGGTCTAGCGGTAGAGAGCTGGACTACTAACCCGAAAGTATCGAGTTCGAATCCGGGTTCAATCAGTAGACCGTCCCTGAGTCCACCCAGCTCTGATGGGTACCTAACTCAAGTTAGGGAAAGTAAAGGCGGCTGGGCATAGTGCTGACCACACTATCTCTCCATATGTCGAGGTCACAGAAACAAGTGAACTCTACTTCACTTGCCCCATAGACCGCCAGGTTTGAAAAGGGAAACTTTACTTTTTTACCAGCCTGTGTGGTGGTGAGCTAAATGTGTGTCTGTACTCTCCAGATGATGGTGTTGTTGCCGGGACACAAGCGGCCACTGGACATGGAGAGCGTTTTTCTGGTCAAGCCAGGGACAGCTATCATCATCGCCCCTCTCTACGACTACATGGTCACGATTGAAGTCAAGCAACTTGGGCACAGAATAGATCTGGTGGTAAGTGGTATCACCTGTCTCATTTGATGTAGGCTACATGTGATTACACATTGATGTAGGCTACATGTGATTACACTTTGATGTAGGCTACATGTGATGACACTTTGATGTAGGCTACATGTGACGACACTTTGATGTAGGCTACATGTGACGACACTTTGATGTAGGCTACATGTGATGACACTTTGATGTAGGCTACATGTGACGACACTTTGATGTAGGCTACATGTGACGACACTTTGATGTAGGCTACATGTGATTACACATTGATGTAGGCTACATGTGATGACACTTTGATGTAGGCTACATGTGATGACACTTTGATGTAGGCTACATGTGATGACACTTTGATGTAGGCTACATGTGACGACACTTTGATGTAGGCTACATGTGACGACACTTTGATGTAGGCTACATGTGACGACACTTTGATGTAGGCTACATGTGACGACACTTTGATGTAGGCTACATGTGACGACACTTTGATGTAGGCTACATGTGACGACACTTTGATGTAGGCTACATGTGATGACACTTTGATGTAGGCTACATGTGACGACACTTTGATGTAGGCTACATGTGATGACACTTTGATGTAGGCTACATGTGACGACACTTTGATGTAGGCTACATGTGACGACACTTTGATGTAGGCTACATGTGACGACACTTTGATGTAGGCTACATGTGACGACACTTTGATGTAGGCTACATGTGACGACACTTTGATGTAGGCTACATGTGATTACACATTGATGTAGGCTACATGTGATGACACTTTGATGTAGGCTACATGTGATGACACTTTGATGTAGGCTACATGTGATGACACTTTGATGTAGGCTACATGTGACGACACTTTGATGTAGGCTACATGTGACGACACTTTGATGTAGGCTACATGTGACGACACTTTGATGTAGGCTACATGTGACGACACTTTGATGTAGGCTACATGTGACGACACTTTGATGTAGGCTACATGTGACGACACTTTGATGTAGGCTACATGTGATGACACTTTGATGTAGGCTACATGTGACGACACTTTGATGTAGGCTACATGTGATGACACTTTGATGTAGGCTACATGTGACGACACTTTGATGTAGGCTACATGTGATGACACTTTGATGTAGGCTACATGTGATGACACTTTGAGTTGGGCGCAGCAACCCTACCCAATAAAAGCTATCTTTGCTAGAGGCTACACCAACGTTAAACCAACGAAAGCTTATGGTGTATGTTACAGTCAAAGCTTATGGTGTGTGTTACAGTCAAAGCTTATGGTGTATGTTAGGGGTCATCCATAAATGACGTCACGCTTTTTTTGACGATTTTTACCTCCCCCCTCCCCTCCGTCACACTTCGTCACAAAAAGCCAGACCCCCCCGTAAAATGACGTCACACCTCAACCTACAACCCCCCTCAAAATTGCAGTTGAATTTTTTTAAAACATTGATATTTTTCCAAAATCTTGTCTAAACTATTACAATTTATTAAAACAGTTATCTAAAACGCGAAATAACGTCTAAAATTCGTTTTCTAACATTGCTTTTTTATAATGCAAAAATGTGACGTCGCAACATCTGACCCCCCCCCCCCCATCCCCCTCATCACACATCGTCACAAAATTACGGACCCCCCCCCCTCCCCCCTACGAGTGTGACGTCATTTATGGATGACCCCTTACAGTCAAAGCAAAAACCAGGACCCGTAAAATCTGAACTCTGTAGGATATTGGCTGTAAATCCAGCCAAGTAGTGCGGGCAATGAGGAGACAGGACGTGAAGGCTGGTGGGGTACACGAGCATACCCAGTAGGATACCAGAGGCAGCATTGTAATGTTGGTATGGGCTCCCATTATTACTGGTAGCTTTAAGATTCAATGCTAAGGGGCCATACGACAAATGTAAGGGCCATAAGACAAATGTAAGGGCCATAAGACAAATGTAAGGGCCATAAGACAAATGTAAGGGCCATAAGACAAATGTAAGGGCCATAAGACAAATGTAAGGACCATAAGACAAATGTAAGGGCCATAAGACAAATGTAAGGGCCCACCACAAGAGAAGAGCTCTGAGCCTCCTCACATAATGAAAGCAGAAGTGGTAGATACAAACACAGGTCACGAACTTGACAAGAAAAACACATTTCTTTCAAAGGCATTGGAGTTCAAAAAATAAAGAAATCAGAAATTCAATAAACACAAGGACTGGGTGACATACGCGACTAAAATTAGAAGCTGGAAGAAATAACAAAACATTAGCAAATATCAGGAGCAACAGAGGAAGGAAGTCCTTGGAACTTTGTATTGGAGGCTAAGTTGTAGGTTAAGTTGTTAACCGCTAGGTTAAGTTGTTGGTTAAGTTGTTAACCGCTAGGTTAAGTTGTTGGTTAAGTTGTTAACCGCACTAAAATGTGCAATAGTGGAAAGAAAACGCTTCATCCATTTCATGAGAGAAGAAGCGGAGATTTACACGGCAAAAGGAATGAACTGGTTGTGTGAACTGGTTGTGTGAACTGGTTGGCTTATCCACATGGTTACGACAAGGCTATAATCTTTCTCCAATGATCGTGTTTGCATCGTTGACTGGATTATGAGAAGCAAAACCTCAGACCAGAAGGCTGCAATACAGTTGACCCGAACCAAACGCTGGAGGGACTTCTCGAGCGACCGATAGTGTTTTAAAGCCAAATATTTTCAGTCGCAGCATTGGTAGCGTCAAATTCACAAATTATGAATTACTGAAAAGTAGAAAAAAAAAACAACTAAATAGCGGCCTATGCTTACGACGCGGATCAGCCCGTATAATGTAAATGTAATTGTAGTGAATGAGTGAAGGGGGGAGGTGAATGTTGTTTATACTTTGTATCCTGTCCCGTTCGTCCCTGTTCAATCCTTGTGTTGTGACTTGTGACAGTCTGATTTATATCTGTTTTCTGTAAGGGTATATAAGGTGTGTGAGAACTTGTCTGTTAGCCTCAGTTTAGTCAAAGTTTGTGCAATAGCGAATGCATTTATATTTACAATAGCCATTGTGGTGTAGATAGTGGATAGATCTATATAATTAGTCTTTTATTGTTAACGAGCCTTTGTTTGATTCAGTCTTGTTTTGTTACCCGTTTCTGGTTGTTCGTCGTATTCGTTGCGCGACGCACTGGGTCAAAGGCGTTTCCGTGTGTTCACAACAGTAATGTAAGCTACATGTAATGATATGTAATGTAAGCTACATGTAATGTAGTCTGCAGGGAATGACCCTGTAGTGTAGGCTAGATGTAATGACCTGTAATAATGTGAGCCAACCTGTTTCCCCAGTTGAACATTACAATGTCCGTGCAGGAGCTCAAGTCACGTCTGCAGACAGAGCGAGGCTACCCCTCCACCAGGATGGACCTCTTGTACAAGGACCGGCCCCTACAGAACGACAGGTACCTTTTTGAGTACGGACTGGCACATTCCAGCACCATTTTTGTGCTGCTCCAGCTCAAGAACGACGTGCTGGTTCATGTCGAGACCTTCTGGGGCAAGCGCTACCACCTGTACGTAGACCCGTGCACCACGGGGTTCGCCATCATCGCCAGCGTGCTGCGGCGCACGGTCAGTCAGAACGTGCTGGACGTTGGCCGGCTGTACGAACTATTCCTGCCCAAACACACGCTGGTCCTGTACTGCGGCTCACGCGCCCTGGACTGGGACCACTGCCTGGGCTTCTACGACCTGCAGGACAACAGCCTGCTGACCATCTCGACCATCGGGCTGGCGCATGACATGGCTATACAGAAAGTCCCTATCCTACTGGACAGTGGTAGACAGCAGCATTTGCTTGCTTCAAAGTTTGACCGATGGTCAACTGTGGCGCTCAAGCTGCATGGTATGACGGGCTACCCGGTGAACCTGATCAAGGTGACACGACCCAACAGGCAAAGCATCGATTTCTCTGACGTCATCGGCCCCGTGTCCAGCACCGGCCAACCCTTCCGTCTGGACGTCTCGGCTGTCGGCACGGACGATGACCTGCTCTACGGCATCCCCCTCAAGTTTAAGATCGCCCGGGGCGTCACCGAGCTGCTCAAGGTGGCGCCCAGTCGAAGCATCCAGTCAGTGAAGGAAACCCTGGAGAGGGTGGGCGTGCCCAACGCCAGCATGTATGACCTGATGGTGGACGGCGTGCGCCTGGCCAACTCTAAGAGAGTTGTTGACGTCATAGAGGAGTACAAGGTCCCCATTGAGCTCAGCCTGAGACAGTACCCAGTATTTATCCACGGCCACCAGAACGTCATCTTCAAGCTGCTGGCTCACAGCAAGGAGACTCTGGCCACGTTCTTGATGCGGGTCAAGATGAAGACGGGCTTGTCCTTCCAAGATTACCTGCCCCTGATCTGCGGCACGCCGCTGGACGAGGCCGAGAGTCTGCCAGTCTTTGACACACGGCTCTCCGTCAAGTCCTCCATCTTCCTCGTCCCGAGAAAACAAAACAAATCATTTTTTATACTGCACGGCGATTGGCTGAGCAAACTTCGACTGCCGACTCAGCCCAAGATGCAGCAGATCAAAGAGACTTTATGGAGAGAGAGAAATATCCCAGAGGGCGCACTGGCATCCCTGGGGAGTTTTCTGCAGTGGTACTTTGGTGCCAGCAGCTCTCACCACCCGGCCGTGCAGGACACTGGGCTTAAAGAAAGGATGGTCGTGTATGAAGGGAACATTGGCAACAAATTTATCTATAGGAAAGACGAACTAGCGCCAGAAGAGGGGGGCAGTCTAGGGGAGCGACGAGAGCAGACAAGAAGGGCGGGGATGAATTCATTGAAGAAAACCAAACAAGGCCTTAAACCAGCAGACGGCGCACGGCACATGTCAGCAGATGGCGCTAAAGCCCACCGCCATCAGAATACCAACATGCGAAAAGCTTACACAACTGGGACGGGGGGAAAACACGTACGGGGTAGAAGAGAACGTCTAGCTCCGCCCAAATACAAGAATTCTCAACTAGCTCCGCCCAAATTCAAGAATTCTCAAGTAGCCCCGCCCACATACAAGTATTCTCAAGTTAACGAGCCTGAGGACGCCACTAAAGAGTGGGTCTTTTGTCTGCGTCATGATTACACAATACCAGCCAAGTCCAAAACAAGCCATCACTAAGTAGCCTACACCACCCGACTAAACCAATCTGTATATCAAGCTATTCACTGTTTTAAACTACATCCAACACAATCTTATGCACAGTTTTTCAAACTAAACAAAACATTTAAACTAGCAAACATATGAACTATAAAATAACATTTAAACTAGCAAACATGAAAACTAACTCCACCACAACTCCACCACAACTCCACCACAACTCCACCACAACAAGCCAATCAACCGGAACCCTACAGGTGGAGCGAACCCACCCTGTCTTCTAGCCCGTCTCTTTGTTCGTCCAAGGCCAGTGGAGTAATCAGGGTCATCTCAAGGAGGAGGGGGGGGGGGTTGAAATCTTTCCCATATATATATATATATATATATATATATATATATATATATATATATATATATATATATATACATACATATATACACACATATACTAATCTAAAAACCTTGATTTTACAAGCCATTGTGGCTAAAATGCAATGCAAAAATGTCTTGATTGAGCAACTCGTTAAATTATTTAAATCTCACCACAGGTTAAGAAAATTTTCGCTTTTTTTCAGCTTCTTAAAAATTATAAACTGATTTTGTTTGTATTTCATTTTTTCTACCTATTTGGTTATTGTAAAAATAAAACAGTATGTTCGAAATCAATGTTTAAATTTTAAAAACAATTAATACAATTTTTTATACTGATATAATCTCCGTTAGTGATGTTTTATATGTGTTATGTCTTTTTTTTAGCAGGGGCGTGCAAACCTATTTAGATGCCCGGGGCCAACTCAAAAGGAATAAAATAATATATATATATATATATATATATATATATATATATATATATATATATATATATATATATATATATATATATATATATATATACATATACACACATACTGACACAAACAAAATATAGGCCTACATCCAATACAACCAAAAACAATGAACGCAACACAATATTTTTTTGTAATCCTTGTAAAAAAAACAATATGACATAATGATTCCTAGAATATTAATTAAGACAAGCGAACTAGGGGAAATAATCACTCTCTTAATGCAGATAAGTATATGTCTACACATTTTATTGTAAATATCAAAATAGATCAATAATTACTTGAGTATGCAATATAGTTGCTTTTCAAACTTTAAGGTCACTTTAGGTCTATTATCTCACCCAGCGTATATCTAGGTGTGACATTAATGTCGCTCTACACAATTACGGCCTGTCCCGTTCTGGTGGTGAGGTGAGGGGGTGAGGGGTGGGGGGGAGGGGGTGATAATAACACGGAGAGAACGCAGCATCACTTTTTAGATGACGGTTCTAAACATATATACAATTCTACAAATAGAATCTATACTAATTGAGAAATAGACTTCAATGATTTACAGCAGTATTATGACAATAATTTGTTTACAGAGGAGTCCATGGGAGGTTCTAACCTCCCCTAAGCCCCTCACCTCCCTTCGCCACTGAACAGAACAATACCCGCTGTACGGGCTTATATCCCCCCCCCCCCCCACGACCGGAAATACACATATATCCCACACACAGAAAATTATACATTTAGTGCGGAATTAGTACTTATGTAGATTTATTCAAACAATCGCAAAATAACGCAAAATTCAAACACAGCAAATAAAAATCATTCACTCGCACATGGAAAATAAACCGGGAGTGATCTCCCCTGAACTCTCCAGATTATTCTTATATAATATAAAGGGGGTTGGCAACGCGGGATATAGACATGATTTGTAATCAATTTTTAATTACTTAAACTTTTAAAATAGAATAGAATCTAGTGGGAAAAAAAGGATTGCACTCAAAGTGAATTGCAAATAATATGTGCATAATAGTGCGGAATGTATTAGTACTTTATAATTCATTTTCGTTTTTTGAGAAATCGAAAAATAGCGTAAATTATTACTTCCGGTAAACGGAAATAACTCAAAATTTGACAGAAGGTAGAAGATTAGATCTATTAGTTATATGTGACATTTCGTTTATCTATCTGTAACAATTCCCAAGTTATAGGCTTTTGAAAAACTGAAATTAGAATAAGTCCCACTTCAAGTTATTGGAAAATTTAATAAAGAACTACAATTTTGATATAATACCTATATATGCAATGTCCTCGACGTAGCTCAAACGGTACTCGGGTTATCGTGTTTACAGACATACACACAGACATAAGGAAATAATTGCAAAACCCAGCTTTTCCGGCTCGATTACGCGTAAAACGCCGACATTTGGAAAAATCTGGATTTAGAATTTTCTCCCGATTAAAATAAGTTCCCTATACTCCGTATATGATGAAGTACAGAGGTGTAAAACTATGAAAACTGTCAAAATTTTTCATAGATTTTTGTACACGATTACAATACTTCCTCTATACACATGTATACAAGAAAGTAAAAATGCAGTATAATAAAAATAATGTACGTAAAGTTTTTATGTTAATATAATTTGTTACTTTCGTTTAATTTTTTGGTAACATTTAAAAAAATTCATTAAATATGATATTTGTCAAATTATTATTGACTTTATACTAAAAGGCAGATATCTCCATATATTTCTATTATAGTGTGCTAGTGTATTAGAATAAAAAGAAGTGAAATAATTGACAAAACATTTACTCATTGACGAGTGTTCCATTTAACTGCAGTAGACATTTGTTTAATCAAGCAAGTGTTGTTTGATGTAGTATGTTGATGGTGTATGTTGTATGTTGTATGTTGTATGTTGTATGTTGTATGTTGATGTTGTATGTTGTATGTTGTATGTTGTATGTTGTATGTTGTATGTTGATGTTGTATGTTGTATGTTGTATGTTGTATGTTGTATGTTGTATGGTGTATGTTGTATGTTGTATGTTGTATGTTGTATGTTGTATGTTGTATGTTGTATGGTGTATGTTGTATGTTGACTAACCTCTATCTGTTCCTCACCGCGGTACCATTTGACCCTTGCCCTTGGGTCCGACACAAAACATTCCAAGAGACCTGTCTTCTTGCGCTCCACTTTGTATGTCTCGGGAAGCTTTTGGGTGAAGTAATATTCAGGCTCTTTAGCTACAACAGAAACAAGTGTTTATACATAAGATTTAGCTACAAGAGAAACAAGTGTTTATACATAAGATAGAAACTTAGATCACATATTAACGTAGACCTGGCTAAAACGACCGTACCTTCAACATAGAGCCAAGCAGACGTGCTGATGTCGTTACACTGACAAGTGTACTTGCCGCCGTCCTCACACTTGACATTCATGATGACCAGCTTGTAGTCGTCGTGGTCCGATTCAAAATGGTACTTGTGGCCGTGGAAGATCTCCAGCTTGTTTTTAAACCATCTAAAAATAAAAACTCCGAATTTTGAAGAAAGAGAGAATGTTTCTGTAGTTCTCACCATCGTTATTTTGATAAAATTTACTTGACCTTAACACCAGAACTAAATGACCTACTTACTTGATTTTAGCATCAGGTTTACAGAACTCGGCCACAAATGTGACCGAGGGAACTCCTTCTAAAGTTTTGATGTCCTCCATCTCGGCATTGAACTTGTCTGGTTCCTAGAGAATAAAATGGAGTTACTACCTTGTTGGCAACGTTTCTTACCAGCACTGGTCACTTATCAACATCACACATCAACATCACACATCAACATCACACATATATCAATCAACATCACACATCAACATCACACATATGTCAATCAAAATATACTCTTTTTTAAAAATATAACTATTTTTTGTTCATTTATTTAACTTAGGATGAGTAGCAACAAAAATAATTAGTAAACAAAAAGTCAATGTAGCCTATTTAAAACAGGCGTGTACAGCTAAATTTTGTACAGGAATTTTACGTACAATAACTTTGTTAATGAAATTTTACGAACAGTAACTTTGTTAATGGAGTTTTATATACCGTAACTTGCTTAGACTGTTAAGGAAACTGTCTACATAAATTTAAAGGAATGTTTAGGTACAGTAACTTCGTTAATGAACATTTTATTTACAGTAAGTTTGTAAAGGGAATCGTGGTTACAGTAAGTTTGTCAAGGGAATCGTACTTACCGTACCTTTATTAAGGGAATGTTTATTTACCTTAACATTAAAATAGGAATTTTTATTTACCTTAACATTGTTATAGGATTGTTCACTTCCAATAACATAAGGGAGTGTTTACGATCAAAACAGAAAGAACTAGAATCTATCAAGTGCGAGATTTCTCTGAAGCAAATGAGATGCACCCATACTGACAGAGGTGGTTTTAATTGTTAAATAAAACATTTCATAAGTGCGACAAAAGTTAAACGAGAAAGAGGAAGCCATTCAAAACATGCACAGTATACAACATCGACACTCATGGGAACTATGTATTTATTGTTCTAGTGACAGTCTTCATGTACAACAATATTTACTTCATCCGTAGTTCTCTCTGTAAACCAAAGCACCTTGCTACAGGCATGCCCATACCTGCCACAGGCCTGTCCATACCTGCCACAGGCCTGCCCATACCTGCTACAGGCCTGCCCATACCTGCCACAGGCCTGCCCATACCTGCCACAGGCCTGCCCATACCTGCCACAGGCCTGCCCATACCTGCCACAGGCCTGTCCATACCTGCTACAGGCCTGCCCATACCTGCCACAGGCCTGCCCATACCTGCCACAGGCCTGCCCATACCTGCCACAGGCCTGCCCATACCTGCCACAGGCCTGCCCATACCTGCCACAGGCCTGCCCATACCTGCCACAGGCCTGCCCATACCTGTAATTCAACTGTCTGTTTAACACAGCAAGAGTTGATACAAATAAGTCTGAAAGTTAGCTGCAAAAAACTATGTCAGACAAGAGATGGCAGGTTACGACTGGTTACAACTGGTTACGACTGGTTACAACTGGTTACAATGTTATTACAAGATGGTTACATGACTAGAGTGGATGCTACACAACGACATCCATCAAGCTGTTATTTGGTTACACAGCTCTGACAGCTGTTATTTTGTTAGGCAGCTCTGGAAGCTGGAAGCTGGCATTCACCTCCTTGATGACTTTTCGTGGAATTAACGTCGGCCAGTCGGGGATGACCTCCATTAGCGAGGCCCTGCGGGTCTGCATGGATGAGCGGCGAGATTGTTCCAGGGCTTCCAGCTTGTCCACAGAGGCCTTCAGCACAGGCGTCTCCATCTCCACAGACTGACGTCGGCTGCCCGGTTTCTGCCACAAGTCAACGAGCATTAGAGCATTCTTCTTTAGCAGCTTATTGGCTACATGCAGGCTACGTGTAGCCCACATGTAGCCCACATGTAGCCCACGTGTGGAACAATGAGCACAAACACATCACCTGAAACACTCCGTCTTTAAACATCAATAATTATCTTTGAAATTTTAGTGTTAGAGCAAACTTGAATCATTTGGTGTACACAGAGCAAACTTGAATCATATGGTGTACACATTTGGTGTACACAAATGACAAGAGTTGATTAGAAGACGATTTATCTCTCAGTGAAATTAAAAATAATTAAACGAAAAAAATGTTTTCAGGTGTAGACAACCCTGGCAGCTGCTAGAACAAACACAAGCAGCAGATCCTGGTAGACAGAACAACACAAAAATTCAGAACCAAGACAAGTGGCCATTCCACTGTTGGGCCAAGACAGACAAGTGGCCATTCCACTGTTGGGCCAAGACAGACAAATGGCCTGATCACAGAAATCACCTGTTTACATGCAATGCTAAAATTATTAGCAGAAAAAATAAAAGCAAAATATATGTGCATCCAAAAATTGGAAAAAAAATCTACATAAAAAGTGCGGAAACTAAAATGAAAAAAAAATCGAGCTACTCTGAGAGAAAAAAAGTTGAGACCACACTCGCTAAACGCTGAGAGAGAGAGCCTGTACTAGAGTCTGTTGGTGGTCGATAGACACATGCACTAGAGCTGCCCCGGGCAGCAAGCGGCTACAACACCCAAAAGAAAAGTTTCTCAAGCAACCAAAAAACTCTATTGCAGGCGGCGTCAGAACCTTGTCGTCTAGCTTGTCTACAACTACGTCCTGACTCTCTGACTCCTGGGTCCGTGACTCTCGCCGAGAGCCATCTTTCTTAAGTGGGCGCTGCTAGAAGTGAACAGGTTTAGATCAACAGGTTGGCCAGGGTAAGGGTTTAGGGTACAATCATCTTCATTTAGTGGACTCCAGTTTGTGGAACCCATTTAGTGGACCCCAATTAGTGGACCCCAATTTGTGGACCAAATTTAGTGGACCCCAATTAGTGGACCCCAATTAGTGGACCACATTTAGTGGACCCCATTTAGTGGACTGACCTAGGGGGAAAATGAGTTCAACCCAAGGTAGAACTATCTGATCTTCTAGATACCATATGGTGGCCCACTAATTAGTGATAAACCAATTAGTGGTCAACCAATTAGTGGCCCACCAATTAGTGGTCCACCAACAATCGCTCACCAATTAGTGGTCCACCAATTAGTGGCCCACCAATTAGTGGTCAACTCCCAAATTTGCTATTTAAGTAAATGACAATGACAAACCTTGATTTATGTCAGTTAGAGCAACCTTTAACTCATGTAATTTAGAGCAACCTTTAACTCATGTAATTTAGAGCAACCTTTAACTCATGTAATTTAGAGCAACCTTTAACTCATGTAATTTAGGTCAGCATTCATTAAGTTATTGAGGTTAAACTTTAACTCAGTGGTTCATAACCTTTCAGGACCTACAGAACCCCACCATATGCGCATTCACAAAGCCCTTCTTATTACAAAAATTAAGTAGGATTTATTTTTCTTTTCAAATTCAAAAATGGTGCATAAAATGAGCACTGCATCACTATGTTCAAAGAACAGCATTAATTAAAATAAGATTGTATCACTATGTTCAAAGAAGAGCATTAATTAAAATAAGATTGTATCACTATGTTCAAAGAACAGCATTAATTAAAATAAGATTGTATCACTGTGTTCAATCTTGCAGTTAGTACGCTGGCTCTAGTTCCGTTTATACATGTGAACACATATTGCACACACTCGTCCGACCACTAACATAGTTTGAAGGTATAAAATAAAGTACACGACGTACCATCACGACGTACCATCATGACGTGTCGACTACTGGGTCACGATATACAGATCAAAGTGTTTGTTACAGCACGATCAACGCGCGCCTGTATAGGTGGCGCTGGAAAGATTGTTACACCGAACCCCTGGGGTTCGAATGAACCCAGATTAAGAACCACTGCTTTAACATGTCTCATGTCGTTTAGATAAACGTTCAACTTATTTGACTTGTTTAAACATTGACACCTATCTAGTACCAAAAAAAATTCTATCTACCTTCTCGTCGTCCGAGTCGCTCCCTTCAGCTTTTTCAATCTTCTTCAAACTCATCTTCATCACCTCGATCTGGGACAGGCGCCGACCTTTCTTGTCCACTGGAACACGAGACGGCACATGCTTTCATACAGGTGTGTGTGTTTTATCACAATCATACAGGTGTATGTATTTTATCACAATCATACAGGTGTGTGCGGTTTATCACAATCATACAGGTTTGTGCGTTTTATCACAATCACACAGGTGTATGTGTTTTATCACAATCATACAGGTGTATGTTTAAACACAATCATATAGGTGTGTTTAGACACAATCATACATGTGTGTGTGTTTAAACACATTCATAGTGCTAAAGTCATTAACAATTAATACAGATAAGATCATTAAACAAATTTCTAAAGGTAACACTTCCTACAGCTAATGATCATTAAACAAATTTCTAAAGGTAACACTTCCTACAGCTGATGTCGTTATTGTCATTGACCTTTATTACCATTAAGAGGTCATTATGGTCATTAAGGTCATTATGGTCAGGTATTACTTCAAACGTAAGTTATACAATCAACGGCGCGTAGATCTAAGTTCAAGATGCAACATATCATGCTCAGATTTACATTGATACAAGCTTTACATTGATACAAGCTTTACATTGGGACAAGCTTTACATTGATACAAGCTTTACATTGATACAAGCTTTACACTGATACAAGCTTTACATTGATACAAGCTTTATATTGGGACAAGCATTACATTGATACACGCTTTACATTGATACAAGCTTTACATTGATACAAGCTTTACATTGGGATAAGCTTTACATTAGGACAAGCTTTACTTTGATACAAGCTTTACATTGGGACAAGCTTTACATTGATACAAGCTTTACATTGATACACGCTTTACTTTGATACAAGCTTTACATTGGGACAAGCTTTACATTGATACAAGCTTTACATTGGGACAAGCTTTACATTGGGACAAGCTTTACATTGGGACAAGCTTTACATTGATACAAGCTTTACATTGATACAAGCTTTACATTGATACAAGCTTTACATTGGGACAAGCTTTACATTGGGACAAGCTTTACATTGGGACAAGCTTTACATTGATACAAGCTTTACATTGGGACAAGCTTTACATTAGGACAAGCTTTACATTGGGACAAGCTTTACATTGGGACAAGCTTTACATTGATACAAGCTTTACATTGGGACAAGCTTTACATTGGGACAAGCTTTACATTGGGACAAGCTTTACATTTGGATACAAGCTTTACATTTGGATACAAGCTTTACTACATAATGGCAAACCTTACACGGGGATAACTTTTTTACAGCACCGCAGAAGCCCAGTAGGTGAAACAGACCACAAAATCCGTCAAATATTTGTTTCAATTTACTTTTTATTTTTCTTTCTTTTAAACAGCGCTGGAAGCCGGCCGAGTTTACAATCAAACATTCTAGTACACACTGTACACACTGTACACACTGTACACACTGTACACACTGTACACACTAGTACACACTGTACACACTGTACACACTGTACACACTAGTACACATTAGTACACACTGTACACACTGTACACACTAGTACACATTAGTACACACTAGTAAACACTAGTACACACTAGTACACACTAGTACACACTAGTACACACAAGTACACACTAGTACACATTAGTACACACTGTAGTCAAGAGAATCCTCTGGACAAATAACAAACACGCCAGTGACCCATCCCAGCGCCCGGGGCGAACTATCAAATTCGCCCCCCCCCCAATTTATATTGTATTTATTCATGTTATTGTAAAAAGCGACCACCCCTCCCCCACACCGTCTAGTTGAAAAGGACACTAGTTTTTTTTTTACTTTGGTGCCACACTTTGACTGAGTAAAATTCAATACTTCAGCTTAAAATAAGCTTCCAAATGTTATTTTGTTATTTTATACCCCTTTTGGCACCCGCTTAGGATTGGCGCCTGGGGCGGCCTCCCCCCCCCCCCCAAAAAAATAGCTACGCCACTGAGGTAGCTGAATATGATTTTCAAGATTTACGATGCTCGTCCTATCGTTAGGGACCCGAAATTAATTTTAAAAATACATTGTATTTTCAATTTAATCTATGTTTGTTACAAATAATTTATAAAATAATTTATAAAACAAAATTGAAAACAGTTTATACTCATAAAGCATTTAAATGCACTGAAAAGGAAACAAACTTGATTTCCTTAATAAAAGCTTTAGTCTCCCGTAAGATTTCTTATATATTATTGTATTAATAGGCTACACACACACACACACACACACACACACACACACATATATATATATATATATATATATATATATATATATATATATATATATATGTGTGTGTGTGTGTGTATAAAACTCAAATGGATTCTGTGGCTCTGTATGTATGTATTTCACAGCGGACTGACCCTTTGCGAAAGAGGAATATAGTAAAAAGACTCGACTTGATCGCAAAAGTGTAATACACCTAAAGTGTTTATTATCTACATGAATAATTAAAAAGCTTATTATATTAGGTTATGTAAAACAAATTTCATTTACCAAATGTATAATTTTAATTCAAGTCACGTGGAAAAAACAAAGTCAAAGAATAAGTATTATCCTTCGCAAAATTTTTAAAAGTGTACAAATTACTTCACTTCCTTCTTTTATTGTCTATTGCTTCCTTTGATAGATCACAAAAAATATTACTTCTCTTTAAAAAAAACATTATATCGGTGAAAAAGTGCCTTTTATTTGTTTGTTTTGGTGTTGGAAAAAAAATAATTATATAATATGCATGGAAGCATGAAGTGCAATGTAATAGGTAAAACAGATGTTTTAAATAGTGCCTTTTATTTATTTTGTACACTGAACGTACTGTTTACTAATTATTGTTTTTAATCAATAACAGTTTAAAAGCCGTTCTTAATGTCCTCTCTGTTTGCTTCTATCTGTCGGGTTGCAGACAAGCTGGGGGTGTTAGAGTCCTTCACTACATTGAATCAGGCACTTTCGACGGCGCCCCGACATGGTTCGATTTGGCGCCCTGTCCTAACCCGTGAGCGCTATTGCGTCTACGTTCATTTTAAACTCTGCGATAGACAATGGATAAAAAGAGTTACTATAGTCCTTAACTAAATCGAATCCAGGGCTTCCTCCGGCGTCCCCACAGGCTCTTGTTTTGGCACCCCAGGCTTTCCCGTGGCAACTACGTTCGTTTTAAACAGTGCGATAAACTATGAATAAGATTGGGTATTATAGTCATTTACTAAGTTGAGGCAGGGTGAGATTCGGCCATCAATGCTATACTTTGTGCACTATGCTTTAATGTTTGCATTTAAGTTTGTGTTTATGTTCTGCGTTATTGTTTTGCGTTTAGGTTTGCGTTTAAGTTCGTGTTTGTGTTTTTGTTTGCGTTCGTGTTTGCGTTTGTATTTGCTTTTGTAATTGCGTTGGTGCTTGCATCTTTGTGTTAACGTTTGCGTTTTAAAGCTTTTATCGCGGGGGGGGGGGGGGATGTGAGGAGTGAAACCAACTGCAAAATGTACAGATAAATTAAACAGGGGGGTGACAACATGAAGTGCCGCACCAGGTGACACGCGACCTAGCGATGCCACTGGTAATTACACATGCTGGTAATTGACAAGAGTTAATTAAGTTGGGGGCTAGTGACCGGATCGGAGTTGGTGGGGGAGGGGGGGGGGATAATATCCTAGATTAGGATAAAACATTTCGATAAAAATTTAGGTTGAATTTTAGTTGTAAGTGTATTCATGAGATTTTGAGGATGTTAAGTTTGGTTTTAACAATATTGGCCATCCTGTTTTTTCCCACGTTTTCTTTAACTTGCTTTCGCATCTGTTTCTTTGTCTTTCCATCAAATCTTGCGATCGAAATTTCGGGCATTTCCCAGTTAGCTAGCGCGCTGATAATTTCAGGGAAGCTTTGTTTCCGATGACAATACAATATTCAATTATTATTATTATTACTAAATTGAACCATGGAAAAATTTTATTGATCGTTTAAGCCCCCTATTGATTTGTACAAAAAAGGGACATAACCTAGTAATTGTAATTTGATAAAAACAAGGTTCGGTACTTTCCCTCTTCTGGCCTAGTCGAATCGCCTAAAAATATGCGACAGCGCGGTGATACAACTTTCGCTGATCTCCTAAATGCATTACGAGTTGGCGAGCTCAAAGGTCCTCATTTCGAGCTCTTAATGACGAAAACTCTTAAGAGCCAACTGGAGAATTCGCACTAAATAAGGCAATCAGAATTTATCCGACAAGAAAAATGGTCGAGGATCACAATAATTCTGTTTTGCAATTTTATCGATCGCAAGGCACTCGAATATACAAGATCGAGTCTCAGGATCGAATCATTGATTCTGGAAGAAACGCCGACAAAATCGACATGAGCAAAGTTGTATCCAACGATATAAATAAGACTGGAGGATTGCAAAAGGAAATGGAAATATTCCTCGGCGCTAAAGTGATGTTGAGAGCGAACATCATCGTTGAAAAGGGACTGGTTAATGGCGCAATCGGCAACATTACAGAAATTCATTGGCCAAATTTCAGACGCGACCAGATTGATAAAGACATTCCCGACTTAAGCATTGACTTTGGGCCAGATGGAATCCATCGGATTGAGCCGAGATGCGTAGAATTGGATGGAAAACTGAATTATGGAAAAGTCGAGCGAAGACAACTGCCCATAATTCTATGCTGGGCATGCACAGTGCATAAAATGCAAGGCTGCACAGTTGATCACGCAGTTGTCTATTTAGGACCAGCACTTTTTGAAACGGGCCAGGCGTATGTTGCGCTCAGTCGGGTACGATCACTTGAAGGCGTACGCATTGTGGAATCGGATTGCATCAAGCTAACAGGAAAAAACCCTGCAATGAGGAATGTCTACAGGAGATGGAAAGAATGCGTCGACACGAACCTCCAGCTGATCCTGAATAATAAGCGTGTCATGCCTGGTATAAGTCCCTTTTATCTTTGTGTTCTTTGTGAGTGTTTGTCTTCGTTTACCCAAAAACAAAGTCAATGCGAGAACATAAAATCGATAGCAAGATTTGAATGAAAACAAACAGACAAAGACTAAAAAGTAGAAAATAATTATCATTAAAATTTAAAAAAAAAAAAAACCCACGTTTTCTGATTGAACTAAAAAGTAGAAAATAAATGCTATACATCACAATAATGCAAGCGATCACTCTACTATAAGCGATCGCAAACTGCGTGCGCATTATGACAAAAAATGAAAAACGTGGGGCGCCGTCATTTTCTTACAGTTTCTAATACTGTTGACTCTCTACAAGCTCCCTAATAAAACTCAATAGTATTATCTAATCAATAGTAATATAACTTTTACATCTTATATTAACAATGACCGATACTTTTACTTCGGCGCCCCACGTTTATCATTTTTTTGTCATAATGCGCACGCAGTTTGCGATCGCTTATAGTAGAGTGATCGCTTGCATTATTGTGATGTAGCCTATAGCATTTATTTTCTACTTTTTAGTTCAATCAGAAAACGTGGTTTTTTTTTAATTTAATGATAATTATTAATGGGTTCTCTGGCTTTTGTTGCATGGAAGATTTAGCGTATGTTGTGTGGTAGATTTAGCGTATGTTGTGTGGTAGATTTAGCGTATGTTGTGTGGTATATTTAGCCTATGTTGTGTGGTAGACTTAGCGTATGTTGTGTGGTAGATTTAGCGTATGTTGTGTGGTAGACTTAGCGTATGTTGTGTGGTAGATTTAGCGTGTGTTGTTTGGTAGATTTAGCGTATGTTGCATGGAAGATTTAGCGTATGCTGTGTGGTAGATTTAGCGTATGTTGTGTGCGTGCTCTGTTCTGGTACACTTAATGACATTTATGTTGACGTCCTTTTTAAGCTTTACAGTAGTTTGTTATGACTGTGAAAGAAAGTTATACACTCATTCAACATTCGACGCCGATGTTTTCTCTATTTGAATTGAATGACATAGTGTTGTTGTTCACCAGGGGAGGGAAGTAAGAAGCAAGCAGTTTTCTGTCAAATGATTTGTCTCTTATGCTTATTACAATTCTAAAGGGCATGTGATGTGTAAGTTCAATTTTAAAATCAAGTAAAAGCGTGGGCCTACGTGTTGCATTGATGTTTTTTTTCTAAATTTACATAAACATACATTTTTCAGTTACCATTTCAATTTAGAACTTGCTTTAATTGTCTAGAGCAAAGCCAATAACGGTTGATTATATATATATATATATATATATATATATATATATATATATATATATATATATATATATATATATATATATATATATATATATATATACTAGCCGTCCCGGCCAGGCCCTGCTCTGGGTTATGTGAAAAACCTTCCTGTTAAAGACCATTACCTGTGTGTTTAGTAATCATCATAAACCCGGCATTGCCCACCCAAACCACAACCAACCAAAACCAAAACAACAAAACGCAAACATAACGCTAACACAATACAAACGAAAACAAAAACCTAACAACAAACCCAACCACAACCACAAACACCAATACAAACACAAAGAAAAAGCAAACAAAAAAAGCAAACGAAAACAAAAACCTAACAACAAACCCAACCACAACCACAAACACCAATACCAACACAAAGAAAAAAACAAACGAAAAAGCAAACGAAAACAAACCAAATCCAAACGCAAAACCAACCACAAACACAAATACAAACCCAAAGAAAAAAAACACAAACAAAAACGAAAAAAGAAAGAACAAAAACGAAACAAATCAAAACGCAACCACTAACGCAAACCCAACCTAAACACAAAGAAAACACTAACGCGAACATAAACGCAAAGTGCTCACAGTTTATCCCGGGGCGGAATCGCCTGTTTCAGCTTAATAAACGACTATAGTACCCCAAATTATTCATAGTCTTTTGCACTCAATTAAACGAACGCGCCCGTTTCAATTTAATGAACAATTATAATACTCCAAGCTTATCCGTAAAATACCTACAACATTTGCACTTGATCAATCCCCGCTAATTATGTAATTATTTTTTTTCCCAACACCAAAACAAAGTAATAAAAAGTATTTTTTCCCACCAATGCAATGGTTTTTATAATGGGAAGTAATTGTGTTTTCCTAATTTATCAAAGGGAAGTAAGTGCTAAAGGACTAAATAAAGACATAATTAGAATTTTTGTAAAAGATGATATTTTTTAAAACTTGTGTTTAATGAACATGCCGACAATTATTACTTTCAGGTTGAAAAATGAAAATTATTTCCCAACACTTTCAATATTAATTTTTTAACTCATAAATTTAGACCATAAGGACTTTAATAACCTAACACTTAAATCTATCGAAGTATCCGCGACAAACATTTTACACCTTAAATATTACAAGTTACATACAGAATTGAGCTTTATATATATATTATATATATATATATATATATATATATATATATATATATATATATATATATATATATAATCTTTTTTCAAGTTTCGCCACTGTGTTAAATACATAAAAGGTTTAAACTGTTTCTAAACATGCAACAAAACAAAATATATCGTATGCAACATATCCTTGCAACTTGCAACATATGATGTCGTCAAGCGGGCGGGTCTGACCAATAATCTTAGCATGCTATTTTTAGCTCATGTTTTGAGAGTGAATGGCACTAAGTTTAGGATAACATCTCTATGGCTTAAACAAGTAGGCAACTACAAGCACAGTAAACATTCAAGGCACAAGGGGACATTGGACGACAAGACAGTTATGTCCCCTTGGACAGTACCCTTGAATCAACAGACACCAGATACCTGTCTCTGAAACAGCAAAAATGGCAGTTTTCATCAAACAGTTCAACAAGAGAAACAAAAACACTTTCAAACATATATAACATTAGCATTCAAATTAGAACATAATATGTCAACTGATAATATATCTGACAAAAAGAATACATAAACCTTAACCTAAACCTAAACCTAAACCTTAACCTAACATGAATACACTGTACACCCAGGAGCAATAAAATGTTAAAATTTCAGAATTAAATAGAAAGTGCTAATATACATCCGCAAAAAATTATATATGTATATATAACCTCCATATACAACCATACATAAACCCATACACATAAACATACATATGAACACAGTACATAAAACGGCACTAACTGTAGAGAAAACTGCCTGAAACATAAAGACAATTTCAAGAAACTATTCTAGACGACCTTAACCTACCTGGCTTTAGATTTCCCCAGTCGACATCATCCTCGTCATCTTTGTTTTTCTGGTGGTCCCTGGGGAAAAATTCTTTCATGCAGGATATGTTTCCCTAGCTGTGTGTGTTTCCCTAGCTGTGTATGTTTCCCTAGCTGTGTATGTTTCCCTGGCTGTGTGTGTTTCCCTAGCTGTGTATGTTTACAAACCAATGTATAACATATTCTCAGGCTCGGTATAATTCCCCCCTATGTATATTTTCCAACCTGTGTATATATCCTTATATATATATATATATATATATATATATATATATATATACATATATATATATATATATATATATACACACACACACATATATATATATATATAAGGGGCTGGGGAGTTATTTAATTATTATTTTATTACAAAAAGGTGAATGTCACTTTTGGTGTTCCTTTAAGGATTGTTGTGGTTTTTAGTTAAGTAGTCTTGTTTATATTTTGATGTTATTATTTACGCAAACTTTGTTCTGCGGGAATGTTGAGGCCTGTGTGTTGAAGTGTTTCTGTGTCACATTTATGTGGTGTATGGTAACGTAGCGCTATTTTTATAGTGTTTTATTATGGTTTCCTTTTAATAGTTTGCTTATTTTGTATACGAAGTGACTACGTACTATTTAGTCACTTCGACTTTTAGAAGTCTCAATGGTTGATGTATCCAGACCACGTGGTAGTATGGTGGTCTGGGTTTAGAGTTTTAGTCATGGATCTAGAATCGATTTCTAGATTTTACTTACATATTTTATGAGAACCTCTTGTTGAGGTTGATAATTGTGTGCATTGAACTAGTAGTTAAGCTCAGTGACCTGATATTTACGTTTAAGTGTGTTTTGTGTGAACTACCTGCAGGCTGTTGAGATGTAATCCAGTCAGCCTGTGTTTATAACTTTGTATATAACTTTTTTTATTGTAATTAATTTGTCTTTTTTTTCCTTTATCTAGAACGTAGTCCGAATTTGGGTGTTTTGCTAGATAAAAATTGTTTTGTTACATTCTGTTTGTTGCGTGTAAATTGTTCGGTTTTTTTTTATTTTGATTTTGTCATTGGTTCCAAGTATACAATAAATTTTATTAATTTGCTAAAGTTTTTTTGTTTTTTAATTTAGACTAAGGTTAAGGATTAACCAGTCTGGGTAGCCGGACTTGCACTGACCGGACAGTAATAGATAAGCCAGGGAAGGGTAGATATATTTTAAAGATCCCCCACCCCTACCAGGGCTTATATATATATATATATATATATATATATATATATATATAAATATATATATATATATATATATATATATATATATATATATATATATATATATATATATATCCCTATCAGGGTATATTTTTTTACCTCTGTTTCCCTACCTCGATGTTTCCCTACCTCTATGTTTCCCTACCTGTGTTTAAGAATGGCTCTGAAATCCAAGGCTGAATCTTTAGGATCTAGGAAAAAGAAAACAAGTCACAAATTAAAGACTAGCTACCAGAGCTACCAGCTAAAGACTAGCTACCAGAGCTACCAACTAAAGACTAGCTACCAGAGCTACCAGCTAACGACTAGCTACCAGAGCTACCAGCTAAAGACTAGCTACCAGAGCTACCAGCTAAAGACTAGCTACCAGAGCTGCCAGCTAAAGACTAGCTACCAGCTAAAGACTAGCTACCAGAGCTGCCAGCTAAAGACTAGCTACCAGAGCTACCAGCTAAAGACTAGCTACGAGCTAAAGACTAGCTACCAGAGCTACCAGCTAAAGACAAGCTTTCAGCTAAAGACTAGCTACCAGAGCTACCAGCTAAAGACTAGCTACCAGCTAAAGACTAGCTACCAGAGCTACCAGCTAAAGACTAGCTACCAGCTAAAGACTAGCTACCAGAGCTACCAGCTAAAGACTAGCTACCAGAGCTACCAGCTAAAGACTAGCTACCAGAGCAACCAGCTAACGACTAGCTACCACAGCTACCAGCTAAAGACTAGCTACCAAAGCTGCCAGCTAAAGACTAGCTACCAGAGCTACCAGCTAAAGACTAGCTACGAGCTAAAGACTAGCTACCAGAGCTACCAGCTAAAGACTAGCTACGAGCTAAAGACTAGCTACCAGAGCTACCAGCTAAAGACTAGCTACCAGCTAAAGACTAGCTACCAGAGCTACCAGCTAAAGACTAGCTACCAGCTAAAGACTAGCTACCAGAGCTACCAGCTAAAGACTAGCTACCAGAGCTACCAGCTAAAGACTAGCTACCAGAGCTACCAGCTAAAGAGTAGCTACCAGAGCTACCAGCTAAAGACTAGCTACCAAAGCTACCAGCTAAAGACTAGCTACCAGCTAAAGACTAGCTACCAGCTAAAGAATAGCTACCAGAGCTGCCAGCTAAAGACTAGCTACCAGAGCTACCAGCTAAAGACTAGCTACCAGAGCTACCAGCTAAAGACTAGCTACTAGAGCTACCAGCTAAAGACTAGCTACCAGCTAAAGACTAGCTACCAGAGCTACCAGCTAAAGACTAGCTACCAGAGCTGCCAGCTAAAGACTAGCTACCAGCTAAAGACTAGCTACCAGAGCTGCCAGCTAAAGACTAGCTACCAGAGCTACCAGCTAAAGACTAGCTACGAGCTAAAGAATAGCTACCAGAGCTACCAGCTAAAGACAAGCTTTCAGCTAAAGACTAGCTACCAGAGCTACCAGCTAAAGACTAGCTACCAGCTAAAGACTAGCTACCAGAGCTACCAGCTAAAGACTAGCTACCAGCTAAAGACTAGCTACCAGAGCTACCAGCTAAAGACTAGCTACCAGAGCTACCAGCTAAAGACTAGCTACCAGAGCTACCAGCTAACGACTAGCTACCACAGCTACCAGCTAAAGACTAGCTACCAGAGCTGCCAGCTAAAGACTAGCTACCAGAGCTACCAGCTAAAGACTAGCTACGAGCTAAAGACTAGCTACCAGAGCTACCAGCTAAAGACTAGCTACGAGCTAAAGACTAGCTACCAGAGCTACCAGCTAAAGACAAGCTTCCAGCTAAAGACTAGCTACCAGAGCTACCAGCTAAAGACTAGCTTACCAGCTAAAGACTAGCTACCAGAGCTACCAGCTAAAGACTAGCTACCAGCTAAAGACTAGCTACCAGAGCTACCAGCTAAAGACTAGCTACCAGAGCTACCAGCTAAAGACTAGCTACCAGAGCTACCAGCTAAAGAGTAGCTACCAGAGCTACCAGCTAAAGACTAGCTACCAAAGCTACCAGCTAAAGACTAGCTACCAGCTAAAGACTAGCTACCAGCTAAAGAATAGCTACCAGAGCTGCCAGCTAAAGACTAGCTACCAGAGCTACCAGCTAAAGACTAGCTACCAGAGCTACCAGCTAAAGCCTAGCTACTAGAGCTACCAGCTAAAGACTAGCTACCAGCTAAAGACTAGCTACCAGAGCTACCAGCTAAAGACTAGCTACCAGAGCTACCAGCTAAAGACTAGCTACCAGAGCTACCAGCTAAAGACTAGCTACCAGAGCTACCAGCTAAAGAGTAGCTACCAGAGCTACCAGCTAAAGACTAGCTACCAAAGCTACCAGCTAAAGACTAGCTACCAGCTAAAGACTAGCTACCAGCTAAAGAATAGCTACCAGAGCTGCCAGCTAAAGACTAGCTACCAGAGCTACCAGCTAAAGACTAGCTACCAGAGCTACCAGCTAAAGCCTAGCTACTAGAGCTACCAGCTAAAGACTAGCTACCAGCTAAAGACTAGCTACCAGAGCTACCAGCTAAAGACTAGCTACCAGAGCTACCAGCTAAAGACTAGCTACCAGCTAAAGAATAGCTACCAGAAGCTAACAGTTACCACACAAACTGGAGTATGAATGCTTATGATTATATTTTATATTGGTAAAAAATAATGGCGGTGTAATATGAAGAAGTATCATTAAAATCTAAGACTTTAGACATTCGAAATAATATTATTATTATACAAAACAATGAAAGAACATTTGAATATCAGGCAGATTACATTATAAACTCGTCAACTCAAGCCTAACTCCCCACCCTAAACACTTAAATAAATAAAAGCTACAAAAGATAAGACAAACTACATTCCCCCCAAAAGATAAGACAAACTACATTCCCCTAATATTTCAACAATATGTTAACAATATGAAATCAATTATTTACCCTGCTAACATATCAACAACTATTTACTGTCCTAATATGTCAACAATCACTTGTCCTGCTAATATTTTAAAAATTACTTGTCCTCAAAATCCTAATATGTTAACGATTGCTTGCCCCGTGAAGATAAAAGCTAAAGAAAATTCAATGTGTATGTGAAATTGAAAAACCTTTCAATACAAGAAGTAAACGGTTAGTGAAGCAACAGTCGCATTTAACACATAAACAATGAACCATAGAACGTGAATTCAACACACTCTAAGATGGTTTTAATAGAAAAGTTTTGCTGATATTCACTGATATAGACGGAAATATAAGGAATGTTGGGACTGAAGACGGGGGTTTTGAGGGAAGTTTGGCTTATTATTGAAGCATAATGGTGGAGCAGCTTATGATGGTGGTGTGAGATGAAAGGAAACACGGTGTAACCATGGTGACAAGACATGCGACAGCTGACCTTTGATAAAGACGGAGAAGGTGGCCGTGTCCGTGATGGCCCCCTCCGACTCGATGTTGACGGTGTACTTGGCCTCGTCTGTCTGACGTGTGCGTTTGATGCCTAGGGTGGAGGTCAGGCCGTTGACCTTGATGGACACTCGAGAATCATCTTTGAGTTCCCGGGGTCCGCGATAAAACTTGATGACGGGTGGGGGCTTGCCCTTAGGGTCAGCAGTCACTGAGACTAGGAGGTCGTTTCCTGAAGGAAAACATTACATTAGGCATCGCACTAGAAGGAAAACATTACATTAGGCATCGCAATGGTAGGGAAACATTACATTAGGCATCGCACTAGAAGGGAAACATTACATTAGGCATCGCAATGGTAGGGAAACAGTACATTAGGCATCGCACTAGTAGGGAAACATTTAAAGCTTGATATTTTCTACTGGTAGCCGAATATGCAAATGCATTTAATTTGTAGTCTAATATTTGACTGGTAAGCAGAATGTATCTAGCAGCAAAAATAAGTGACTCATAATAAGCATGACATATACAAAGTATTAGGTCAGGCAGAACTGTAAATAAAACAGCATACAACTATTGAGTCCACATAAAACTATTGAGGCAACATAAACTATTGAGTCCACATAAAACTATTGAGTCCAAATAAAACTATTGAGTCCACATACAACTATTGAGTCCACATAAAACTATTGAGTCCACATCCAGCTATTGAGGCAACATACAACTATTGAGTCCACATACAACTATTGAGGCAACATAAAACTATTGAGGCAACATAAACTATTGAGTCCACATACAACTATTGAGTCCACATACAGCTATTGAGGCAACATACAACTATTGAGTCCACATACAACTATTGAGGCAACATAAAACTATTGAGGCAACATAAACTATTGAGTCCACATACAACTATTGAGTCCACATAAAACTATTGAGGCAACATAAACTATTGAGTCCACATACAGCTATTGAGGCAACATACAACTATTGAGGCAACATACAACTATTGAGGCAACATAAAACTATTGAGTCCACATAAAACTTAACTAGACCTTACCTTCAAAGACCACCTGGTTCACAGGTTTCTCCTTAAAAGTCGGCCCCTCTCCCAACCTTAAAGGTTTCTTGCCATCCTAAAGATTCAAATAAAATCCTTTGACCAATACTAACTCTATTATATTGTACAGCTAATAAAATCCTTTGACCAATACTAATTCTATTATATTGTACAGCAAATAAAACATGAGCAGGTACACTATAATAGCGAAATTTGTGTAGGTACTACACATTTGGAAAAACTAATCTATAACTCTTGATTTTACAAGCCATTGTGGCTAAAATGAAATGCAAAAATGTCTTGAGTGAGCAACTCGTTAAATCATGTAAACCTCACCACAGGTGAATGAAAATGTTCGCTTTTTTTCAGCTTCTTAAAAATTATAAACTGGTTTGGTTTGTATTTCCACTTTTTTTCTACCTATTTGGTTATTGTAAAAATAAAACAGTATGTTCGAAATCAATGTTTATATTTTGAAAAAAACAATTAATACAATTTTTATACTGATATAATCTCCGTTAGTGATATTTAATATGTGTTTTGTCTTTTTGTGAGCAGTGGCGTGCAAACATATTTAGATGCCCGGGGCCAACTCATGAGGAATATAATATAATATATATATATATATATATATATATATATATATATATATATATATATATATATAGCTTAATTAGAAATACATATATAAAAGGATATTTTAAAAAGTGTACTTATCTGGATGAAAACATTGACTACGGCTAAATCCCAAGGAATGAACATCTCAAATGTATTAATGGGTGGAACTTCGTGGCGGGGAAATAGTTGGGGACATATCGTGGGGGGGGGGGGGGGGGTGGATGCCATGCCCTACAAAAGAGTCTCATCTGGTTTTGTATTACCTTACGGGACCTCGGTCACAAAAAAAAATATCCGTGTCTACAATTAGGGCGTCGGATACGCCTTTATTTATGGGCTGCTTCTCTCTTGGCCTGCGCGGGAATTTCTACTGGGTAAATAATACAGGTGAGAGTGTGCGTTGAACTAGAGATGTTTCACATTTGTATCTCTAAACTAGTCGGTCAAAAGGTCAATGCTTTAAGGGGATATGCCAAGTTTTTTTTCTATTTTTTTTACACTTTAATATCTAAACCAATTGAATACTATTACCATGTTTGGCACATAAAAGTAAGTATTGAACAGCAAAAAAAAAAGGGTTGAAAACAATTTTGGTTGTCATGGAAACCAAAAAAAAACATTTTGAATTTTTCGACCCTTTAAAAAATGCTAGGGCTTTTCTATTTATCAACTTATAACAATCAAATTTAAACTACTATTTTTCAGTATATTTTAAAACTTTTGTCAAAACAACTTTTGAAATAGCTACTAGTAAGAATTTCACAAGGTCTAAAAAGTCGTACCCTTTTTAGTATCCAAAATTTTAAAAATTAAATTTGCATATTAATTACCAAATACTTTTTTCTATGAAAGCCATCACAATTCTCCCGTGACAAAAGTCGTATTTTTGCATGAAAAACAAAAGTAACGAAAAATAGGTCACTAAAATACCATACCTGTATAAACTTCAAAGCGGATTGTAAGCTTTGGGTGTTTCCGAGATGATGGAAATTAAGATTATAATGTCAGACCCCACCCTACAACTAAGGACGTGTATTCTAAAATTTAACACCAAGGTAACGCCTACCTATCAGGTTCAGGTGGGGGGGGGGGAGATAATTCTCTAACGGTGAGCATGGACTGCCACCCCATCCCCCCCCCCCCACATTGCATTTAATCAATATGAGCTCAACTACTCTACTATTAATTGAAATAAAAATGGCTCTATAATGTGACCCCAATAACTTTACATACAAATCTGCTAAGAATCAAAATACTTTAACACTACTTAAAGCATGCCCCTACTATTCATAATAATAACAAAGGGCACAATTATGCTGAACTATACCACTACGTTGTACCGAAAACAATATGTTGATGCTTGTTCCTTAGGTTGTCCTTACAGTTTATCAAAAACAATATGGACATTCTTATTCTTAGTTATGCTCATATAATGCATGAAATGGAATACATTCTAAGGGATGCCCCTACAATTTAACAATTACACTACACATGGTCATGTATTGGACGAAAGGTGCCCCCAAAATGTATAATAATAATATGGGCATAATTCCCTTTGGATGCAATAAAAATGTATCATAATGAGCATGGAGATAAAAACGTTAAAATGCTCCCAAAAATAGACACAATGATGATAGGTATAATTACTGTATGATGCACTTCGAATGTAATATATGAATATAAACATAATTGTTTTTGAGATGCCGTTACAATATATAAAATGACAATGGGCATAATTACTATATGGATGCCTTTAAAATGTATTTTAAAGCGAAAATGGCATATTACTGGATGCCCTTAAAATATAATATAATGGATATACGAATAATTACTTTAAAGATGCTCATGTAGTGCATAGGAATTATATGGGCAAAACTACTCTAAAAGATGTCCCTGCATCCAATACAAAGACCGAATTTGTTAAAGGAATATCAATGACTACTATAGGACTACCCTTCACTGATGCCCGCTTTCTCTATGTAATTTTTGCGATACGGACAGTATAATGTCAGGACGGTCGATTGAGCGTTTGATATAGTTGAGATTGACAAAATAATAAATCTGTCAGCAACTTTTTTTTAAATTACAAAATAATTTTAAAAACTCAATAGGGTGCCCCCCTTGAGTGGATGCCCGGGGCCTGGGCCCCGTCCGCCACTCCCCCCCCCCCTCTGCACGCCACTGATTGTGAGTATAAGCTTTGAAAAGCTTTTATTTAATTTGTTTCCTATGTATGTATTTCTGTCTATATGTCGTAACTGTCAAGCGAAATTTCAATCACTTCAAACTGAGCTATTCGTTTCAAACTTGGCATGTGGGTCAAGACCCGAAACAAAAGCAATCTGACATAAAATTTGATTTATTTGATGCCTAATTAATTTTAAAAGAGTAATTCAGTATTTAACTGGGTATTAAAATCTAGATATTTTTGCATCGTTATTGGAGATCTGCACATTTTTAGAGATGTTCTATAGACATAATGTTCTAAGATTTGACAACCCAAAATCTGTAAAAGATTTGACAAAACATCAAATGATTTGACCACCACCCCAAAATTCACATTTTCGTCTAAGTAAAACAATTTTTTTTACTAACCTTAAGATCTACGCTTGCTTTCCCTGTTCAATAAAAACCATAGATTAGATGGCGTCAAATTATTTAAAGAAAAGATAATTATTTTAATTTTCAGTTACATTTCAATTTATTTTTATTTAAAAATTATTCTATCAAGATTTCGAACACATGAACAACAATTAAACGTTTGGTAAAATATTTAGTATACTTTAAAAAAGAAAAATTAAAATCACTATAACAATTGAACAAATAAATGAATGCAAAAAAAAACAAAAAAAAAAAACATTTACATTTATTAATATAATAAATTGTTAAAATGTTGGTTGTGTGTGGGACTATATCTAAACACAAACAAAGCTTCAATATTCAAGGTACCGTATTAAATAAAATAAAATAGCATCATACAAATAAACGAAATAGTTGATTGCTTACACCTGGATCAAAACACCTCAACCAGAACACTTACACCTCAACCAGAATACACCTCAACCAGAACACACCTCAACCAGAACACACCTCAACCAGAACACACCTCAACCAGAACACTTACACCTCAACCAGAACACACCTCAACCAGAACACACCTCAACCAGAACACACCTCAACCAGAACACACCTCAACCAGAACACACCTCAACCAGAACACTTACACCTCAACCAGAACACACCTCAACCAGAACACACCTCAACCAGAACACACCTCAACCAGAACACACCTCAACCAGAACACTTACACCTCAACCAGAACACTTACACCTCAACCAGAACACACCTCAACCAGAACACTTACACCTCAACCAGAACACACCTCAACCAGAACACACCTCAACCAGAACACTTACACCTCAACCAGAACACACCTCAACCAGAACACACCTCAACCAGAACACTTACACCTCAACCAGAACACTTACACCTCAACCAGAACACACCTCAACCAGAACACTTACACCTCAACCAGAACACACCTCAACCAGAATACACCTCAACCAGAACACTTACATCTCAACCAGAACACTTACACCTCAACCAGAACACACCTCAACCAGAACACTTACACCTCAACCAGAACACACCTCAACCAGAACACACCTCAACCAGAACACTTACACCTCAACCAGAACACTTACACCTCAACCAGAACACTTACACCTCAACCAGAACACTTACACCTCAACCAGAACACACCTCAACCAGAACACACCTCAACCAGAACACTTACACCTCAACCAGAACACTTACACCTCAACCAGAACACTTACACCTCAACCAGAACACACCTCAACCAGAACACACCTCAACCAGAACACACCTCAACCAGAACACACCTCAACCAGAACACTTACACCTCAACCAGAACACACCTCAACCAGAACACACCTCAACCAGAACACACCTCAACCAGAACACACCTCAACCAGAACACACCTCAACCAGAACACTTACACCTCAACCAGAACACACCTCAACCAGAACACACCTCAACCAGAACACACCTCAACCAGAACACACCTCAACCAGAACACTTACACCTCAACCAGAACACTTACACCTCAACCAGAACACACCTCAACCAGAACACACCTCAACCAGAACACTTACACCTCAACCAGAACACTTACACCTCAACCAGAACACTTACACCTCAACCAGAACACACCTCAACCAGAACACTTACACCTCAACCAGAACACACCTCAACCAGAACACACCTCAACCAGAACACTTACACCTCAACCAGAACACTTACACCTCAACCAGAACACTTACACCTCAACCAGAACACACCTCAACCAGAACACTTACACCTCAACCAGAACACTTACACCTCAACCAGAACACTTACACCTCAACCAGAACACACCTCAACCAGAACACTTACACCTCAACCAGAACACACCTCAACCAGAACACACCTCAACCAGAACACACCTCAACCAGAACACACCTCAACCAGAACACACCTCAACCAGAACACACCTCAACCAGAACACACCTCAACCAGAACACACCTCAACCAGAACACTTACACCTCTACCAGAACACTTACACCTCAACCAGAACACACCTCAACCAGAACACACCTCAACCAGAACACACCTCAACCAGAACACTTACACCTCTACCAGAACACTTACACCTCAACCAGAACACACCTCAACCAGAACACTTACACCTCTACCAGAACACTTACACCTCAACCAGAACACACTTCAACCAGAATACACCTCAACCAGAACACACCTCAACCAGAACACTTACACCTCAACCTGAACACACCTCAACCAGAACACACCTCAACCAGAACACTTACACCTCAACCAGAACACACCTCAACCAGAACACACCTCAACCAGAACACTTACACCTCAACCAGAACACACCTCAACCAGAACACACCTCAACCAGAACACACCTCAACCAGAACACACCTCAACCAGAACACACCTCAACCAGAACACACCTCAACCAGAACACACCTCAACCAGAACACACCTCAACCAGAACACACCTCAACCAGAACACACCTCAACCAGAACACACCTCAACCAGAACACTTACACCTCAACCAGAACACACCTCAACCAGAACACTTACACCTCTACCAGAATACACCTCAACCAGAACACTTACACCTCAACCAGAACACTTACACCTCAACCAGAACACTTACACCTCAACCAGAACACACCTCAACCAGAACACACCTCAACCAGAACACTTACACCTCAACCAGAACACACCTCAACCAGAACACTTACACCTCAACCAGAACACTTACACCTCAACCAGAATACACCTCAACCAGAACACTTACACCTCAACCAGAACACACCTCAACCAGAACACACCTCAACCAGAACACTTACACCTCAACCAGAACACACCTCAACCAGAACACACCTCAACCAGAACACACCTCAACCAGAACACACCTCAACCAGAACACACCTCAACCAGAACACACCTCAACCAGAACACACCTCAACCAGAACACACCTCAACCAGAACACACCTCAACCAGAACACACCTCAACCAGAACACACCTCAACCAGAACACTTACACCTCAACCAGAACACACCTCAACCAGAACACTTACACCTCTACCAGAATACACCTCAACCAGAACACTTACACCTCTACCAGAACACATCTCAACCAGAACACACCTCAACCAGAACACACCTCAACCAGAACACTTACACCTCAACCAGAATACACCTCAACCAGAACACTTACACCTCTACCAGAACACATCTCAACCAGAACACACCTCAACCAGAATACACCTCAACCAGAACACTTACACCTCAACCAGAACACACCTCAACCAGAACACTTACACCTCAACCAGAACACACCTCAACCAGAACACTTACACCTCAACCAGAACACTTACACCTCAACCAGAACACACCTCAACCAGAACACACCTCAACCAGAACACACCTCAACCAGAACACACCTCAACCAGAACACACCTCAACCAGAACACTTACACCTCAACCAGAACACACCTCAACCAGAACACACCTCAACCAGAACACACCTCAACCAGAACACACCTCAACCAGAACACACCTCAACCAGAACACACCTCAACCAGAACACACCTCAACCAGAACACACCTCAACCAGAACACACCTCAACCAGAACACACCTCAACCAGAACACACCTCAACCAGAACACACCTCAACCAGAACACTTACACCTCAACCAGAACACATCTCAACCAGAACACATCTCAACCAGAACACACCTCAACCAGAACACTTACACCTCAACCAGAACACTTACACCTCAACCAGAACACACCTCAACCAGAACACTTACACCTCAACCAGAACACACCTCAACCAGAACACACCTCAACCAGAACACTTACACCTCAACCAGAACACACCTCAACCAGAACACACCTCAACCAGAACACACCTCAACCAGAACACTTACACCTCAACCAGAACACACCTCAACCAGAACACACCTCAACCAGAACACTTACACCTCAACCAGAACACACCTCAACCAGAACACACCTCAACCAGAACACTTACACCTCAACCAGAACACTTACACCTCAACCAGAACACACCTCAACCAGAACACTTACACCTCAACCAGAACACACCTCAACCAGAACACTTACACCTCAACCAGAACACACCTCAACCAGAACACACCTCAACCAGAACACACCTCAACCAGAACACACCTCAACCAGAACACACCTCAACCAGAACACTTACACCTCAACCAGAACACTTACACCTCAACCAGAACACACCTCAACCAGAACACTTACACCTCAACCAGAACACTTACACCTCAACCAGAACACACTTCAACCAGAATACACCTCAACCAGAACACACCTCAACCAGAACACTTACACCTCTACCAGAACACTTACACCTCAACCAGAACACACCTCAACCAAAACACTTACACCTCAACCAGAACACTTACACCTCAACCAGAACACTTACACCTCAACCAGAACACACCTCAACCAGAACACACCTCAACCAGAACACACCTCAACCAGAACACTTACACCTCAACCAGAACACTTACACCTCAAGCAGAACACTTACACCTCAACCAGAACACACCTCAACCAGAACACTTACACCTCAACCAGAACACACCTCAACCAGAACACTTACACCTCAACCAGAACACACCTCAACCAGAACACTTACACCTCAACCAGAACACACCTCAACCAGAACACTTACACCTCAACCAGAATACACCTCAACCAGAACACACCTCAACCAGAACACACCTCAACCAGAACACTTACACCTCAACCAGAACACACCTCAACCAGAACACACCTCAACCAGAACACTTACACCTCAACCAGAACACACCTCAACCAGAACACACCTCAACCAGAACACTTACACCTCAACCAGAACACACCTCAACCAGAACACACCTCAACCAGAACACTTACACCTCAACCAGAACACTTACACCTCAACCAGAACACACCTCAACCAGAACACTTACACCTCAACCAGAACACTTACACCTCAACCAGAACACACCTCAACCAGAACACTTACACCTCAACCAGAACACTTACACCTCAACCAGAACACTTACACCTCAACCAGAACACACCTCAACCAGAACACTTACACCTCAACCAGAACACTTACACCTCAACCAGAACACACCTCAACCAGAACACACCTCAACCAGAACACACCTCAACCAGAACACACCTCAACCAGAACACACCTCAACCAGAACACACCTCAACCAGAACACACCTCAACCAGAACACACCTCAACCAGAACACACCTCAACCAGAACACACCTCAACCAGAACACTTACACCTCAACCAGAACACTTACACCTCAACCAGAACACACCTCAACCAGAACACTTACACCTCAACCAGAACACTTACACCTCAACCAGAACACACTTCAACCAGAATACACCTCAACCAGAACACTTACACCTCAACCAGAACACACCTCAACCAGAACACACCTCAACCAGAACACACCTCAACCAGAACACACCTCAACCAGAACACACCTCAACCAGAACACACCTCAACCAGAACACACCTCAACCAGAACACACCTCAACCAGAACACACCTCAACCAGAACACTTACACCTCAACCAGAACACTTACACCTCAACCAGAACACACCTCAACCAGAACACTTACACCTCAACCAGAACACTTACACCTCAACCAGAACACACTTCAACCAGAACACACCTCAACCAGAACACACCTCAACCAAAACACTTACACCTCAACCAGAACACTTACACCTCAACCAGAACACTTACACCTCAACCAGAACACACCTCAACCAGAACACTTACACCTCAACCAGAATACACCTCAACCAGAACACACCTCAACCAGAACACTTACACCTCTACCAGAACACTTACACCTCAACCAGAACACACCTCAACCAGAACACTTACACCTCAACCAGAACACTTACACCTCAACCAGAACACTTACACCTCAACCAGAACACACCTCAACCAGAACACTTACACCTCAACCAGAACATACCTCAACCAGAACACTTACACCTCAACCAGAACACATCTCAACCAGAACACTTACACCTCAACCAGAACACACCTCAACCAGAACACACCTCAACCAGAACACACCTCAACCAGAACACTTACACCTCAACCAGAATACACCTCAACCAGAACACACCTCAACCAGAATACATAATATACATGAACAATTACATCTGGTCTGGTTTTTTTTTATTTCTGGCCTCTGGTAGGGTTTAATTTTTAAGCAAAACATTCTTTACTCAATTACTTACATCAAGTAGCATATTTGTACCTGTCAGATGACATATGTATTACCTGTCAGATGACAGATGTATTACCTGTCAGATGACAGATGTATTACCTACCTTCTTTCCGATCCACATTTGACCAGTCATCATAATAAAATGTGACCAATCAGTGACCTAATTACATTTGATCTAATTAATTAGCCTTAGGAAGACTTTAAACAATGTTATAAAATGTCATACAAATGTTAAAAATTGTAAAAATTGTTAAAATTCTTGGACCTAAGGAAAGAAAAGAAAGAAAACAAAGCAGAACAAAAGATTGCTCATGCATGGGGTCACAAGACGGCTCTGGTTTAGTGTCACACTGCTACAGCCAACCAGGTTCAACTCTCGCTTGACTCTGGTTCAACTGCAGCCATGTTCTCAGGACTAACCTTCGTCTGAATCCTCAGCATCGAAAACATTTTCCTGGTCATCATCCGCCTCTTCACTCTCACCTTCATAGCCATCTTAGCAAAATGTACACAAATTTAGGAGCAAGCAGGACACAAGACACAGCTTGGCTTCAATCATTCAAAGACCTCAGTGCAACTGGTCACCACTAACTGACTTCTCTAGTTTGCTTTAAACAACTTACTATCCTAATCCACCACCTGGCCATAATGGTCCAACCAGCTGACCATAGTGGTCCAACCAGCTAACCATAGTGGTCCAACCAGCTAACCATAGTGGTCCAACCAGCTGACCATAGTGGTCCAACCAGCTAACCATAGTGGTCCAACCAGCTGACCATAGTGGTCAAACCAGCTGACCATATTGGTCTAACCAGCTAACCATATTGGTCTGGTTTAACCACCTGACCACAAAATAAAATAGCAAAATGTATTCCAATCGGATTGTATCTTTACCTAGAGGTCAGTTATGTGCACCCAGACAATTCTAAAAATGTTCTCAACATAATGCTGAAGCTGATTCTATTCTACTGCTACATTCCTTAATCAATTACATTTTTTCCATGCATCAATTTTATTGCAAGAAAATGTCTTAATTTTCAATATTATTTCTTTTGAACTTTAATTATTGTAGAATAAAATTTAATTTTAACTAAGCTAATTAAAAATTATAATTAGTTTCGATTAGTTGACATTTAACTGTAACGAATTTGAGTTTGACAATATTTGACAGTAAGCTGGCCTAGATGAAGGGGGGACAACTATACCTAAGTGGTTTCGACCTGTGGTTATTTGTTATATACTTTGTTATGTAAAACTTGTTCTGTTAGAGGGGGGATAACAATCTACACAAGAAGCAGGTAAATTGGGCTAACTTTAACAGTTACATTGGGCTAACTTTAGCAGATACATTGGGCTAACTTTATCAGGTACATTGGGCCAACTTTAGCAGGTACATTGGGCTAACTTTACCAGGTACATTGGGTAACTTTAGCAGTTACATTGGGCTAACTTTGGCAGTTACATTGGGCTAACTTTAGCAGTTACATTGGGCTAAATTTAGCAGGTACATTGGGCTAACTTTAACAGTTACATTGGGCTAACTTTACCAGGTACATTGGGCTAATTTTAGCAGATACATTGGGCTAACTTTAGCAGTTACATTGGGCTAACTTTACCAGGTACATTGGGCTAACTTTAGCAGATACATTGGGCTAACTTTAGCAGTTACATTGGGCTAACTTTACCAGGTACATTGGGTAACGTTAGCAGATACATTGGGCTAACTTTAGCGGTTACATTCGGCTAACTTTACCAGGTACATTGGGCTAACTTTAACAGTTACATTGGGCTAAATTTACCAGGTACATTGGGCTAACTTTAACAGTTACATTGGGCTAACTTTACCAGGTATATTGGGCTAACTTTAGCAGTTACATTGGGCTAACTTTAGCAGATACATTGAGCTAACTTTACCAGGTACATTGGGCTAACTTTAGCAGGAACATTGGGCTAACTTTAGCAGTTACATTGGGCTAACTTTAGCAGATACATTGAGCTAACTTTAGCAGTTACATTGGGCTAATTTTAGCAGATACATTGAGCTAACTTTACCAGGTACATTGGGCTAACTTTAGCAGTTACATTGGGCTAACTTTAGCAGATACATTGGGCTAACTTTAGCAGTTACATTGGGCTAACTTTAGCAGTTACATTGGGCTAACTTTATCAGGTACATTTGGGAACGTTAGCAGGTAAATTGGGCTAACTTTAAAAAATAAAAAAGGCAAAGTAAAATGCAAGCTACTAGCCTAGGTTAAAACTATTAGCCTAATTTGTTGTTAATAGCCTAAAGTTGCTGGACTAGACTAAAGCTAGCTACCTGCACATGCCAGCTGCAATAATGTGCAGGAATTAGGGTGAGTTCATGGGTTCAGCAGAAGATTACATTTTGAAATTGCAAAAATAAAAAATGAAAAAAGTCTGCTCCATATTTGAGCTTTTATATTGACCAATATTTTTGACGAGAAAAATGGCCCGTTGAGGAAGGGTACAACGGGCGCTAGGCTGATAGTGCTGTCTCTTTTCTCTAAACTAAAACCAACCCACCCCCCCACACACCACCCCCACCCCACCCCCACACACCACCCCCACCCCCACCCCCACCACACACCACCCCCACCCCTCACCCCCACACACCACCCCCTCCACACACCGCCCCCCCCACCCCCCACCCCCCCAAAAAAAAAACATGTCTACCGTCCCATTCAACGAAATATAATTATATACTTTTTCCAGTGTCCGCCCCCTCCCAGAAAATTCTACCCCCGCCCCCGAAAATTTCAAGTACCCCCACCCCTCTCCGGGGAGGAAAAAGTCTGAAAGAAACACTGAAACCAACCCACCCCCCCACACACCACCCCCCACCCCCCCCACACACCACCCCCCATCCCCCCCACCCCCCACCCCACACACCACCCCCCCCACCCCCACCCCTCCACCACCCCCCACCCCCCAAAAAAAACATGTCTACCGTCCCATTCAACGAAATATAATTATATACTTTTTCCAGTGTCCGCCCCCTCCCAGAAAATTCTACCCCCGCCCCCGAAAATTTCAAGTACCCCCACCCCTCTCCGGGGAGGAAAAAGTCTGAAAGAAACACTGAAACCAACCCACCCCCCACACACCACCCCCCACCCCCCTCCCCACCCCTACACACCACCCCCACCCCCCACCCCTACACACCACCCCCCCCCCCCCCAACCCCCCCAAAAAAAAAACATGTCTACCTTCCCATTGCAAGAAAACCACTTTTTAGATTAGACACATTAATTAGGCGGTAATTTTATTATAGAGTATCGATGAGGAAATTTCTTTTGAGTTGGGGAGGGGGGGGGGGGGGCTCAGACGTTCTTACGCGGGGGGTGGGGCTTCGCCCCTACCCGAAGAATTGTATGCAAGAAACTCTTCACGCAAACCATTTAGATTAGACAACATTTCCTTTTTTTCAATGTTTGCGATAATCAATGACGTCATTTTACTGTGTGCACTCTCTGGTTTGAGATTATGTTCTACTCTACGCTAAATGTGTCGACGTCATATTTCGTTTTTCGAATTACTGTGCATGTTTTTATTTTGCTTGTGTTTTCTCTAGAGCGTTCTTGTCAGACAAAGCGTTCTTGTCAGACAGAGCGTTCTTGTCAGATAGACAGACAGCGAAACTATTATTATAGATGGGTGTAGGAAACATGAGACCAATATTTACATAATGAATTCACCTGAAACTAGCACTTATTGGGCGGTTATGTTGGTGATGTCATCATTTTACCTCTATTTAATTTGATTGCTTAACTAGGGTTGATTAGGTTTTTAATTAGGATTGATTACGTTTGATTTGATTAGAGCTAGCTAGCGTATTAGATTTGGCTAAGATTTTTAAAATTACACTTGGTTGTTTTGATTAGTTTTAGCATTTAAAAAAATTAGTTTTGCCACAGATTTGATTAGTTTTGCCACATAATTTTATTAGTTTTGGACAGTTTTTATTAGTTTTGCCACTGTTTGTTTAATTAGATTTGGCTGTAAGTCTGACCAGGTTGGCTAGAGAGTTTAGTAGAAGAAAGCCATGCAGAGCCACACCTCCACGACATGATGACAATACCTTCTTCTTCTAGAATAGTTGTAGGCTGGCTGACGTAGGGCTTCCCCCCTTTTTTTTCTTGTGTCCCTTTTTTAATGTGTTTGTGTTTAGGCACTGTACCTTCTGGGTTCTCCCCCTGCTCCACCACAATGGACGGCGCAGATGACCTTTGACCTTCTTCCTTTTGATCCATCTTCTCCTCTACAGGCTTTGCGGGATCAGGTTTTTTGGGTGGCGCGGCTTCTTCTTTTTTCGCTTGAGCTACCTCCATTAACTCCTCTACTGGAGCTAAGCGGTTTGGGAAGAAAATTTTGGCTACACAGCAAAACATTTGGCTACACAGCAAATACTTGCAGAAGGACGGAGCATAGCACATAAAGATATATTTGCAGATAGCACTCACTCTAACCTAGCTAAACTATAGACACACTACAAAAGTCACACGGCCATAGACACACTACTAAAGTCACACGGCCATAGACACACTACTAAAGTCACACGGCCATAGACACACTACTAAAGTCAACCAGCCATAGGCAGAAATCTCCAGTCAGAGAAACGTATGCATACATCTCACAGGCTTAAAGTGGAGCAGAGCTCAAGGTCAAGCATGGTGCAAGGTCGAAATACTTTTCTAGATCAAAAAATGTCAAGGTAAAAAACATTATCAAGGTCAAAAAACGTGTTGCCTAGGCACCAAAAGCTGCAAGGTGAAGGACATTGCATTGAAAGAGTCGATAGCTCTAAGGACAGTTAACTTACGTGTTTCTTGTTTCTGTGAAAGAGAGAAGTGCTTTTGTTGTCAATCAAAAATTAAAAGTTTTAAAACAACTTGAGAACTCTTACCATTACAACAACAAAAAGCCAACTAACTATATTTTCGATAGATCAAGTAATTAATTAAAATCATAAACACAAATCAAGTAATTAATTAAAATCATAAGCCCTAATCAAGTAATTAATTAAAATCATAAGCCCTAATTAAGTTGTGGTCCACGAACTTTATGTCATCAGTCATCCTGAGGTCACCAAGCGAGAAGTCACTAAAGTCAACTTGTTCACTGAGATCAGCTTGAGGTCACTGAGTGAATCTTACCTTTGACTGTGTCCTGATCTCCATCTTGCTTTCCTCTATCTGCTGGCTTTTGATTTCCAACTTTTCTGGCACCTTGCTTGTGGCTTTCTTTTCATCAGCTGGCAATTTTTCTTCCGGCAACTCTAAACACAACAAACTAACAGTTTTAAAATATTTAGGCAACTCTAACCACAACAAACTAGCAGTTTTAAAATATTTAGGCAACTCTAAACACAACAAACTAGCACTTTTAAAATATTTAGGCAACTCTAAACACAACAAACTAGCAGTTTTAAAATATTTAGGCAACTCTAAACACAACAAACTAGCAGTTTTAAAATATTTAGGCAACTCTAAACACAACAAACTAGCAGTTTTAAAATATTTAGGCAACTCTAAACACAACAAACTAGCACATTTAAAATATTTAGGCAAGTCTAAAAACAACAAACTAGCACATTTAAAATATTTAGGCAAGTCTAAACACAACAAACTAGCACATTTAAAATATTTAGGCAACTCTAAACACAACAAACTAGCAGTTTTAAAATATTTAGGCAACTCTAAACACAACAAACTAGCACTTTTAAAATATTTAGGCAAGTCTAAACACAACAAACTAGCACATTTAAAATATTTAGGCAAGTCTAAACACAACAAACTAGCAGTTTTAAAATATTTAGGCAACTCTAAACACAACAAACTAGCAGTTTTAAAATATTTAGGCAACTCTAAACACAACAAACTAGCACATTTAAAATATTTAGGCAACTCTAAACACAACAAACTAGCACTTTTAAAATATTTAGGCAACTCTAAACACAACAAACTAGCAGTTTTAAAATATTTAGGCAACTCTAAACACAACAAACTAGCACTTTTAAAATATTTAGGCGATTCTGAACACAGCAAAAAAAAATATATAAGAAATGAGTTCAACTAGCTGCTTGCGTGACCTTCACCTTTGACCTGAAGACTCGCCATGGATGTTGCTGATCCCCACTGATTTTTTATTTCGACAGAAAATTCGCCAGAATCTTCTGGAAAAACCTCAGAAATATTCAGCTTGGCTGTTCCTTTCTCATAGGAAATAGCAAAAATATCGCCACTTTTGATTGGCTTCTTGTCCTTGGACCACGTGACTTCTATTGGTTCAGTTCCAGTCAACTTAGCAACAAACTCTACTTTATCACCGTCGTTGACAACCTGTGGGGAACATAATCACTGACAGTCTTCGGGGAACAAAATCACTGACAGTCTTCGGGGAACATAATCATTGACAGTCTTCGGGGAACAAAATCATTGACAATCTTCGGGGAACAAAATCACTGACAGTCTTCGGGGAACATAATCATTGACAGTCTTCGGGGAACAAAATCACTGACAGTCTTCGGGGAACATAATCATTGACAATCTTCGGGGAACAAAATCACTGACAGTCTTCGGGGAACATAATCATTGACAATCTTCGGGGAACAAAATCACTGACAGTCTTCGGGGAACAAAATCATTGACAATCTTCGGGGAACAAAATCATTGACAATCTTCGGGGAACAAGACCCAATTTAGGTGGGACAAGACCCATGTTAGTGGGACAAGACCCATGTTTGTGGGACAAGACCCGTGTTAGTGGGACAAGACCCATGTTAGTGGGACAAGACCCATGTTAGTGGGACAAGACCCATGTTTGTGGGACAAGACCCATGTTAGTGGGACAAGACCCATGTTAGTGGGACAAGACCCATGTTAGTGGGACAAGACCCATGTTAGTGGGACAAGACCCATGTTAGTGGGACAAGACCCATGTTAGTGGGACAAGACCCATTTTATAAAGGACAAAACCAAGTGTGTAGGACTTACCTTTGGAGCAAGCTTTTGTGTAAATTTGGGAGCTTCACCTTTAACCTTTGGCTTTAATGCTAAAAAAAAAGAATGAGAAGAAAATGAGTTTATCCATCAAAGAGTTTGTGAATCATGGTCCACCTTCAATTGTGCTCCACCTGCAACATTGTATGGGCCAACAGTCAGGGAATATTGGGGTTTGGGGAAGAACGGGGAAGGGGTGGGGTTGGAACATCCAAAAATAAAAACAGACTTCAATGCATTCATTACAGTGTTGTGAATGATGTTATTGTCGGTTAAAAATTTTAGAGCTAGGTATGTCTTTATTGTTATGTAATCAATATATATATATATATATATATATATATATATATATATATATATATATATATATATATATATATATATATATATATATGTAACCCTCACTCAGTGGGGATGCTTTTACCCACTGAGGTGTTGTGGTTAAGACGGGCTGACCCTGAGATTAAGTACACACCGACGCCGACAGTTGTTGTCAAGTACTCGTTTATTTATAGCATCGAGCCATGACGGCGATGCAACACAAAACGAACTAGCCAAGATAGACCAAAAGATCCAAACAATCCAAAAGACCAAAAGATCAAAAGATCAAAAGATCAAAATAGAAACAGAAAACTGTAGCCCTAAAACAAATGTAAAATAAAAAAGTTACATTCAGGACAACACCACGTGTAAGCTACAATATACACGGGTACAATAAATTATGTTTTCGGCCAGTACACAGTACTGCCAACAAGTACCAATAAGTAGTACTACAAAATAAATAATTAATTTAATACATCACCCTAACTAGCGTGCACATGCAGCACTAGCAGGAATACATAAGTAAGTATTTTAACAAACATAATTTAAATATCTACACTACCTTCATTAGGTCTACATCTTGGTCCACAGACAGCAGCCTTGCGTGTGCGACACGACTAGGCACATGTCACATGACATGGAACACAGGTGTAATTTCGCTCACAAAAGCATAAAAAAACGTCAACAGTTCAGTTGCAGTCCCACAGGGGCCGCAACCCAATGAATAAAAACTTCATAGTTTTATCCCCCTTTGGCTAGTAACCATATGTGTTACACAGCCCCCCTCACAAATAAATGTACAATGGAATTCACATTTACATTTACATTTACACTCATACATAATAGTACTTAAAAAAAAGTTCAGTACACTAGTACACAGACATTAAGTCCTTTCAACTTAAATAGATTATTCCCGGCAAACCGGTAGAGGCTCCAGTGCTGGTACTGGTCACCACTTGATGCGCCAGGTTGAGTCGCTCGACGGGTCGTCGTTGACGGGTTGACCTCCGCAGCTCCGCTGGTGGTTCTGGGTTGATCCAAGAGTCATCCTCGTCCGATGCCTCGTCCCTCGCATTCACCTCATCCAGATGTGGGGCTGGCCTGACCATCACCTTGTCTTGTCCGTCCCGGGCGACAACCTCTGGCACGAAAGGCGTTGCCTCCGGCCGAAGTCTAGTTGGGACCACTACCTTGATTGTCAGTTCCTCACCTTCATCTGCCTCACTGGTTGGTATGACCTCTCTCCGTCGCTCCCCCTCCGCCACAGTGGGTTCAGCACTCGACATTGTATAGTCGGGTCGCTGCCAACCACGGCGGCGTCCACCACGTCGTCGGCCTCTCCTCCGGCGGCGTCTCCGACCTCTGCTTGTGTCATGTCTGTCTCCCAAGCGACGATCTTGCTCGCGCTGAGACTGACATTCATAGTGTGGCTGTCTACCCTTCTCACGCGCACCCTCCGGCTGCAACCCTCCTCCACGGCGGAACACCCGACAGCCGTACCTCCAGCCGCTAGGCGAGGTAACCTGAGCTGTGGTTGCTCGACACTGTGATGATCTCGGTGGCGTAAACTTGGGCTGGGAGCTTGGCAGAACACGCATCAGCATCCTCTCCCCGACGCTGATGGACTGGCGTTTCCCTGCTGCTGACCCCGTTGCCTAGCTGCTTTTCTCGGACAGTCGCGGACGAAGTGCTTCGTGGACCCGCACCCGTAACAAGCTCCTCTGGAGGGCTGTTGTTTCCGGGCTAGGATATCTGCCACCTTCTCCGCCAGACGGTCGAGTTGTTCCTCCGTGAGCATCAGCGGCGTAGTCTCCTGGCGACCAGCTACCGTTACTGCGTCGACCTTCTGCGCCAGACGGTCGAGTTGCTCCTCCGTGAGCATCAGCGGCGGCGTCGTCTCTTGGTGAACAGCTGCCGTTACTGCGTCGACCTGGATATTCCTGTTAGCTGCTGCCGTGGCTACGACTGGGGACTCAGCTGTCCCGTCCAGCCTTTTAACAGCTTTCAGAACGTCCTCCACCTTCGGACTGGCTTCCCCTGCGAAACCAAATGTGCCGCGAAGTTCGAGCGCCAGAAGAGGTGAAACCCCCTTGCAGAAAGTGTGATACACCTTCTTCTGGGCATCGGCCTCAGTAAAGATACGCTGCTGGTTTAGCTTCGTCATCTCTGACCACAGTCGGCAGAGAAATTCCGACGCTGACTCCCTTGGATGTGGAGTGAGTCGGCTGAACTGCAGATACCTGTCTTCGGCACATCTGGTGTCGCCAAAAGTGCTTTGTAGGAGGCATAGCACTTCCTCTGGACTCGCAGCTTGCTTCACCCGCTCATAGGCAATCCCTCTCAGGCTGCCTAAAACGGGTGGCAACGGGTTCGGAACGCTGGTGTTCCGCAGCAAACACTGTACTTGAGTTTCCCATTCCGGGAAATTCACCTCCCCTCCTCCAGTGGGTGGAAGGCCGGTGAACACACTCAGCTTGCTGTTGTGTGCTGGAGCACACACCTCCACCTTCACGGGCCGCTGCGCATCTACCTGCATCGCCGCCATCTTAGCCGTCAACTTGGCCAGCTCCTCCGTCAACTTCTCCAACGTCGGGTCGCTGTGTTCCATCCTACCTCCCAAGGTCAAGCCCCACGTTGGGCGCCAAATGTAACCCTCACTCAGTGGGGATGCTTTTACCCACTGAGGTGTTGTGGTTAAGACGGGCTGACCCTGAGATTAAGTACACACCGACGCCGACAGTTGTTGTCAAGTACTCGTTTATTTATAGCATCGAGCCATGACGGCGATGCAACACAAAACGAACTAGCCAAGATAGACCAAAAGATCCAAACAATCCAAAAGACCAAAAGATCAAAAGATCAAAAGATCAAAATAGAAACAGAAAACTGTAGCCCTAAAACAAATGTAAAATAAAAAAGTTACATTCAGGACAACACCACGTGTAAGCTACAATATACACGGGTACAATAAATTATGTTTTCGGCCAGTACACAGTACTGCCAACAAGTACCAATAAGTAGTACTACAAAATAAATACTTAATTTAATACATCACCCTAACTAGCGTGCACATGCAGCACTAGCAGGAATACATAAGTAAGTATTTTAACAAACATAATTTAAATATCTACACTACCTTCATTAGGTCTACATCTTGGTCCACAGACAGCAGCCTTGCGTGTGCGACACGACTAGGCACATGTCACATGACATGGAACACAGGTGTAATTTCGCTCACAAAAGCATAAAAAAACGTCAACAGTTCAGTTGCAGTCCCACAGGGGCCGCAACCCAATGAATAAAAACTTCATAGTTTTATCCCCATTGGCTAGTAACCATATGTGTTACATATATATATATAATTCTCTTCTGGGAGACGTTAGAAAACAAGCTGTAAGCGCGCCGAGCAGTCCCCTCTTTTCCTCTCTAGGCATATCGCAACCACCCCCACACCCACATTGTCTGGTGAGCTGTAGTTCACGCTAAATGTTTACATCGTAGAGCCGGGTTTAGTGACGGCTATTAGGGGCAGATAATTTAGTTTAAAACTATTTTATACTTAGGGGAAGTAACTAAGTGGAGGCTGCTTTCACGTGGGTGGGGGGTGAGGGGTTGGGGGAAAGGAGGATTTTAGTGTTTTAAAGCAAATATTTTCAGTGGCAGCATTGGTACTGTCGAATTCACAAATTATGAATTACTAAAAAGTAGAAAATAAAACAACTAAATAGCGGCGTATGATACGCCGCGGTTCGGCTCGTATATATATAAAATTATCTTCTTGGAGACGTTAGAAAACAAGCTGTAAGCGCGCCTTGCAGTCCCCTCTCTTCCTGTCTAGGAAGTCTGGTGAGCTGTGATTCACGCTAAATGTTTACAATCGTAGCGCCGGGTTTAGTTACGGCTATTAGGGGCAGATAATTTAGTTTGAAACTATTTTAAACTTAGGGGAGGTAGCTAAGAGGAGGCTGCTTTCACGGGTGCGGGGGGGGGGGGTGGTTGGGGGGGGGGGTTATGGGTTGGGAAAAAAGGAGAGGGGTTATCGTCCTTAACGACTTACTGATAGTGTTTTAAAGCATTGCTAGTGTCGACTTCACAAATTATGAATGACTGAAGAAAATAAAACAAATACAAAATACCTATCTTCTTCTCTAACACTCCTCCCGCATATGCTACGCCGCGGGTCGGCTCGTATTATAAATTGTGCAAAGCTCTTCTATATAAATGCATATACATGTACATACCTGCAACATTGACTGTGTCCTCACCCCCCCCCCTACATATATACCTGCAAAATTGACTGTGTTCTCCCCCCCCTACATACCTGCAACATTGACTGTGGCTGTAGATGTCGCCTCTCCCCCTGATGTTTTCAACACAAGCTTGTAGGTGCCAGAATCTTTTTCAGAAAACTGTCAAGAGAAAAAAAAGGTCAACTGTCATATATTAGTCAGCGATATGATCACAACTGACATGTCCCCAACTGACGTTTGATCTTTGACACCCCCTCCACCACTGACATTTGACCACTGACAAGCCACCCCCATGGATATTTGACCCCCCCCCCCCTTTCACAAATTGCCCGTTACTTACATTCGTGATCTGTAGAGTTGGGTAAAAGATTCCTTTCTCCTGCGGCATGTCCATTCTGTAGCGGCCATCAGCCTTGAGTGGTTGGTTGCCGTAGTACCACGTGACCGTGGGCTGGACTGGACACTGGACGCCCTGCTCGATGACGATCATTTGTTTGGGTTCATCCAGGCGAATGTTGGGTTTTCCTTGCAGGACTGGGGCGGGCTCTTTTGGTCTGCCAGAGTCAAGGTCAGCAAGTTCAATCGGTGGACCATTGGACGTACACAGACAATCAATTGGACCACTGGACGTATACAGATAATCTATTGGACCACTGGACGTACACAATCTAATGGACCACTGGACGTATACAGATAATCTATTGGACCACTGGACGTATACAGATAATCTATTGGACCACTGGACGTATACAGATAATCTATTGGACCACTGGACGTACACAATCTAATGGACCATTGGACGTACACACACAATCTATTGGACCAATAGACGTACACAATCTAATGGACCACTGGACGTACACAATCTATTGGACCACTGGACGTACACACACAATCTATTGGACCACTAGACGTACACACACAATCTATTGGACCACTGGACGTACACAGATAATCTATTGGACCATTGGATGTACACACACAATCTATTGGACCACTGGACGTACACAGACAATCTATTGGACCACTGGACGTACACAATCTATTGGACCACTGGACGTACACAATCTATTGGACCACTGGACGTACACAGACAATCTATTGGACCACTGGACGTACACATACAATCAATTGGACCAATGGACAACAATGACAATTGATTAGAGAGGCTTTACCCTTCTAGGTTGATTGTAATGTTAGCATTGCCTTCCCCCACTTCATTCTTGGCGGTCACTTTATACTGACCTCCATCATCTTTGGTGAAATTCTTGAAGAAAAAAGCATGGAAATAGTTGACATGTATAGCCTAATGTTGTATTTTATAAAATTGTTATCATTACTATAAAGAAAAAAATACCAAACAGCTGAAGGCATAATGCGTCAATATACTCTAAAAATCAAAGACTATAATGGTCGCAGATGAAACTAAGAAAGAGCAATCGATATATTGATGAGAGAATTTGTCTACCAATATTTCTAATTTTAAGGTGTATTCATTTCCGTTTTCTGTCAGGGTTGGCACGAGTCTGTTGCTGGCAGCGAGAACAGACGAGCCTTTGAACCAGGTGAGAGAGGGCTTGGGGTTGGCTGTACAGTGGCATTCGATGATGATGTTTTTGCCCGTAGGGTCCTGGGAAACTTTGGGCTTTTCTTTAAACGTTGGGGCCATGCCACCTGGAGGCTTACTTGACTTCTCTCCCCCTGTCAAATACAAATCAAATTTCAACAACCAATCAGGTTTGGAGAGAGGTAATTCAAATCAAATTTCAACAACCAATCAGGTTTGGAGAGAGGTAATTAAAATCAAATTTCAACAACCAATCAGGTTTGGAGAGAGGTAATACAAATCAAATTTCAACAACCAATCAGGTTTCGAGAGAGGTAATACAAATCAAATTTCAACAACCAATCAGGTTTCGAGAGAGGTAATACCAATAGTACCAGAGAAAGGAAGATTATAAATAGACGAGATAAGAGCAGACTGACCCTGGAAGTTGAGTGTGATGTTGGCATTTGACTCCCCAAGGTCATTGGCTGCTGTACACTTGTAGGTCCCGCCGTCCTCGGTTGCTGGACCCTGCAAGAACCGACAAAATTCAAATTTACCTCCAGCGGTTGAAACATTGCATCATAACAAATACATTTTTTTTTTAGATTTTCATAAACTAAATACTGTAATCTCTCCTAAACATTTTTTTTTTAGATTTTCATAAATTAAATACTGTAATCTCTCCTAAACATTTTTTTTTAGATTTTCATAAATTAAATACTGTAATCTCTCCTAAACATTTTTTTTAGATTTTCATTAACTAAATACTGTAATCTATCCTAAACATTTTTTTTTTAGATTTTCATAAATTAAATACTGTAATCTCTCCTAAACATTTTTTTTAGATTTTCATAAACTAAATACTGTAATCTCTCCTAAACATTTTTTTTAGATTTTCATAAACTAAATACTGTAATCTCTCCTAAACATTTTTTTTAGATTTTCATAAACTAAATACTGTAATCTCTCCTAAACATTTTATTTTAGATTTTCATAAACTAAATACTGTAATCTCTCCTAAACATTTTTTTTTAGATTTTCATAAACTAAATACTGTAATCTCTCCTAAACATTTTTTTTTTGATTTTCATAAACTAAATACTGTAATCTCTCCTAAACATTTTTTTTTAGATTTTCATAAACTAAATACTGTAATCTCTCCTAAACATTTTTTTTAGATTTTCATAAACTAAATACTGTAATCTCTCCTAAACATTTTTTTTTAGATTTTCATAAACTAAATACTGTAATCTCTCATAAACATTTTTTTTTAGATTTTCATAAACTAAATACTGTAATCTCTCCTAAACATTTTTTTTTAGATTTTCATAAACTAAATACTGTAATCTCTCCTAAACATTTTTTTTAGATTTTCATAAACTAAATACTGTAATCTCTCCTAAACATTTTTTTTAGATTTTCATAAACTAAATACTGTAATCTCTCCTAAACATTTTTTTTTAGATTTTCATAAACTAAATACTGTAATCTCTCCTAAACATTTTTTTTAGATTTTCATAAACTAAATACTGTAATCTCTCCTAAACATTTTTTTTTAGATTTTCATAAACTAAATACTGTAATCTCTCCTAAACATTTTTTTTAGATTTTCATAAACTAAATACTGTAATCTCTCCTAAACATTTTTTTTTAGATTTTCATAAACAAAATACTGTAATCTCTCCTAAACATTTTTTTTTAGATTTTCATAAACTAAATACTGTAATCTCTCCACACATTTTTTTTAGATTTTCATAAACTAAATACTGTAATCTCTCCTAAACATTTTTTTTTAGATTTTTATAAACTAAATACTGTAATCTCTCCTAAACATTTTTTTTAGATTTTCATAAACTAAATACTGTAATCTCTCCTAAACATTTTTTTTTAGATTTTCATAAACTAAATACTGTAATCTCTCCTAAACATTTTTTTTAGATTTTCATAAACTAAATACTGTAATCTCTCCTAAACATTTTTTTTTAGATTTTCATAAACTAAATACTGTAATCTCTCCTAAACATTTTTTTTAGATTTTCATAAACTAAATACTGTAATCTCTCCTAAACATTTTTTTTAGATTTTCATAAACTAAATACTGTAATCTCTCCTAAACATTTTTTTTTTAGATTTTCATAAACTAAATACTGTAATCTCTCCTAAACATTTTTTTTTAGATTTTCATAAACTAAATACTGTAATCTCTCCTAAACATTTTTTTTTAGATTTTCATAAACTAAATACTGTAATCTCTCCTAAACATTTTTTTTTAGATTTTCATAAACTAAATACTGTAATCTCTCCTAAACATTTTTTTTTAGATTTTCATAAACTAAATACTGTAATCTCTCCTAAACATTTTTTTTAGATTTTCATAAACTAAATACTGTAATCTCTCCTAAACATTTTTTTTTAGATTTTCATAAACTAAATACTGTAATCTCTCCTAAACATTTTTTTTAGATTTTCATAAACTAAATACTGTAATCTCTCCTAAACATTTTTTTTTAGATTTTCATAAACTAAATACTGTAATCTCTCCTAAACATTTTTTTTAGATTTTCATAAACTAAATACTGTAATCTCTCCTAAACATTTTTTTTAGATTTTCATAAACTAAATACTGTAATCTCTCCTAAACATTTTTTTTTAGATTTTCATAAACTAAATACTGTAATCTCTCCTAAACATTTTTTTTTAGATTTTCATAAACTAAATACTGTAATCTCTCCTAAACATTTTTTTTTAGATTTTCATAAACTAAATACTGTAATCTCTCCTAAACATTTTTTTTTAGATTTTCATAAACTAAATACTGTAATCTCTCCTAAACATTTTTTTTTAGATTTTCATAAACTAAATACTGTAATCTCTCCTAAACATTTTTTTAAGATTTTCATAAACTAAATACTGTAATCTCTCCTAAACATTTTTTTTTAGATTTTCATAAACTAAATACTGTAATCTCTCCTAAACATTTTTTTTAGATTTTCATAAACTAAATACTGTAATCTCTTCTTAACATTTTTTTTAGATTTTCATAAACTAAATACTGTAATCTCTCCTAAACATTTTTTTTAGATTTTCATAAACTAAATACTGTAATCTCTTCTTAACATTTTTTTAGATTTTCATAAACTAAATACTGTAATCTCTCCTAAACACAACAATAAGGTGGATGGCACTGGCGCTGCCATCGGGCTATAGAAATCTTTTCACAAGCTTTTATTTAACTTTCTTCTTCGTGTTTTTGTCTTCGTTGTGCATCGAAACTGCCGAGCGAAATTTCGACTGCTTACGGACCGATTTTTTCAAACTTGGCCTAATTAATTTTAAAGGTTTAATTAATTTTTTCCATGAAAGTATTATTTTCCGCGCTATTATTCGCACATTTTTCGTATACGCCCTGCTTTAAAAAAATTTAAAATGCATAAAAACGTTTTAATATCAGGCTTTTTTGTAATTAATGATTTTCCTTAATTATATAATAATCAACTAGTGTTTGTAATTAATGATTTTCCTTAATTATATAATAATCAACTAGTGTTTGTAATTAATGATTTTCCTTAATTATATAATAATCAACTAGTGTTTGTAATTAATGATTTTCCTTAATTATATAATAATCAACTAGTGTTTGTAATTAATGATTTTCCTTAATTATATAATAATCAACTAGTGTTTGTAATTAATGATTTTCCTTAATTATATTATAATCAACTAGTGTTTGTAATTAATGATTTTCCTTAATTATATAATAATCAACTAGTGTTTGTAATTAATGATTTTCCTTAATTATATTATAATCAACTAGTGTTTGTAATTAATGATTTTCCTTAATTATATAATAATCAACTAGTGTTTGTAATTAATGATTTTCCTTAGTTATATAATAATCAACTAGTGTTTGTAATTAATGATTTTCCTTAGTTATATAATAGTCAACTAGTGTTTAAATAACTCACAAGAAAAACTTGGGGCTCTCTATTTTCTACTGAATACCTTCAGTCAAAGACGTGAACTAAGCTTTAGTCGTTTTATTTTAAGTGCATTATTAGACATGACAAATGTGCGTGTACATTAAACAGGAAACTAGTAAACAAAACTTTATTCTATTCTTAGCTTTTAATCGATTTAAAGTAATTGGAGCTTAATTCTATAAAAGCTTGTTTTTAAAACGTTTTTTTATTATAATTTGTTTTTATTAATTCTTTTAATACTTAATTTTTTTTTAAAGAATCGAGTAGAAAAAAAATTGTGCACCAAATGAACGCAGATAACATGTGACCGGAAGTAGTACTTTACGCTATTTCCGTTTTCTCAACAACAAAAAACCCAAATGAATTTATAAAGTACAATATTCCGCACTATTATATAGGCCTACACATTGTTTGCTGTTCAATTGGTGCACACTTCTTTTTTTTTTTCTGCGAGATTCTATTTTATTTTGAAAAGTTTAATTAAGTATTTAAAAATTGATTAAAAATCCCAAGTTGCCATCCCCGTATTGTTATGTCAATATTTTCGAGAAAGTTTTTTTATGAAATATTTTAAAATTATTTTTTATGGTCGCTTTGATTGAATTTTTTAAAATCCATTTCAAAATTAATGATGGAGAGATTCTAGTCAACTCGTTCATGCCCACTACGTCACATTTATTTCACACTGCATTGTCTTCACATTTATGTCACACTGCATTGTCATTGAGTCTTGACGTAAGAGAAAAGAAATCAGTCCAGAAAAAATGTGATCTTTTTTTGCAACATCTCGTTAGTTTACCTTGATCTACAACATCTCATTAGTTTACCTTGATCTACAACATCTCATTAGTTTACCTTGATCTACAACATCTCATTAGTTTACCTTGATCTACAACATCTCATTAGTTTACCTTGATCTACAACATCTCATTAGTTTACCTTGATCTACAACATCTCATTAGTTTACCTTGATCTACAACATCTCATTAGTTTACCTTGATCTACAACATCTCATTAGTTTACCTTGATCTACAACATCTCATTAGTTTACCTTGATCTACAACATCTCATTAGTGTACCTTGATCTACAACATCTCATTAGTTTACCTTGATCTACAACATCTCATTAGTTTACCTTGATCTGCAGCACAGCAGTGTACAAGTCAGCTCCCCCTGCGTCCCGCTGTAGACTGATGGTGTAGCGGCCCCCATCGCCGATCTCCGTGGTGTCGCGGTACCACCTGATCTGGGGGGTGGGCTTAGCCTCGAGTAGACAGGTCATGAGCAGCAGGTTGTCCTGTTGTTTGATTGTTGGCTTCTGGGTGAAGTGGGGGGCCTTGCCATCAGCAGCCCTGGGGGACCAGTCAAATATTTCAGCTCTAACAAAGGCTACACTTGCCGACAAGATAGAGACTAAAGATACTTAAAGGGTTAAACTAGACGACAAAAGAGGGTCTTAATGACGGATGGGACGGAGTGGTCTAGCGGTAGAGAGCTGGACTGTAAGTCTCGAGTTCGAATCCGGGTTCAAGTCAGTAGACCGTCCCTGAGTCCACCCAACTCTGATGGGTACCTAACTCACATTAGGGAAAGTAAAGGCGGCTGGGCATAGTGCTGACCACACTATCTCTTCATATGTCGAGGTCACAGAAACAAGTGAACTCTACTTCACTTGCCCCATAGACCGTCAGGTTTGAAAGGGAAACTTAATGACTGAACAAGTATTAACTATGAATTTAAATAAAAAATCTTACTGTGGTTTTTTGCTACCTGTCAGAAAAGAAAAAAAAATGTCCATTAAAAATGTCCATTACAATGTCTATTGCAAGATGCCAATAAAAATATCCAGCTAAATTATATTTGTTAACCATCTGCTAAAATGTCTTTTAAATTAATAATTAATGAACTGGACACATTTTAATTGAATGTTACTGTTTCCATTTCCGACAAGAAATTTAGCTGAGTCAAAGCATGCTGCAAAAAAAAAAAAAAAAAAAAAAACTACTGGCTACCATTACTAAACATTGAAAGCACTGCACGTCCAAAACATGGCATTTTTTTTCCTTCGTTAAAAGCACACACAATATATCGGCTGGTAGCACACACAATATATCAGCTCGTATGCACTAGCTTGGCTACGCCGCAATAGAACTGATGGTAAAAGGGCATTATGATTGTGCTGCTCAAATTGTAGGTTTGGTTGTAGGAATTGGTAGGTTGGGTTGTAGGAAGTGGTAGGTTGGGTTGTAGGAAGTGGTAGGTTGGTTTATAGGAAATGGTAGGTTGGGTTGTAGGAACTGGTAGGTTGGGTTGTAGGAACTGGTAGGTTGGGTTGTAGGAAGTGGTAGGTTGGTTTATAGGAAATGGTAGGTTGGGTTGTAGGAACTGGTAGGTTGGGTTGTAGGAACTGGTAGGTTGGGTTGTATGAACTGGTAGGTTGGGTTGTAGGAACTGGTAGGTTGGGTTGTAGGAACTGGTAGGTTGGGTTGTAGGAACTGGTAGGTTGGGCGTGGTTCTCACCTTCAAAATTCAATGTGATGGTGGCCGTGGCCTCTCCTAGTGAATTTTTGGCCACGGCCTTATACTCTCCACCGTCCTGCACGGTGGCCTGGGCCAGCTCTAGACTGATCTGGTGCACGGGGCCATCAGAGCGGAGGCTTTGCAGAAAGCGGCCACCCTGCTGGATGGGGGAGTTGTTGAACATCCAGTAAATAGAGGGGGCGGGGTCTGCAGTCAGCTGACACTCGACCACGATCTTGCCACCAGACTGCCGAATGCCAGGTTTTTGTGTGAACTGAGGCTTAGAGCCGCCGAGTGGGGGCGGCGGGGTCATAGAACCTGGAGCAACAGGAACCCGGGTAACAGTTAGTGGCTACTTCATACAGTCACAGCGGGAGTCTTTTAGCGCAACATAAATCACACACAAATAAATCACACACAAATAAATCATACACAAATAAATCACACACAAATAAATCAAATGCTAAATAAAAAGTGAATTCGTTGTTAGAAATTTAAGTTTGATGTTAGTGTTGTTGTAATAGAAAAATGTGAGTTACCAACGTTACAATATCCAAACAATGACAAAATATAATATTAGCTATAACAGCTGTGTTAGCTAGACTCTCAATAGTGCAATGACATACACTTAAGCTGTTGCATGACAACTACTGCAATGACACATACATGTCAGTATGTGACATGACCCACATACATGTCAGTGAGTGGCATGACCCACAGAAATGTGAATGATAAACGAGCAGACCAAGCACATGCACTCACTGTCAAAGTTGAGCCTGATGGTCGCGTTGCTCTCCCCGAGGGTGTTCTTGGCTGTGACCTTGTAGTTGCCGGCGTCCTGGGCCGCCACGTCATTGATCTCCAGCACCAAGAAGTAAGTTTTGTTTTCTCGGGGCTCCGCCCGGATGGTGAATCGGCCTGCAATTGGCATCACACGGTCAAACAAAATACAATGGCACCTTCACACGGTCAAACAAAATACAATGGCACCTTCACACGGTCAAACAAAATACAATGGCACCTTCACACGGTCAAACAAAATACAATGGCACCTTCACACGGTCAAACAAAATACAATGGCACCTTCACACGGTCAAACAAAATACAATGGCACCTTCACACGGTCAAACAAAATACAATGGCACCTTCACACGGTCAAACAAAATACAATGGCACCTTCACACGGTCAAACAAAATACAATGGCGCCTTCACACGGTCATACAAAATACAATGGCACCTTCACACGGTCAAACAAAATACAATGGCACCTTCACACGGTCAAACAAAATACAATGGCACCTTCACACGGTCAAACAAAATACAATGGCACCTTCACACGGTCAAACAAAATACAATGGCGCCTTCAAACGGTCAAACAAAATACAATGGCACCTTCACACGGTCAAACAAAATACAATGGCACCTTCACACGGTCAAACAAAATACAATGGCGCCTTCAAACGGTCAAACAAAATACAATGGCACCTTCACACGGTCAAACAAAATACAACGGCACCTTCACACGGTCAAACAAAATACAATGGCACCTTCACACGGTCAAACAAAATACAATGGCGCCTTCACACGGTCAAACAAAATACAATGGCACCTTCACACAGTCAAACAAAATACAATGGCACCTTCACACGGTCAAACAAAATACAATGGCACCTTCACACGGTCAAACAAAATACAATGGCACCTTCACACGGTCAAACAAAATACAATGGCGCCTTCACACGGTCAAACAAAATACAATGGCACCTTCACACGGTCAAACAAAATACAATGGCACCTTCACACGGTCAAACAAAATACAATGGCACCTTCACACGGTCAAACAAAATACAATGGCACCTTCACACGGTCAAACAAAATACAATGGCACCTTCACCTTCACCTTCACCTTCACCTTCACCTTCACCTTCACCTTCACCTTCACAGCTTTACAAAAATAAAGCTTTCATGGCCGAGCACTATCAACAACTTGTTCACGGAAGACGCGGGCTGGCGTGACCTTTGAACCCCGAATGGGACTGACCGTTAGCCTCAAACACAACAAGGACCATTATTCGACCACACAGGCGCCACAAATACAGGGACGACGATACAGACAAATAGTAGCTTCCTTAAATGGATATAGTGTAAACATGGTGAGCTTTACAAAATTGTAAAGCTGATTGGCTGAATCGGTTACACGTCTGACTTGATGCATGGAGGGCGAGGCGATTTGGTGCCGTGTGGAATGGTAGGTTCGGATCCCGTCTGGGTTCTGGCTGTTCTGTCTTTACTTGGACTATTTTCTGTACCTTTGTCTACCCTTGGCGTTGAAATATCACTTTCTGTTTACATTGCTATTTCAGTTACAACGCCTGCTTCCACCCCTCACCATGTTCTCACGCTTCCATGACAAAATGTCTCAGGACAAATTATCTCAGGACAAATTATCTCAGGACAAAATGTCTCAGGACAAATTATCTCAGGACAATTTTTTTCAGGACAAATGATCTCAGGACAAAATATCTCAGGACAAATGATCTCAGGACAAAATGTCTCAGAACAAATGATCTCACGACAAAATATCTCAGGACAAATGATCTCAGGACAAAATATCTCAGGACAAAATATCTCAGGACAAATGATCTCAGGACAAAATGTTTCAGGACAAATGATCTCAGGACAAAATATCTCAGGACAAATGATCTCAGGACAAAATATCTCAGGACAAATGATCTCACTGACAAAATATCTCAGGACAAAATATCTCAGGACAAATGATTTCAGGACAAAATGTCTCAGAACAAATGATCTCACGACAAAATATCTCAGGACAAATGATCTCAGGACAAATGATCTCACTGACAAATGATTTCAAGTACCAAAGGTATCACGGACCAAAGATAATCACACACACACACACACACAGAGACACACACACAATGACATCTGCACCACCAAATGACATCTGCACCACCAAATGACATCTGCACCACCAAATGACATCTGCACCACCAAATAACATGTGTACCTCCTGACTGTACCACAGCATTGTCCTTGTACCACGTGATGGCCGGGCTCGGGTCAGCCGTGAGAGCACATTCAAACAAAAGTTTTTTGCCGTTGTTTTCTTGTCTTGTCACGGGTTTCTGGATGAAGTTTGGGGCAATGCCCTCCTGCCTGTGGACAAACGACATTTATATTTGGGGCAATGCCCTCCTGCCTGTGGACAAACGACATTTATATTTGGGGCAATGCCCTCCTGCCTGTGGACAAACGACATTTATATTTGGGGCAATGCCCTCCTGCCTGTGGACAAACGACATTTATATTTGGGGCAATGCCCTCCTGCCTGTGGACAAACGACATTTATATTTGGGGCAATGCCCTCCTGCCTGTGGACAAACGACATTTATATTTGGGGCAATGCCCTCCTGCCTGTGGACAAACGACATTTGCACAAAAGGCAAAGGGACATTTTACAGCATATGTTTCTGAATCAGTATATGTATAATTGTATATGTATGTTTAGTCATCTATTAACTAACGCTATGTCCACTCTGAGTTGGTTATTCTCCCCCCCCCCCCCCCCCCCACATCACCATCTAAAACGGGGCAGGCGGTAAGTGTGTAGAGCGATTTTATACCAAATCTGATTTCAAAAACTTTTATTATGCTGTAATATTTTAGCTTTTATGATGACAATATATTTAATTCGGATTGTAGATAACATACTTTTGTAAAAATAAACAGTGTTAAGCTACGATATTACATACACAAGTAATTATTGATCTGTTTTGACATTTACAATTAAATGTGTAGAAATATACATAGTTATATTAAGAGAGTGATGATTTCCCTTAGTTCTTTTGTTTTGATTAATATTCTAGAAATCATCCTGTTAAATTGTTTTTTAAAAGGATTACAAAACAGATTGTGTTGCGTTCATTGTTTTTGGTTGTTTATATATATATGTATATATATGTATATATGTATATATATATGTATATATGCATATATATATGTATATATGTATATATATACATATATACATATATATATATATATATATATATATATATATATATATATATATATATATATATATAATGCTGGAACAAAATTAGAGAGAGAGAGAGAGAGAGAGAGAGAGAGAGAGTGTGAGAGAGAGAATATAGAGTTGCAGATAAAAGGTAGCGTATTTTCGTGTGCTCCCCTCTCACCCAAAAACAAGCACCCGCCCATGCTAAGGAAGGTGTGAAATAAAAGTCACGTGTCAACTTACTGCTTTTGTCCGCCTGCTGTGGAGGGAAAAAAACACAGTTCAGACATTTTTTACTAACACAAAGTTTAGACATTTTTACTAACACAAAGTTTAGACATTTTTTCTGACTAAAAGTTTAGACATTTTTTACCGACACAAAGTTTAGACATTTTTTACTGACACAAAGTTCAGACATTTTTTACTAACACAAAGTTTAGACATTTTTTCTGACTAAAAGTTTAGACATTTTTTACCGACACAAAGTTTAGACATTTTTTACTGATACAAAGTTTAGATATTTTTTATTGATACAAAGTTTACAGATTTATTTTCTTTACTCAAAGTTTAGAGCCTGCTTTCTACTGACAAAAGTTTATGTTTTGTTTAACTAAAACGCTCTGAACACAAAGTGAACTTACCACTAAAGTTTAGGTTTTGTTTAACTAAAACGCCCTGAACACAAAGTGACTTACCACTAAAGTTTAGGTTTTGTTTAACTAAAACGCTCTGAACACAAAGTGAACTTACCACTAAAGTTTAGGTTGATGGACGCTGAGACTTCCCCCAGTCTATTTTTGGCAACCACTTTGTATGTCCCAGCGTCGCTCTGAGCGACCCCTAGGATCTCCAGAATGACGTTGAAGGCAGATCCACCAGCTGATTCTGTGCGCATGCGTGTACGCTCTGAATTTTGAAGGGGTGTGGTCCCCATAAACCAAGCGATGTCCGGCTTTGGGGAGGCTTCAAGGACACAATGGAAGACAAGCTTCTGACCATTGTCTTCCTGTCTGAGGGCGGGCTTTTGGGTGAAACGGGGCGCTACGTCATCGCCCACACCCATCCTTGCTGGTGTCTAGCTGGGGAAGGCAGAAATATTCGGAACTCAATTCGTGATTCCATCTTATAGCAGCCAATGAAGAAATACAAAATAACTCTAGGGGAATGTTTGCAATATAGAAGGGTCTACGTCAGAGATAAGCCACTTGTTATGTAGATGTATGCAGTGGGAGGTGGGGGATATGGTTTGTGGTGGTGTTATGGGGTGGGTAAGGTGGTATGTCGTGGGGTGGTGGTATTGTGTGGGAAAAAACAGGTTAGTGTGGGGTGGTTGTTATGATCACTGTATAGTGTATTAAATACCTTATGCCAGGGTTTCCCAACCTCGTGCCAAACGATTTGTATGTGCCCGGCTCTCACTATTCGACAGAGACAGAATTTTTTTCATAAACATTATTGAATGGTTGAAGGGGATGGAAATCGAAAGTTTGAGGGGGGGGGGGTGCAAATCGAAAATTTGAGGGAGGGGGATGCAAATCGAAAGTTTGAGGGGGGGGGGGTGCAAATCGAAAGTTTGGGGGGGGGGGGGTGCAAATCGAAAGTTTTGTTCCCGGGTGACGGGAAGGGTCGCTATGCCTCTGGAAGGAGTTTGTCGATTTAAAATAGGTGGTGCCCGCCACCCTACCGATATTTTAGAATGTGCTCTAGAGTAAAAAAAGGTTGGGAACCCCTGCCTTATGCTATGGTCACTATATAGTGTATTGAATAACTTTTACTTTTATTGTTTTTTAAAAGATAATTTATTATTAGTTATTTTAAGAAAATCATTGAAGTCTTCGCTTTTTGATGCATAATTATATAAAAGCTCGTTATTAGAACGTTTTTATGAATTTTTACTTTCTCGTATGTACGAAGTATAGAGAAAGTCTTGTAATCGTGCAAAAAAAAATCGAGATTTTTACAAATCTCGACGTTTTACACCTCACTGATACGGAAAAAAATAATATGCAATCTTGTCCGAATGTCTATGTGTCTGTGTGTCTGTGTGTGTGTGTAAACACGATAACTTGAGTACCGTTAAAGCTAGGTTGATGAAATGTCATATATAAGTATTTTATCAAAATCGTAGATCCGTGTCAACTTTTCAGCGATTTCCGATAACCGGAAGTGGAACTTATTCAACTTTGAATTTTTCAAAAGCCTATAACTTGAGTACTATTTCAGATAGGTAAATAAAATTTTACAAATAAAAGATATAATTTTCTGCCTTCTATTAAATGTTGAGTAATTTCCGTCGACCGGAAGTAGTAATTTACGCTATTTCCGATTTCTCGAAAATACACATGTGAATTTATAAAGTAATAATATTATTCCGCACTATTGTGCACTTTTTATTTGGCGTTCGCTTGGTGCGCAATTCTTTTTTTCTACTAGATTCTTTTCTATTTTTTAAAATGTTTAAATAAACAAAAATCATGTCTATATTCCGAGTTGCCATCCCACGTAGTGTTATATTAGAATATTCGAGAAAGTTTAGGGGAGATCACTCCCGGTTTATTTATATAGTTAAACAATACTACTCTTGTTCACAATTTTTTACTTTCTCGTATACGAAGTATAGAGAAAGTATTGTAATCGTGAAAAAAACCCACGAGATTTTTGCAAATTTCGACGTTTTACACCTCCCTAAGTCGGAAAAACATAATTTTGCAATCTTGTCCGTATGTCTCTGTCTCTGTCTCTCTCTCTCTCTCTCTCTCTCTCTCTCTCTCTCTCTCTCTCTCTCTCTCTCTCTGTATTATATCTAATTTGTAGTTCTATATAAACTTTTCAGCGATTTCCGATAACCGGAAATGGCACTTCTTCTACTTTAAAATTTTTAAAAGCCTATAACTTGAGTAGGGCCTCCTGTTTCAGAATGATAAAGGAAATTTGATACGTAAGTAAAAGATCTAATTCTCTGCCTTCTGTCAAAATTTGAATAATCTCCGTTGACCTGAAGTTGTAATTTACGATTTCTCAAAAAACACATGTGAATTTATAAAGTACTAATAATATTTCGCACAATTATATACAGATGTTTTGGCGTTCACTTGGTGCGCAATTCTTTTTTCTACGAGATTTTATTCTATTTTTAAAAGTTTAAGTAATTAAATATGGATCAAAAACAGTGGCGGAACTAGAAAAAATGGGCCACCCCGCAAAAAATAATAATTATATATATGTATGTATATATATATATATATATATATATATATATATATATATATATATATATATATATATATATATATATATATACACAAACACAATACGAACATAGGATACTCATTTCTGGCCTGATCGGGTTTTGAAAAGAAAAATTCAATTAAATCTAATCACAACAACATGGCATGTGTATGAGTGCAATGGTTTGTTTTGAAAATCTCTGTTTTCATTTATGTTTGCCTTAATACTTCTAATCATTAAGTTGGTTAAAAGTATATAAATCATGAAGCTTTGTATAAGTAATGGTGTCTCGTGTTATGTTTATATTTATGGTTTTTCGTATTTATATTATTCCTTTTAACTACATTTCATTTTTATACTATACCACTCTTTAGTACTTATTTAAAAAAATAATAATTAAGATAAGTAATTACTGTTTAATTTGATTATTACAAATCTATTAAAAGGAGCTTATGAGCACCCCTATTTGACTATTTGAAAAAGGGAAATAATTTATGGAAGTGATTTGAACGTTTGCCTATCTTTCACACTACAGCTCGTGTGTATATTTTTAAATTTTTTTTTACGCAAAAGCATGTCTTAGCTACTATATAACATCACTACAGTATTAGATCTGTTATCTGTTTGTTATTTCACAAAACCACTATCAAGGTGCCATTGACGAAACTAACATATGTATATATCTATATATCTAATATATAAAGCTCAATTCTGTATGTAACATGTAATAAGTTTGTTTGTCGTTGACATACTTCGATGGATTTAAGTGTTAGATTAATATCGTACTCATAAACTAAATTTATGAGTTAAAAAAATTACTATTGAAAGTGTTGGGAAATAATTTTCATTTTTCAAACTAATAATAATAATTGTCGGCATGTTCATTAAACACAATTTTTAAAAAAACATCATCTTTTACAAAAATTCTAATTATGTCTGAAAATTATTTATTTTTAGTCCTTTAGCACTTACTTCCCTTTGATAAATTAGGAAAACACAATTACTTCCCTTTACAAAACATTGCATTTGTGGAAAAGAATTTACTTTTTATTACTTTGTTTTGGTGTTGGGAAAAAATAGTTACATAATTAGCGGGGATTAATCAAGTGCAAATGTTGTAGGTATTTTACGGATAAGCTTGGAGTATTATAATTGTTCATTTGGTTTGGTTTGGCACCTACGTTCGTTTAAGTGAGTGCAAAGGACTATGAATAAGTTGGGGTACTATAGTCGTTTATTAAGCTGAAACAGGCGATGCTGCCCCGGGCTAGACTGTGAGCACTTTGCGATTATGTTCGCGTTTGTGTTTTCTTTGTGTTTAGGTTGGGTTTGCGTTAGCGGTTGCGTTTTGATTTGGTTTGTTTTTGTTCGTTCTTTTTTCGTTTTCGTTTGTGTTTTTTTTCTTTGGGTTTGTGTTTGTATTTGTGTTTGTGGTTGGTTTAGCGTTTGGATTTGGTTTGTTTTCGTTTGCTTTTTCGTTTGTGTTTTTTTTTCTTTGGGTTTGTGTTTGTGGTTGGGTTTGTTGTTAGGTTTTTGTTTGCTTTTTTGTTTGTTTTTTCTTTGTGTTTGTATTGGTGTTTGTGGTTGGGTTTGTTGTTAGGTTTTTGTTTTCGTTTGTATTTGTAATTGTGTTAGCGTTATGTTTGCGTTTTGTTGTTTTGGTTTTGGTTGGTTGTGGTTTGGGTGGGCAGTGCCGGGTTTATGAATATTACTAAACACACAGGTAATGGTCTTTAACAGAAAGGTTTTTCACAGAAGCCAGAGCAGGGCCTGGCCGGGACGGCTAGTATATATATATATATATATATATATATATATATATATATATATATATATATATATATATATATATATATATATATATATATATATATATATATATATATATATATATATATATATATATATATATATATATATATATATATATATATATATATATATAACACGCTATCATTCGTGTATTTATTTGAGACTTTTGCCTTGTTTTCTAGAACAGTGGTTATTAAACGTAAACAATGTCGGTACTTTATTTCTTGGCTATTAGTTGTTGGAGCGCTAGTTTGTCTACACTATCACCGATAGCCAGGTTAGTTGTTGGGGCTCTATCTATTCGCTTCTTGTAAGGCTAAGAGCGGGAGGGGAGGTCTGAGAAAGGAACTTAAAAGGGACAACAAAGCACCGATGTGCTTTTATCCATCAGTACCAAATGTGGGATGGTCTCAAAAAGCCGTCTTAATATCTAGCGGCCTCTCGCGCAATTGATGTTTTTTCAAAAGAATTTTGCCGACAACAGCGTGTGTTTGATTGTAGGAAAAAGAATATACAAGAGCGAAGGTGGTGTCTATAGAATAAATATACTACAACCGCAGTTACAGTATTCTTTTTTTCAAAAGAACCATCAGGTAAAAAATGCAAGAAAATTAACTTTAATTATTTAAAAAATGATTATGGGCGGCTGTGGGCCCCCTAAACGGTGTGCCCCCCTCCCCGCATTGCGGGGTCTGCGGCACTGTATTTCCGCTCCTGATCAAAATTCATGTCTATATCCCGAGTTGCCATCCCCCGTAGTGTTATATTAGAATATTCGAGAAAGTTTAGGGGAGATCACGCCCGGTTCATTTTAACAAGCTTTTATTTAACTCACTGTCCCTGTCTGCCGTCAGTCTGTCTGTCTAGATAGAAACGCCCGAGCGAAATTTCGGACACTTCTAACTGATAGATTTGTTTCAACGTTGGTCAAGACGTGAAGACAATGCAATCTGACATTAAAGTTGACTTAATTGGATGCCTAATTATTTTTTTATAAATTAATTAAAATTTGGTACAAATTAGTAGGCTGTCTCATGCA